TAAAAAATGCCTAAGACTGGGTAATTTATAAACAACAGAGGGCCAGGCTCAGTGGCTCACACCTGTAATCCCAGCACTTTGGGAGGCCGAGGTGGGTGGATCACCTGAGGTCAGGAGTTTAGGACTAGCCTGGCCAACATGGTGAAACCCCATCTCTACTAAAAATACAAAAATTAGCCACGTGTGGTGGTGGGTTCCTGTAGTCCTAGCTACTTAGGAAGCTGAGGCAGGAGAATCGCTTGAACCTGGGAGGCGGAGGTTGTAGTGAGTCAAGATCTCGCCATTGCACTCCAGCCTGGCTGACAAGAGCGAAACTCTTGTCTGAAAAAAAAGAATAGAAATTTATTTTCTCACAATTTTGGAGGCTGGAAGTTGAAGATCAGGGTGCTGGTAGGTTTGGTTGACTGACGAGGGCGCCTCTCTGCTTCTGAGGTGGCATCTTGTTGCTGCATCTTCTGGAAGGGAGGAACCCCACACCCTCACATGGCAGACGGGACAGAAGGGGAGCAGGGCCACAGCTTAAGTTCATGAAGCCTCTTCTATAAAGACTTTAACCCATTTATGCCAGAGGTGGCAAATTTTTTTGTGTGTGAAAAATCAGACCTTGGTGATGACCTTGAGCAGTAGGATATAAATAACTCCTACAAGCTTAGGACAGTAGTAGGCATAAATGGGTTAATCCCATTCATGGCTTAATCACCTTTTAAAGCTTTCACCTCTTAATACCATCACACTGTTAAGTTTCCATGTCTGAATTTTGGAGGGGACACATTCAAACTATAGCACCTTACAGTGTACTTATGACCCAGAATTAATATTTTGCTGTAGGTTTTTTCCTTTTGCAAGCCCATTGGTTTCTATAATTCAGAGATCACAGATTGGTGACCTTTGGGCCAGGCTGATTTTTCTGGCTTCAAGAGTTTGAAAATAATTGAATTAGTTGCTGTCTTTTAAATATTGAAAGAATTCATCTGAAATTCACATTTTCTGCTTTTCTTGAAATACTGGGAGGTTTGGTGACATTGGCTTGTATTTTACGTGACAGTAGTCAGTCATTTGCTGCCTCCTCTACATGAGGCAAGAGCTCTGCAGTTTTCCATGAACCTTTCCTTCTGAGTAGGGTGGAGATAACTTTTGTCCTTATTAAATAAAATGGCCATTTACTTTTTCTTCCCTCACACTTCTCACCTGTCCCCAGTCTTCACCCCAACAGCCTTGTATTTTAAAAGAGGAAAAAAGGAGAAAACAATTCTTTGTCACTCTTCATAATGATCATTTTATGACATGTTTTCCTTTGTGGAGAAGCATGAGGAATGGGCTTATCGCAAAAGCTTAAGAAAGGAGACTCATAGTGGGCTTCTGGAGAATGGGTATTGGGATGTGAGCCTAATTGCTACTCTCGTAGGCCCTTGCCTATCTGTTTTGGAGAGTGTGAACTAATTCCAAATCATTAAGGATTCATTTACATGCCATGGGTATAGACATGTATTCTGTCCTGAATGACCTTTCCTTGTTTTTTATCCAGGCCAGTAGCAAAGAGTTGAGCTGTGTTCTAAGTCTGTGGAGAATGACTCCATGCTTCAGTCCTCTGGCTTCCATGACTAAGATAGACTCAGTTGCATTATCAGTGGGTTGGGATTTGATCACACTGAACTGAAGTTCTTCAGCTTAGCTTTCTCTCTCGAGTCTATGCCTGTATTGCTAAATGTATAACCATACCTCTCTGAGGTGGATTTAGTTGGATAATGTTGATGTTACGTGGGAATTTAGAATTTGTTAAGTGACTGGGTTGGTTGGTTAGTTTCAAAAGCAGGACTATCTTATACCTTAATATATGGGTTAAGAATGAATCATTCTCTGAGTATAATCTAATTATTATTTTTGAGTTACACAGATGTGATGGTACATTTGTGTTTGTGATTTAGATCTGCTGCTGAACTTTTTGAGGCGTATAGCATGGCAGAAATGACATTCAATCCTCCTGTTGAATCTTCAAACCCCAAAATAAAGGTATGGGATATTTTTCATTTTTTTAAAAGAAGAGATAGAAACCAATGTATCTCAATAACTCTAACTCCAGTTTGCTTAATTATTTTATAGGCAGTTTTTTTTTTTTAATGTTTAGGAGTTCATCATAGGATGGATATATGAGGTTGAAATTCTACAGAGATGGTCATGAAACTGTTTCATTCAATATGGGATATGTCCAAGACCTTACCAAGCATCTGTCATTGTGTTGCATGTGTTGGTGTCAGCTGTTGCCGTTTTCAACTTTGTTCACAGGTTGACTTTAGCTTATAGCATAAGTAATTTCTAACTCATACTTTAAATATTTTCCCAGGGTAAAGTTTTACAAGGGGATTCATTTTTGAATGAAGATTTAAATCAGCTAATCAAAAGATACTCCAGTGAAGTTGTTACTGAATCGCCTCTGGATTTCACAAAATATTTGAAAACATCACTACACCAGTAGAGGAATGAAGTCAGTGGACTTTTTGTATATTTGTGTGTGCAGATGTACATAAAGATGAGTTGTTAACTTAGGACCTTTTCTTTTTATACAAAGAAAGCTTCCTAACAATGACTAGGAAGAGGAGGAAGAATGACCCTTTGCATGGCACAGGGTTCTGCCCCTATTCTGAATATGTCATTTCATCAAGGAGGTCAAAGCCTTTTTTTTCTCCCCAGTATTTGGAAATTACTTTCTTAATGATGCTGCCTTTTAAAAGCTTCACGTACATTATAGTTTTTTAAAAAAATCTTTGGACTGGATCTTACTGAAGTGCAGTTGCTATATTAAAATTAGGGCATAGAGCACAGAAAAATCAAGACCATGAGAAGACATTTAACTACTTTTTATAACTAAATACTCTTTAAATGTTTTATTGCAATACTGTGGATGGAGATGAGAAGCATTCTAAACTTGAGTTAATATAGTTTTATGAAGATTTTTGAGAAAAGAAAAAAATAGCTTGTAGTCAGGTTCATTGGCTTTTGCTGGATGATCTACTTAAAGAAGTTACCTAATTTGGCCTTTTAAAAAAGGTATTAGTGTTCATTATAGCTACTTTCAAGGAAAGTTTGAATATGATTCTAGTCTCTGAAGTTCTTCACATTTTCTGTCATTCCCTGGAGGGTGACTGGGGAAGAATTGCTCTATGGTAGAAGAACCAGGCCCAAGACTTTACCATTCTGTTCTAGGGACAAAGGATACTCAATGAGGAGCTTTTTTCCCCTCTTGGAACAGGTAAAATGCTTTTTCTTATTAACATAATTATAAAACAGTATTTTATGTAACAGCTATTCCCATATTCTAGGAGTGGCCTAAGAAATGCATGTTTCAGTGACTAAGTTATAAATATTCTGTATTGTGAGTAGTTGAATAAAGCAGCCGTTTGTTTCTGCTTCCTGTTCTTGTGATATGAGAATTTTTTAAAAAAGCACAGCAGTCCAACTAAAGAGATCTCTTACTATTTCGAAGTCATAGCAGCCAGTTACTTTACTCTGGAGCTTAGAGCTCTTTTTTCGCATAATGTAAACTAAAGTAGAAAATTCCTTTACCATTCCAGCAGAGTGAGAGGATATGAGCTTAACAGTGTATGTTAGTCTTTTAGCATATTGTATATGATTTTTAAAAGTGGTTCTGAGGTCACATTTTTTAAGGCTTGATTATTTAATGAGAAAGGTATGATTCAGCATATGAATATTTGCTTTTAGTCCACCTTTTAGATATAAAACAAAGTCCAGGAATGTGATAAATATGTGGATAACCAAAGGGTCTATCCCCATCAGAGCACTAGTGACCAGTACATGTCACAAATCATTTATTTTCCAAACATATACAAATACATTTATTCTTTACTTTGGCAGCAGAAACTATGCTTCTGGTGAAAAATCAGCTTAAAATAGAAACTCATCAGCTATTTCACAGCTGTATTATGCCTTTAATTTTCTTGTTATACATATGGAGAATCACAGTGGGACCACAAAATTATACATCTATATTTGAGTATCCTATGTGAATTTGAGGAAATATATTTGTGCATTAACTTACATAAGCTTATATTGATGATTTTATTTTTAGAACTAAATGTAGTTATGAGTAATCACACACACGCACACACACACAAACACACAGGCATGCACATATCCTGAGGCTATATTAAGCTACAGCCTTAATTTTTTTTTTAACTAGACAAATAATGAGCACCTACTGTGTGCTTAGCACTATGCTGGCACTTAAGAGTGGGGTGGAAAATAATGAGTGTAAGACATAGCCTCAGTCTTCCATGTTGAGTCAAATCATCCACATAGCGCTTTTGAAAAATGCAACAGTACCCAATTCAGTGTTAGAATTACTTGTGTCAAAAGTTTAGAGACCTATGTCATCTGCAATAGGGAAGGTTTCAGAGGACTGTTTGGTGGCAGGCTTGTGCATAGTATGTTTTGAATCTAAGAGATGTATAAGAATAGGTAGGCCAGGTGTGGTGGCTCACGCCTGTAATCCCAGCACTTCGAGAGGCTGAGGCAGAAGGATCATAAGGTCAGGAGTTCAAGACCAGCCTTGCCAACATAGTGAAACCCCATCTCTACTAAAAAAAAAAATTAGCTGGACATGGTGGTGCATACCTGTAGTCCCAGCTACTTGAGAGGCTGAGGCAGGAGAATCGCTTGAACCCAGGAGGTGGAGGTTGTGGTGAGCCGAGATCGTATCACTGCACTCCAGCCTGGGCAACAGAGTGAGACTCTGCCTCAAAAAAAAAAAAGAATAGCTTGGTAATCATGGCGACTCAGTATGTGTTTCAAAGGGACTCACTTCAGGTATTCCTATGTCAGAATCCATAGCCATCAGCTATGGATTGCTTTTAGGAAGCTGATACATAGAGATGGCAGAGAGCACATAAATTATTAACAGTGGATCATGGGGAATATTGACCCAAGTCTAGACTCTGTGTAAGAGGCAATCTCCCTTTTCTTTCTAACTTTTTTGGAGTCCCAGGTACATCTTTTCTGGCCTCACTACTGATACATAAGCAACTGAAAAGGGGTCAGAGACTTTCACTGTGAGAGCACTTTCCCTGTAGGCTGCCAGTATAAGATCAAAGACACCAGCCAGGAAAATCCTACTCTTCTTTATTGGCATGGGAGCATAGACGTGGAGCTTTGTGTTTTAGAGTTAATTCAATTTTATTGGGCCAGTAAGCAAGCCCTGATTACTTTTCAGAATTAAGCAAGGCCTGTGGGTCTCTGGGCAGAGGACAGAAGTCTATAGAGATATTGGAAGAGGAGAGAAGAAAGGAAGGGGAAGATGTAGTTAGCAAAAGGTAAATTGGTACATATCATAGAGGGCCCACTTTCATTAATGAGCTGCCAATGTCTCCAGAGCCATTGAGATGGGAGGCCTTTATGAAAGCAAGTTTCATTAAAAACAAGTAACTTGTAACTCAACTTTGTTGAGTCTAGACTTCATATTTACTCCCAACTGGAGAATCTGTAAATAACTTTTACTTGCTAACGATGACATGAATAGAAGCTTTACCCCTCAAAGGGCACTTTCTACCCAGATAGGATCATTACTTCCTACACATTTGGCATCACTGAACAGAATGACAGAATTCATGCTCCTTTCTCTTCACTTTTAGTGATGCTGCTTAAAATATTGTAATGAACCCAACTTGCATATTTAGGTTGTCCACATCGACTTTAATGGTAAGAGTTTGCTACCCAGATTTCTGGCAGCCTAAAAAGTGTGAAATGGTAATGGGTATAGTCATAGTGGCTATTTAGGATAATTTCTTTTACTTGGCATACTAATATAGCTGTGTAGTTCAGATAAAGCTTTAAATAAAACTTTAATATTTTCGGCCAACATCAGGTTGTGCTGGCCATTTGTATGTAATAATAGACTAGACTCTTTTTTTTTTTTTTTTTTTTTTTTGAGATAGAGTCTGCTCTTTCACCCAGGCTGGAGTGCAGTGGCGCAGTCTCCACTGACTGCCACCTCTGCCTCTTGAGTTCAGGCAATTCTCTCCTGCCTCACCCTCCCCAATAGCTGGGATTATAGGTGCCCACCACTACGCCCAGCTAAGTTTTGTATTTTTAGTAGAGACAAGGTTTCACCATGTTGGCCTCGAACTCCTGACCTCAGGTGATCCCACCCACCTCAACCTCCCAAAGTGTTAGGATTACAGGCATGAGCCACCGTGCCTGGCCAACTCTTTACATTTTAAAACAATGTGTTCTTTCTATAATCCCAAAGACTCAAATACAATGAAGTATGTACTTTCACCTCAAAATGTGATAAACAACTAAGTTGGGATGCAACCTAGGCAGTAGGCTGGATTCTCACTTGCTAAACAATCTGGTCTCAACTTCAGTCTCAGATTTATGTTGTAAAATATACACCTGTGTTAAAGGTCATGGAGGAGGAGTGGGGCAGCACTTAGCATCAGAACCAAATGATAAACCTAAAGAGACCAGTCTTTTCATCTTGTTACTCTGCACAGTTTTCATTTGACCTCTAGCCACTTAGACCAGTAACTCAGTTTTCAACACATGGTAGGGCAAACTGGTATGTTCACTTATAGAGGCTTGATAAAAAGTGTTTCCGGAATATTTTTTAAATGGAGCAGCATTGTGCATTTGTTACAGACTTATTTGACTTAAACCTGTACTATTGTATAGATTACATCAAACTGGAATAGCCTGCATTCTCTTGACAAGAAAATGGTAGTTCTAGCCTTAAGGCTTTGACCCAGTAAGAACTTTCAATGACATGAAAGCTGTGTGGTGTATTTTTTTTTTTTTTTTTTTTTTTGGAGACAGTCTTGCTCTGTTGCCAGGCTGGAGTTAGTGGTGCTATCTTGGCTCACTGCAACCTCCACCTCCCAGGTTCAAGTGATTCTCCTGCCTCAGCCTCCCAAGTAGCTGGGATTAGGCACGTGCCACCACGCCCAGCTAGTTTTTGTATTTTTAGTCGAGATCGGGATTCACCATGTTGGCCAGGATGGCCTCGTTCTCTGTCCTGATCCGCCCGCCTTGGCCTCCCAAAGTGCTAGTTACAGGCGTAAGCCACTGTGCCCAGCCTGTGTGGTGTATTTTTAACACTTGTTTTTAGAATATGCAAGAAATACATGGGGATGGTTTTATTTTCACAATTGGTTAAAAAAATTCCTCAAAGTTTAGGAGTTTTAGTGTGTTGTAATTTGAAGAGAAGTCTTAAAATTCAGAGGTACCATTGGAAAGATAAAAGTTTGGGTTTTACTTTAGAGGAATACATATTTCATTTTTAAAATTCATAATTTGCTTCATACCAAGAATACAAAGAATCCTTTACACTTACTTGATGGTTTTGTACAGCAGAGTTTAAAAATAATTTACATTAAATGGCAAGTATGACTTGGATCAATAGCTCTTCAGTTAATCAGAAATGAAGCGATTTTACTTGAAAGTCAAGCCCATTTCAGATGTTCAGAGCATATATTTTCTTTTTAGAAGTTTGTCTTCAAGTACCGAGAACTACTAATGCTTCTAATCCATGGCAATATCAAGAGCGATGTATAATAAATATATAAGTACAGTGTCAGTACAACCCTTTTAAAATAAATAAATTTACCTTAAACACCAACTCAATCTACTTTTGCTTTAAAAAATTGTTAGGTTTCTTGTTAAGACATTGCAATTCAGTCGATATTAAATTATACATCATTCTAATTTTGAAAACCAAAAATGAGTAGTCTGTGATTAAGCAATAGCCTTTTTTAAAGCAACCCTATTAACTGAATAAGCAATAACCTTAAACAAAAAACCCCAATATTATTTCTACATGTAAAAAATCCTAAAGAAGAGTGCACTGTGGTACACAATACAGGAACTAAATTGAATTTTAATGACTCTTACGTTATAGGACATATTTACACTTGAAATGCTCCAAAGCTTCCAATTCTCAGCCATAAAATGTATGGCTAAACTTCCTTTCTTGTTTTCAGATCTTTGTGCCCCTTGTTCCCAGTTCTCTTAGTTGTGTTGGCAAATTAAGGTCCTTGGGCCAAATCTAGCCTGCCCCCTGTTTTTGTATGGCCCCTGAACTAAGAATAGTTTTTACGTTTTTAAATGGTTGAAAACAAGTCAAAACAAGAATATCTGTGACGTGAAAAATATATGAAATTCCAATTTCAGTGTCCATAAATACAGTTTTATTGGAATACAGCCACGTTCCTTCATGTATGTGTTGTCTGTGGCTGCTTTTGCACTACAACGGCAGAATTGGGTGGTTGCAACGTATTTTATGGCCCCCAGCCCTAAAATATTTACTATTTGGCCCTTTACAGACAAGCTTGCTGACCCTTGCTCTAAGTCAATTTGTGATGATTTTTCCAACTGCTAACAAACATTTATAAAATGGCAGTCTCCTGGGCTTCATTGCTTCATTCATCTGTAAATTGGTTGGTGGCAACTAGCCCTGCGCCATTTTGCTTCTCTTCAGCATGGATCTCACATGTGTGAAGACTTCAGTTCAGAAATCATCAATTTCCAGTTTAAGTCTGATGAAAATAAGTAAATTATATTTTTTTCCACCATGTTCACTCTTTAACATTCTTGCTGAAAGAGCTTCACCTGTAATGTTGTATACAGAGGCTTATTAGAATATTGAAAATGAAGAAACAGAAACACTTACGGTATAGCAAGGGTTCAGAGTTTTCCAGCCACAGTTCTAGTGGCTAGGTTTGGGGAAGAGACTGTTTCCTCTGTACTCACAATGTTAGAACATGATGTTTCTGGGAAGTAGAACATTAGGTTATTTCTGCCTTGGACATATTTCACATTCTTTAGAAAGTTTTCTTTTTTAAAAAAAAATCACATTCAAATAAACTGTTCAACTTTAAGAAAAGGTGGAATTCCTTCAACTAAACTACTACTTCAGATAAGATGAATACGTTCTTATTTAAAAATTGGTAGATTATTGAAACTTTAAAAGGGATCATTTTAGAACAAATATGAAATACTGTGTTCCTAGAAAGTGGCAAAAATACTAAACTTCTTTATTTTCGCTCACTCTCCCTCTCGTCTGGCTGGACCTCTGCCTCCAAAGTTCAAGCAATTCTCCTGCCTCAGCCTCCTGCATAGCTGGGACTACAGGAATTTTGTATTTTTTGGTAGAGACGGGGTTTCACCATGTTGGCCAGGTTGGTCTCGAACTCCTGACCTCAAGTGATCCACACACCTCAGCCTCTCACAGTGCTGGGATTATAGACATGAGCTACTGTGCCTGGCCCTAAGCCCTAAACTTGTTTTCTTATGAGCCCTTCTTTTCTTCTTTTCTTTTACAAGTGCTCTTTCTTGAAAAGACCATTGTAAAGGAGGTCATAACGTGGGATGTCAATTCACATAGATGCATCAATGACTTATAAGAGAAGCCTTCCTAGCTTTTGTTTTGTCTTGAGACAAAGTCTTGCTCTGTCACTAGGCTGGAGTGCAGTGACGCAATCTCGGCTCACTGCAAGCTCCGCCTCTTGGGTTCAAGTGATTCTCCTGCCTCAGCTTCCCAAGTAGCTGGGACTACCAGCATGCACCACCATGCCCAGCTAATTGTTGTGTTTTTAGTAGAGACGGGGTTTCACCATGTTGGCCAGGATGGTCTCAATCTCTTGACCTCGTGATCCGCCTGCCTCAGCCTTCCAAAGGGCTGGGATTACAGGCGTGAGCCACTGCGCCCGGCCAAGCCTTCCCCAGCTTTAAGCAAAGTTGTGAACTCAACAGAATTATTCTAAATATATGCTTGCTTAGAAGAAGAAAATAGAATGTCATGTGAATCCGTTGGTCAGAAAAAATACTTGCTACAGGACAATAGAATCTAAAGGCAATCATCTAAATCACTATCAATCACCCTCCCCTAGTCTCCTAAAATATAAGCAGTTAGCAATGTTCATTACAGTAGGCATATTATTTTTAAGTCAAATTTCTAATGGAGTTGTATTCTTCTGTACTTAAGAAGTAATCTTGTAGCACATAGAGGGCTCTTTATATGTAGAGCAGTATATGACCAATTTGCCAGCTTTAGTGTAATTTCATCTCATTACAGAAGCTACAGAGGCATGTATAATATCACACCTATGATTTATTTGATACTAATGCTGGATATGGAAAACTATTTAAAATTTTGACCACTGCAGAGTGTAATATAGGACACCAGTTATTTTAGGAGTTGCTCTTTAAATGTGGAAACATGGTCTCGATGTATTGGGCCTTCTTTTGGGCTGTTGTAAGTCAAATTTGGCTCTGTCAAGAGGCATCACTGAGTTCTTTAATAGTGAGTTTCTGCAGTTTGGCAGTTTTGTATGAGAAGGTCCTCATTGTCATAAAGGCAGATAGTGAAGCTCTGTGACGTAAGCAGCAATGCTTTCACTGTGCTGTTGATCTTGGGAATTTTAAATCTGTGAACTACCATGGAACAGGTGAAAAGCTGGCTTTAATGAACCCTTAGGCTCATTAGGAAACTAAGCGAAAAGGAGAAACCATTGGTTCCCTCGCATGCTTTTATTCAGGTCTCATGTAAATAATTTGTTTTAAGATAAAATGAAGTTTATGTGAATATCAAGCAGTAAATTTACTGCATTTTCAAGATTGAGGCTGTTATGTTATTTTGCTTTCTTTTTAACCATATCGTGGATGCCAGATTATTGTTTAATTGAGGCAGAAGGAGATGAGGTTGTTGAGGCTACATCAAACCTAAATTAGAACAGCAATAAAACTAGAAATCCAAAAGAATAAAAGCTGGATGATCCATAGAGACCTTGAAGAATGTTCCTGTCAGTTATTTATAATGAAGACAGTTGTCTGATGAAATAAGGCTGTCATAGTACTTTGAGCAAGTTGACTTCTTGGGACCTTTGCTTATCTACAAAGTAAGAAGGTCTAAAATTACAAAAGCTCAAGTTACATTTTTTTTTTTTTTTTGAGACAGAGTTTCGCTCCTGTTGCCCAGGCTGGAGTGCAATGATGTGATTTCAGCTCACCGCAACCTCCACCTTCCAAGTTCAAGTGATTCTCCTGCCTCAGCCTCCTGAGTAACTGGGATTACAGGCATGCACCACCGTGCCCAGCTAATTTTGTATTTTTAATAGAGACGGGGTTTTGCCATGTTGGTCAGGCTAGTCTTGAACTGACCTCAGGTAATCCACCTGCCTCGGCCTCCCAAAGTGCTGGGATTACAGGCGTGAGCCACCGTGCCCAGCCTCTTTCCTGTTTTCTTTATAGGCAGTGCTCAGTAGAACATCACGTTACACATATCTTCAGAACCCTTTTCCTGTTTTAAGGTCCCATGCCTACCTGCCTTCGAGGGGCATCCTCTTGTTGGAAAAGATAAATGACATTGTGCTAATTATGCCTTACAAAGTAGTTTAAGTTAAGCCCTGTTCCGGGATGGTGCAATGACTTACTATACCTGGGTTAAACATGCTGCCCTTAGTCACTGTCGGTAATCCATTGTGTCACTGGAGGACAAGCCACCCACAGGTTTCTCCTCCTTGGTTTGGATACTTTCTGAGGTCAAGAGCTGAGAAGGTGATGTAAGTCCTCGGGGCTGTTTAGTTGACTTGGTGAGCTTCTTGAGTTCACTTGCAAAAGAAATGCCTTTCTTTTTATCTTCTCGAGATGCCTGTGGGAACAAAGAACTTTCCGTTGGTATTAGGTTAAACTCAGGTTCCTCAGTCACATGACCCTATTTCAGAAGAGCGCCTTCTTGTCTCTAGAGCTTTGGAGATTAGGGCTGAGGAGCTCCCCTCTAGGACTGCTTAACCGCAAGTTCGGCCACATGTTTTTCCATGCAGTGAAAACAAAGCCAAACAATTTTCTCCTAACTCCATTCCTTGACTCAAGAACTTTCTCTTAAATTTCACCAGCTTCCAGATCTGGCTACAGTGTGATTATGAGTATCAGATAACTTATGAACAGAGACAAATAACTTTAAACTTTACCTGCACCTGCTCCTTTAGCTTAAGGATGAATTTTCCTGCACCTTTCCACTTGCTTTGGGCTTGAAACACACACTCCTGATCCAGAAGGACCCGCTGAGAGGACTTGGGTGTGGTAGACTTCTTGTTGGTAGTGTCTTTCACCACCTCTTCCAGAAGCACATAGTCACTCGGATTGGGGTTGCTCAGGATGCTGTAGGAATATTTGGCTTTGCATAAGGTCTGAAAGGTAAGTGATGATCAACTGAGTAAAGACACAGAATCTCCAACATTGGCATTCATTCTATATGAAACTTTAAGGTGGAAAAATGGCCCAGACTAGAGATGAAGGGCATCTTCCAGATCGTCTCATCCAGTTCATTTTGCAGTTGTATACTTGTAGCTTATTATGTAGTTTCCCACATCACCTCATTTAGCTTCCCAACAGTCTATGATTTAGGTGTTATCCCGAATTTCAGACGAGGAAGCTTAAAATTAACACAGGTTAAGCAGATTCCAGGATATACACAGCTATAATAGTAACAATAAAGGTCTGAATCAGATTTTCTGCATGTACCAAAGCTCATAGACATGAAAGTCAGCCTGTGAGGAATAGAATCTTGCTCTTCAGGAGCCTCTCTGTCCCGCTGGGCTATCTCTATCACAGAGTCTTGGATGTTGAAAGAATTTTAGAAGTCAACTGATCTCTCTTTTCATTTAATATAAGAATGTCTTTCATTGATGCATTTATTAATTCATTAAATGTTTAGTGAGGGCCAACTATGCCCCGGATACTGTGCAGTCCTTTTAGGGGAGACAAAGATAAATTAAAGAAATGTAAGTCTGGGCCCTTTGGAATTCAAAGTCAACTGAATAAGAAGGCTATTATTAACCAAGTTATCATACAATAAGAACAGCAAGTAACCCTTAAGTAATGTTCACCATTTGCTAGGCATTGTATTAAACATCTTACATATACTTAATCTTCAAGGAAAGTACTACTGTCTCCATATTGTCTATGTGGTGACTTATCATGTAGTGTTTTGCTGGAGCCAACGGGAATAGGCTGATGAAATCAGATACAGTAGGGGCATTTACACAAAAGAAATAAATAAGGGCTTTTCTTTTACTTTTACATTACAAAGAGCTAGTTTACCAGCACACTAACAAAGGCACAGATCTGAGCTCTTACTCCAGGTCTCAGTAAGAAGTAGAGCTGGGATTTGAACCTAACACAGCTTGATCTAGGGTCTGTGCTCTTAATCGTGTTGTACACCTTCAAATAGGTGTTTGATGAATGCCTACCCTAATGAGGCCATGAAGGAAGCAAACTTCTCTGAAACCATGTAAACTCAGAGAAGCATGCTTTAGAGGAGGGGAGAGGATCAGAGTAGGCCTTCCACTTGTCCTCTGTAGGATCCTTGAGAGATGGTCAGTAGGTACTGGCTGAGGTATTTCTGGGACCATGACATTGTCACTGCAGAGCCACTTCCTAAATCCATTATCATCAATGCTCTATAGAGATCTAGACTCACTGTAGACACTAAGTGTCTGCTGAAGGACTGAATTAATATTTCCAAGCTTTAAAAATTTTTAAATTTGTTTTTATTTTAAGACCAGGCTGGAGTAAAGTGGCATAATTTCGGCTTATTGCAACCTCTGCCACCTGGGTTCAAGCGATCCTCCTACCTCAGCCTCCTGAGTAGCAGGGACTACAGGTGCATACTACCATGCCTGGCTAATTTCTGTACTTTTTTTTTTTTTAGACGAAGTCTAGCTCTTGTTGCCCAGGCTGAAGTACAATGGCGCGATCTTGGCTCACTATAACCTCTCCCTCCCGGGTTCAAGCGATTCTCCTACCTCCGCCTTCCAAGTAGCTGGGATTACAGGCGCTTGCCACCAGGCCCAGCTAATTTTTGTATTTTTAGTAGAGATGGGGTTTCACCATGTTGGCCAGGCTGGTCTCGAACTCCTGACCTCAGGTGATCCACCCACCTCAGCCTCCCAAAGTGTTGGGATTACAGGCGTGAGCCACCATGCCCAGCAATTTTTGTACTTTTTATAAAGACAGGGTTTCGCCATGTCGGCCATGCTGGTCTCAAATTCATGAGCTCAAGTGATCTGCTCACCTCAGCCTCCCAAACTGCTGGGATTACAGGTGTGAGCCACCGGGTTGGTCATTTTTTAAAATTAGAGACAGGGCCTGACACTGTCATCCAGGCTGCATAGCTCATTGCAGCCTCCAACTCCTCTGCCCAAGTGATCCTCCTGCCTTAGCCTCCTAAAACTGGGATTACAGTCATGAGCCACCACATGAGACAACTTCCCAGCCTTAAGAGGCACACACTCCCCTTTGAGGTCCCTGTTGTTCAGGAACTTCATTCATAAAATGAGCCGTCAGTGCACAGACGTTTGTTTCAGTAATTTATGCTGAGGAAAGGACTGAGTTGAGGAAGGGAGAGGCTTTTACCTGCTGAATGACATCCTGTGCGGTGCTGACGCGGGGTGCTTTGATGACTGTTCGAGGTTGCTCTGGAGAAACATCATGCACTTGGACAAAGAAACTCTCCTCCTCTGAGCTCAAGATCACCTCTTTGTCGTCTTGAACAATGTTTTTCTCTTCTAGGTTCTATGTTTAAAAAGAAAAATATGAGTAAATAATAGGCTTATGCAGAAGAAAGAAAGCTAGCAAAAATCTGAGCTTGTATCTTGGTGATGTAGAAACTTCTTAGCTTAATATCATATACTATGTTATTTCATAAACTGTTCTAAAAGGATATACGTGTCTTCTGAGAGGAAGAAACTTCTGTGCTTCTGATGATGTTGACAGATCCATAACAAGCCAATTTATCTGCTCCTATTAGCTGTGGATTTTTATTTTTTATTTTTTTGAGATGGAGTCTTGCTCTGTTGCCCTGGCTGGAGTGCAGTGGCACGATCTTGGCTCACTGCAGCCTCCGCCTCCTGGGTTCAAGCAGTTCTCCTGCCTCAGCCTCCTGAGTAGCTGGGATTACAGGTGTGCACCACCATGCCTGACTAATTTTTGTGTTTTTAATAGAGACAGGGTTTCACCATGCTGGCCAGGCTGGTCTTGAACTCCTGACCTTGTGATCTGCCCACCTCAGCCTCCCAAAGTGCTGGGATTACAGTGTGAGCCACTATGCCCAGCCTACCTGTGGATTTTGAGAGTCCGAGTTGACTGTAGATAAATTTGTAGAAAGGCAATATACCATTTTGCCAAGTAGCAAAAGCCAAATAAGAACACAGTAAACTGCATTTAAAAGAAAGCCCACCCTTTTCCACAGACGTTGTGCATTTCAGAAATGCTAGACATCTGAAATGTAAACCATGAAATTGACAGGTTGGGTGAAGAAAACCGCAGTGACAAGGCTGAATGAATGGCTGGAGGTAAGCCACATTGAAACAAATTTTGACAAAATTCACAGTAATTATGAGAATTAGATTAATTGACTTTTGGTGAATTATGTATCTACAGATAGATGTATCTTATTAAAAATTTTCAAACAGTACAGAAGTATATCAAGAAAAACCAGACTTTTCCCATTCTCATCTTTTCTCCTTCTCCCACCTTAATCTCCACAAAATACCCCACTGTCATTAGGTAATACATCCTTTTAAACATTTGCTGTGGATGTTCAAATGTATTTTTGTGTATGTGACTGTGTAAAGCAACACCCTTGAATTATGTGAATTTAGATATAATGTGATTGTCAAGCAGCTGCTGTTCTTTGTCCGCCCCATTTTCAAATGAGGATAGCTTAGTTAACTTTTGCAAGAGGGAGACTTAATAAAGGGGAAGGAGAGGCAAAGTAAGTAAACAGTAGTCAGCCTCATTCAGAAAGTGAGGACTTGGCAGGAAAACCTCCTTATCCCCAGAATTGTAGCCTCATCTCTCCAGACCAGGCTACTGAAATGGTGCTAACTAACCAGAAGAACCCATGAGTTGCTGTCACTATCCTGGAAGTTTCAACTAGAATTGCACCCACTGATTAAATTAAAGTCAGAATAGGTAACTGCCACCAGGTGGCGCCAAAACTGTAACCAGGGCCAGAAAGGACTGGCCCCTGAAGCTTGCCCCAATCATTTAATTACCTTTGCAATCATGGCCCTTTAGTTACATGATTTTTTGTTAAATAAATAAAGATATATAATCTATTTTAACTTTTTTCAGTGAGTGAAAAAATCCATTTGAATTTTTTCCTATTATATAATGGAAGAGAGGGAAGAGACGAGCTATTGTCTCTTTTTGCATAAAATGAGATTGTATCCTATGTATACTGTTTTAAAACTTGCTTAATAATACGTCATTGCATTGATCATAATATATTTAACCAGTCAGAGGGCAGGATTTAGAGGTAATTCACATGACATACTTTATAATCTGTGTCCCCCAAACCAGGAGGCAAGAAATCAGAGAAAACCAAAAAGTTGCCACATAAAATGCCCCAACAACGATGCATTAAGCTTTACTTTTAAGAGAGCACCTTTGAGCCTCCCTCAGAGCTTATTTTAATGTGTTTCTAGCCACATTAGTTGGAAGCCACAGGTTATGAACAAAATAACAATAGCCCTCGCTTATATCCCTTTTTACTAAGCATTGTTGTACACATTGTCTGTCTACGTTTGACGTGAGTCTCATGGTAATTTCTTTGAGTCAAGTAGTGTAGTTTCTATATAGATTTTACAAATTAGGGCAGTGTGCTTTAAAGAAGTTAGGTGGCCTGTTCATTGTGACAGAGTCCTGGTTTACCCAATTTCAAACCCAGTAACAGAAGAGGACACATTGACCACAGGAAGATGTGGTACCCGACAGCCTGAAAGCCCAGGAGACAAGAAAATTATAAAAGGCAGGCAGGAGAGATCAGAGGTCACAGATAGCAATTGCAGAATTTTCATATATGGGCAAACTGCTTATATGTCTTATTAGTTCCATGGGATAAAATAAATGCAAATACTTATAGCCCAAATTTATCTCCTCTAGTAGTACCTACCCTCTTGCATTCAGTAAGTACTGAATTCATTTATTCAATTGGCAGATATTATTTGGGTATCACTATGCACCAGGTAAACCTAGATACACTAAATTTATTATCTTTTGAGATATTTTTCAGTCATTTCAAAAATTTCCTAACAAAGGCATATAAAGGAGAACTTGCCATATTTTACTCATCAGAAAAAGCTTGTTAGCTTTCCCTTCTGACTTATGCCCCTTTTTCTTCAAAATGCTTTCTTTTACCAGCTTTTTGGAAGCATATTTCTGAGGTCTCTACTGCCTGTTGTCATACTTTTTTTTTTTTTTTTTTTTTTTTTAAGATGAAGTCTTGCTCTGTTACCCAGGCTGCAATGCAGTGGTGTGATCTTGGCTCACTGCAACCTCTGCCTCCTGGGTTCAAGTGATTCTCCTGCCTCAGCCTCCTGACTAGCTGGGACTACAGGTGCCTGCCACCACGCCTTGCTAATTTTTTTACTTTTAGTAGAGATGGGGTTTCACCACGTTGACCAGGCTGGTCTCGAACCCCTGACCCCAGGTGATCCACCCGCCTCGGCTTCCCAAAGTGCTGGGATTACAGGTGTGAGCCAACGCGCCCAGCTTGTTGTCATACACATTTAAATTGTATTTAAATAAATTAAAATGCATATTTAAGTTGCATTTAAATATGCTCAGAGGAACTCCCCTCCCCGGTTCCTCTGAGCATATAATGAAGCTTCCTGTGACACTCAGCAGCCAGCCCATCTCTCTAGCCCACCCACTCCCTCCTCCTCCTCCCAAGGTGCTGAGTGTGGGTGATCCACAAGGATGGACACAATTTCAGCCTGGGTAGCACAGGATGGCGGAAAGAACACTGACCTGGAAGCCATAGACTTGAATTCTTTCTACTTCTAACCCTGTCATGATTTCACCTCTCTGAATCTATTTCTTTAAGTGTAAAATGGTTTCTGTTATATCATTCAACATACTGTTTGAGGGCTTTCAACACTAAATCATATGCAAATATGAAGTTTAAAATTTTACTGATTCACTGACACCACTTAGAGGATACTTTTTACATGTAGCTAATAAGGCAAGACAATTTAAGAACAGGAAAAAAATTTAGACATTAAAAATGGCTTCAAAAGTATAGCTAAGCCCTCTGATATTTTATCATAAAGCAATTATTATTAGGGTTGCCTGGTCTCTGTCTTAGCAATTAGTGTGTCTTAATAGGGAGAGAAGGCTGGGGAGACAATTGCATTTTTTGCTTAAATGAAGTGTCCTTTCATCGTTTTAGGCAAGGTCAGGGAAAGAAGGCAGTGGCTCTGGGCTCTCGAGGTGATGCTAGAGCTCTGTAGAGCTTCAGATCACGTTCACTGTGACTAGAAAGTGAAAAGTAACACATAATGGTGAACATTGGCTATTATCTTCACTGTGCCCTAGCAAGCATGGGCCTGAGGGACCTTCTATCAGGCAAGCACTATCACATGCCCCAAAGGAGCAGATCATGTGCCCAGAACAGGGCTTGGCACATATTAGGTGCTCAATAAATATTTATGTAATCAAATTGTTGAATAGACCCAACTGCTTGATTATCAACACGTCACGAGGCATGATTGTCTATGCTAGAGAAATGACCTTATATGTCATTTTTAAGTTAGTAGCGTTTGCTAATTCAGAAAAAAAAAAAAGTGCTTCATCAATTAAGTCAAATAGGAGCCAATCAGTTTGGAGTCAGCATGGCATTGGTGCATCCTTTCCTGCCTGGGAATGATCATGGGGATCTCAGCACATGTAATACAAATGGTTACTAATTCTGACTCAGGCCAAGAGATTATTCTTACTTTGTATGAAGTTCTGGAATATTTTCAAAGAAATATTACTGTTTTACTTATAAGCACGGAAGCTTCTATTAGCTAAAACTTCAGCAGGCACCAACTGGAAATCATCAACCCCGAAATAGAAGATACCTGCAGGTTTTGCATTATACAGTAATGTGACCCTTACAACAATGTCTTTCCACACGTAGAAATAAAATACTGGATCCACAGCTGATGACAGGCATAAGGAATCTTTGCTTCCTTTATCTTATAAGGGATGTTTTTATTTATTTTTAAAATGGAATAGTTTCTTTGCATGAGAAAACCTTTTTTTTTTTTTTTTTTTTTGAGATGGAGTCTTGTTCTGTCACCCAGGCTGGAGCACAATGGCACGATCTCAGCTCTCTGCAACCTCTGCCTCCTGGGTTCAAGCAATTCTCCTGACTCAGCCTCCCTCATGAGCAGCTGGGATTACAGGAGCCTGCCACCATACCTGGCTAATTTTTGTATTTTTAGTAGAGATGGGGTTTCACATTGTTGGCCAGGCTGGTCTTGAACTCCTGACCTCTAGTGATCCGCCCACCTCGGCCTCCCAAAGTGCTGGGATTACAGGCGTGAGCCACTCTGCCCGGCCTAAGGGATGTTTCTTAGATTGAATTTCTGTACCTTAGAGATAGTATTCTGAATATGTACAGAAGAAGAAAACTGTTCATCCATATTTACTTAAGAATATAAACCAAGTTGCAATTACAAGAAATTCTGAAGGTCAGGGAGGCGGTGAGTGGTAACTGGCTAATCACATAATGAGTTGTTACTGTGTAAGCTGCACCAGACACACTTACTTCCTGCTGGGTTTTTAAGACAATCCTGCCCACATATCCCTCTTCTGGAAACCAGCTGCTTAAAATTTGCACAATCTCCTCTTCTGGTCCAATGACTCTTTGGAATGGTTGTTTCCTGCATTCATTCTTTTCTTTAGATATAAAATATTTTTCTTCCATCAAAAAATAGTCTGTGGTAACAGGTTTGATGTCTTGTTCAGTTGTCAGAATCTAAAGAAAAAGTGAAGGCAAACTGAGGAGTGAGAAAAAAACTTAAATTCAAAACAAATAGACTTTCATGGTGTTCAGATAGGTTTGCTATGCAATTTATAAGTGAAATTTACTCTAGAGTATTGCATAATTCTTTTTGGAAGATCTAAGAATTCTCTTATGTTCAGAATGGATTGTTTATGTTCACTCCGGGCAACGGCACAACTTATTCATAATCCCCAGACAGCATAACTATTTTTCCCACTGCTGGAATGAGAGCTCCTCGTGAATTAAAAATTTTAGGTTTCTCATTCCATGAACTTAGCCCTTTGTAATCTTGCAACACAGGACCGAGGGCAAATAACCTAGTTTAGTATTTACTAAGACAATCTCTTTTTCTCACATTGGAAATACTCGGTCATCTTCTCATGGAAGGTTTGTAGGGCGAGGTTCTCATGTGGTCTAAGTTCCTGGGAATTCTTCTTTAAATAAACTTCTGACAGTGTGCTTAAAGCGCTTGTTTTCTTTGTTGGCTATATGCAGTCAAACAGGACAGCTGAGACAAAGCTCTGGAACCAGACAGACCTGAGTCTGAGGTTGGTCTTTAATACTTGTTAGCTATGAATTATTGGGTAAAATACTTAATCCCTTGGAGGCCGTTTTCCGATCTACACAATGGAAATAGTAGTAGTAGCAGTCTTAATTTTGTTTTATGGTTGAAGCATAAATCATAACATGGGTATGTTATGAGAACTCAATAAAGATGAGCCATCATTATAGTTACCTTTTTTTTTTTTTTTTTTTTTTTTTTTTTGGAGACAGAGTCTCCCTCTGTCGCCCAGGCTGGAGTGCAGTGGCGCAATCTTGGCTCACTGCAACCTCCGCCTGTAGGCTCAAGTGATTCTTGTGCCTCAGCCTCCTGAGTAGCTGGGATTACAGGCGTGCACCATCATGCCTGGCTAATTTTTGTAGTTTTAGTGGAGACGGGGTTTCACCATGTTGGCCAGGCTGGTCTCAAATTCCTGACCTCAAGTGATCTGCCTGCCTCAGTCTCCCAAAGTGCTGGGATTACAGGCATTATAGTTTTACCAGTGTATTCTTTCTCACTCATATTGTACAGGTTACCACAAAAGGCTGAACTTGAAGGGAGTAAAGGTCAGTCGCAGCAAAGAAACTCCCTTGGTTGCCTTCCTGTGAGAAGTAGCTTGGTAATGAGAGAAAGCTGCCACCATCTGGCCTGGATTAAGCAAACACCCTTCTCCTCAGGCCCCTGCCAATAAGGCAAAGCCCAGAGTGAACACATCTCGCCAGGAGGAAAAGCAGAATGTGATGGACTGAGGGCGGTGGAAGTGAAGGTTCTCAGGAAGACTCAAATCTCTCTGCCCCAGCCCTTGGTCTATAATCGATGCAATGCTGTTGACTCAAAAGGGGGCCAAGGCAAATACTGCAGGGATAATTCAGGATGTAAAGCTTCTGGACCACCTCCACAAGAGGGCCAGCATCACCCCCTGCTCAGTCCTGCTTTACATCTGTGTGCTGATTTGCATGGGTGACAATAAAGCAATGGACTGCTATGGGTGGCTCTTGGAAAGTTTTACTTTACAAAACTTCAGCAGTGCTTTGTGATAGTGGACACTGAAGTACATGGACTGATGTATTAAAACCAAAACAAACCGTTGGCAATAGCTTCTGTTTGATAATCTATGAAATTTGACATCTGAGCTGTTTTCTCTATTTAAGTCAGTTATAAAATGTTGGACAGAACGTTAGCCTGTCTATAGAGATGTGCCCTTAAAGGACAGAGCCATTTATTAACACTTATTATTCGTAATTGTTCAGTTGGTTTTTAATTCCTCCAAATGTTATGATCCCAGCTACATTTCATCATATACCCTAACTTCAGAGGGAGCTCAAGGGCCATTCCCTTGGTCATTGCTTCCTTTAGTCTACCCCTATTCAGGAGAAGGAATTCTTTTTTATTTTTTTGAGACAGAGTCTCGCTCTGTCACCCAGGCTGGAATGCCGTGGTACGATCTTGGCTCACTGCAACCTCTGCCTCCCAGGTTCAAATGATTCTCCTGCCTCAGCTTCCCAAGTAGCTGGGACGACAGATGTGCACCACCACACCTAATATTTGTATTTTTAGTAGAGATGGGGTTTCACCATGTTGGCCAGGATGGTCTCCATCTCTTGACCTCGTGATCCGCCTGCCTCAGCCTCCCAAAGTGCTGGGATTATAGGTGTGAGCCACTGCGCCCGGCCGCACCGAGAAGGAATTCTGAAATGGGTTAAGGATAAAATCATCTGCAAGGATTTTAGGCCACCGTACCAAGCAAGGGTAGCGCTTCTAGTGTGGAAAAAAAAAAGGAATTACACATGGGCCCTGTCTCGCCCTTTGGAGGACATGCCCCTCCCTCTTTAGATGCTGCTCCGTGTCCCTGGCTCTCACTCTTAGAAGTCCCCCCATGGATGGGGACCTGTCTGCAGAAGGCCCCAAAGATCCTTTGGAGGGGGATCTAGGGCAGAGGTGGCACAGCGTAAAGAGGCTTAGGCCAATTGTGTTACAGGGCTTGGGGTAACAGGCTTCAGGGTCTCCATGCCTCTTACTGCCACCAAAAGGAGAGGACCTCAAATGCCAAGGTCAAGTGCCAGGGGAGGGGAGCAAGGTGGCTGCTCCACATGCAAAGGAAGGCCTTAGGCTGGAGGGGCAGGAAATGTCTTCTTGGCCCATGTGGCCCATCCTGAAGCTCTAAGAATTTGATTCAACTCCTTGGATGACAAGATTCCAATCACCTAATGTGCAAATTCTCACTGATTACTAATCTCTGCGTGAAGAAGGAAGACTAGGCCATGTCCAGGCTTAGGACGAAAGCGTATATATGGTTGGAAGGCCACTCATTCTGGTCTTTACCATTCTAGAGCCTAGTATTTTATATAGCTTAAGAAGAATTAAAAAATCTTCTCTACAGGTTAAGGTAGTTTGTCTAGTGGTACCACGATTCATCAGATGATTCTTAGAGAGGATCTCAACGTTGAATAACACATTTCCAAATAATCAGAAGGCATATCATCAACATGGACTTTTGCGCATTTATGTGCATCTGTATGTGTTTACACACACAGGCATTTTATACACACACGTACATCCATACATCTTAGATTTTGCATTCTCTCAACCATGGCTCAGGGGACTTACTTGCTGCAGAAGCTGCTTTGCCTTGGTGCCTCCATTAATAGTGAAAACAGTAAAGGGCTCTGGCCCTGGGACCCCATGCACCGTGACTCTGTGAGTCTGCAAACATTTTCTTTCTTCTGTATTAAACATCTGTCAAGAAGATCACATGGCTGATCATTCATCCTTAATCACATATTTCTAAGCTCTATTTGATACAGAAGTGCTAGTACTTAGAAGTATGGATAGCAACATGTAAATGCAAAAGGTGAGAGTCCATTTGTAGCCCAGTGCATCTTAATGTGGTAGAAGGGGCAATGCTACCTCTTCCTCAATCATTTAGTGAGGGTATTTCATAAGCATATCACCAAAATATCAATTTATTTTAAATTACGGTGTATCTTTCCATCACAATTAGAGGCTGATATTATCTGAAATGTACATTAGTTCTTACTTATTAACTGATGTTCCACAGTATCTATTGAGTTCCATCTCTCTTCAGGGTACTGGGCTAGAAATTTGGATGGTAATAATAAAATGTTCTGCCCTTACAGAGTACACCATTCAGGCACACGAATCATTATAATGCAAAAATATATCTGTTAAGAAAGAGCTGGGTAAGTATGTAACTTAATTCTTTGGGCATTTTGTGTATTAAGATATATTCATTCATTCAAAATAAGTAATTTATGGAAGGCTTATAGTGAATCAGACATTATGCCCATCCCTAGAAAATCAGTGGCAAATGGGACACTATCCCTGCCAAGGGCTTCCAGGTGAATGAGACAGCTAGAGGGAAATGTAGGCAGTTGTAAGGAGCATGGTACATTCCTTGCAAACCCAGAGGAAGTGGCCTAGAAGAGGTTTGGGAGAAACCAGGGAGGGCTTTCTGAAAATGGTATCTGAACCAAATCCTGAAAGACATAATTTAGCAGATGAAGAATGAGACAAGAGAATCCCAAATCGATGTAACGTGTACAAAGACTTAGAAGTGGCCTACAGTGGGGCATTCTGGGAACATCAAGTTCTACAACTAACTTGTTGGAGGGAGAAAGGCTGGGGATGCACACAAAAGCACAGTCACTCAGGGCTTCGCCTAACTGGCGAAAATTTAGACTGAAACTGGCAAAATGAGGATCTGAGGGCTGAAGTGTATTTTTAGCATGTACTTTATTTTTATTTGGGGTGGGGAGGAGAGGTTAACTTTGTTATGCTTGTACAATGCGATATTTTAAAAATCAGTTTTACTGAAGTATAATTGTCATACTATAAAATGCACACATTCTAATTGTATCATTTAGCGCACTATACTATTAATTAAAAAGATTAAATAGTTGCCAACATTTACAAAACCCCAGATGTCCTGATTCTCTTGAAAAACCAAAAGATCTGATGACATCACAAGGCAACAAGCAGCTAGATCTGAGAGCTAGGTGACAGCTGCCCCTCTAAATGACCCAAGAGCCCTCTGCTTTCTAAGAGTCTGTGCTCAGCCCAGGTCCATGCCTGCACATCATCTTCTTGGGACCCTCCTGGCATGTGAATTTGTGACTTCTGGTATAAACTATACCCTGAAAGCAACAGAGAACTGATGGAGGGTTTTTCACAGGGGAGAGACATGATCATATTTAGATAGATTTGTTTGGGAGGCCCTAGATGCATACAGAGGGGCAAACCCGGAGGAAATGAGACCAATTAGGAAGACTCTACCACAAGCCACATGAGAATGAACCAGGGCCAAGGCAATAAGGACAGACCAAGATGAATGGATGTGAAAGATACTAAGGAAATAGAATGATCAAGTCTTAAACGGGGAAGAAGGCCAGGATGACCTACAGTTATTGGCTTCAGCAATGGAGAGTGATGCTCTCCATGGTCAAACGCATATTTACCAAGCATATATCCATATATGGCTGCCCAGGAGCCCCAAGGATGGCAAGGTGTGATATAACAAAAAAATACATATTTGGTCTTTGTCCCCAGTTCTTGGCACACAGCTCCTAAAACCTTTGAAATCTCTGGAGTGAAAAGAGTGTCTTTTGTTGCTACTGAGATGACTGGTGGCTGAGAAAGACCAAGGCATGATTAGAGGGGTGGAACCCTCAGCCCTGCTGCCAGACCTCAAGGAGGGGAGGGGGCTGAAGACTGAACTAATCACCAGTGGCCAGTGATTGAACCAATCATGCCTAGGTCATGAAACCTCCATAAAAACCCTAAATAATGGGGTTCCGAGAGCTTTCAGGTTGCTGAACGCATCAAGGTTCTGGAAGAGTGGCCTGGAGAGGACATGGAAGCTCTGCACTCCTCCTCCCATACCTTGTTCTGTGCATCCTTCCATGAGGCTGCTCCTGAGGTGCATCTGTTCTGATCAACTGGTGATAATAAGCAAAGCACTCTCATGAGTTCTGTGTCATTCTAGCCAATTATTGAATCTGAGGATTTATAGGGATCCTCTGAATTTATAGCTGTTTGGTCAGAAGTCCTGGTGACAACCTGGGACTTGTGACTGGCATCTGAAGTAGGAGTAGTCTTGTGGGACTGAGCCCTCAACGTGTGGGATCTGACACCAACTCTAGATGGATAGTGTTAGAATTGAACTGAAATGTAGGACACCCAGCTGTTGTCAGAGAGTTGGAAAAGACACCACATTTTTGGTGTCAGAAGTGTTGTGAGTAAAAACAGCTCATCTGTGGCATCTGTGGAATCTTCAGCTGTAACAGATACTGAGGTCACCCAGCTTAGAACTGGGTATTTGGCCCTGCTCTGCCTTTCTGAAAGCATCTGATTCCTGCTCTTTGTACCAAGCGGCCCTGCCCTTCTTGTCAATCCTCTGCACAAGGTGGAAGCTACACCTCCCTCCACGCTGGCCAAAGTGCTGTTCTAAACCTTGGACACATGGTGCAATCACCTGATGATCCTTAAAAAAACTGATGCCTGGGGCCCACCTGCAGAGACGCTGGTTTAACTGGTGCGGGATGTGGCCTGTGCACATGGTTTTTAAAGCTCCCCAGGGGATACAAATACACATTCAAGGCTGCTGTGGAGTGAAGAAGGGAAACAGGAGGAACACCTAAGCAAACAAGGGCAGGGACAGCAGGAGTCAAAACTGATAGTGGTGAGGGCAAAAGAAGGGCAGAGAAGAAAGCAGAAAGTAGCAGTGGAAGCTGTCACGGCCAGTGCCATTGTGAGCACAGAAGGTGCCTTTCCAAAGATTGTTAGGACTATGTTGAGTCTGAGATTGACACAAAAGTAATCACATTGTTAAACATGTAATGGGGGTAACCAATGGACACACTTTTAAAATGTATGTTTAATTTAAAGAAGCAGCATAATGGAATTAGCCAGTTAATTAAAGTAGTTGTTTTAAACATACCTTTTTAGAGACAGGATCTCATTCTGTTGTCCATGCTGGAGTGCAGTGGTGTGGTCATAGCTCACTGTAGCCTCAAACTCCTGGGCTCAAGCAGTCCTCCTGCCTCAGCCTCCCAGGTAGCTGGGACTACAGGTGCTTGACACTATGCCCAATTGAAACACTTTTTTTTTTTTTTTTTTTTTTTTTTTTTTAAAATAGAGATGGGGTCTTTCCCAAGCTGATCTTGAACTCCTGGACTCAAGCTCTCCTTCTGCCTTGGCCTCCCAAAGTGTTGGGATTAGTGGCATGAGCCGCTGCACTCAGCCCAGTTTCTTATCTAACTAAACCATCCTGCATTAGTGAGGGGGCCCTGGTCTAAGTGTCTTCAAACTTTAGTGGGCACTGAGTTTCCGTGGGGCACTTGTTAAAATGCAGATTCTGGTCAGGTGCGGTAGCTCATGCCTGTAATCCCAGCATTTTGGGAGGCCAAGGCGGGAGGATCACTTGAGTCCAGGAGTTTAAAACCAACCTGGGCAATATAGTGAGACCCCATCTCTACAGAAAAAGAAATTAGCTGGGCATAGTGGCACACGCCTGTAGTCCCACCTACTCAGGAGGCTGAGGTGGGAGAATAGATTGAGCCAGGAAGGTCGAGGCTGCAGTGAGCTAGGATGGCACCACTGCACTCCAACCTGGGTGACAGAGTGACACTGGGCGACAGAGACACACTGTCTCTGTAAAAAAGGCAGATTCTGCAACTGTGGCACTTTCTACAGTGTCCTTCTTCCATTCTCAAGGGTGCAGATTCTGCATCCCCCAAGCACTGAGGTGCAAGTTATGCGTCACCAGCGGAGCCTATTTCTCTCTCCAGCCTTGCTCTGCCTGTGACATTTGCCCCTGGACTGCTGAAGGAGCAAAAGATTTTCCTGGTTTAACCTAAAGTTTCTAGAAGTATTGGAAATGCTTCCTACTAGGCTTTGCTTAATAAACCTCTTCCCCACTTTATTGTATTTGGCTCACTTCTCTAATAGACACTATAATACATGGGCTTTGTTACTAGAACTTGGGTGTAAATCCTGGACTGCTGCTTGCTAGCTGTGTGCTCAGATATACTGAGCTCTACCTTCCTCATCTGTAAAATGGAGATGATACTAATAGCTACTGCCTGACGTTATTGAGAGGACTGAGTTAGTATATATATAAAGCGCTTGCTAAGTGCCAAGTGTCAGCCATTACTGTTATTAATTTCCATAGCTACCTAATTAATAACTCACACCAACCACTTTGCTGAGCCACAAAAAGCCCACCTTCAGTGTAGCAATCCCCATAAATATGCTGAGTGAAACAGAACTTCATTACCAAAGAGGCTGACATGGTACTGCCAGAGGAATTTTCTTCCATCCTTCTGCTGTTAATGAATAAACTAGAGATTTCCAAGACTTCATTGTGAAGGTTTCGCAGCTGAAGATGTCGATATCCTGGAGTAATACAGAATTGGCAAAAGCTTGTTAACCATGCGCTACTGAAAAGAAGATGCTCCTGGAGGTCAGTAAATGACAGGTAGAAAGAAGACCTTAAAATGGGCAGGGATGGCAACAGGCATGCAACCAACAGGCGCCTTTTTGCCAAGAGAGTGCTGCCCCCTGAGCTGCCCAATGGCAATTAATTTGTTCAAGTACTGTTTCCAACTTAGACTCAAACAGAAAACCTTAAACTCAGACAAAACCTGATCTAGTAGGAAAACCTGATCACTAACAGTCCCTGTTCGAATGTTCTACCTTAGAGCAGCTTTAGTGATAACAGAATATTCCCACCATGGGAGATTGGTTATAAATTACGGTATGACTGTAAGTGTAAGTATAAAATGGAATAATACACAACTGGTAAAAGTGGTAATGTACATGTATAGTTATTAACATGAACGGTTGCTCACTATATACATTAGTAAGTGAAAACCAGTAAGTTACAAAACACGAAGATTAGTAGAAAGCCTATTTGTTAAAAATATATCTGTATGCTCATGTGTTATGTACATGGGAGGAGAAACAAAGCCTTCAAGACTTATACACCAAAAGTGACTGTGTTGGAGAGATGGAAAAATGGATAATTAAAAAAAATTGTTTTTGTTTCTATGCACTTTCTCACATCTCTGTAATAACAGTTATGGGTCTCCCCCTGACCCCATACTCCCCATTCCTGTGTAGAAGTCCTAACCCTCAGTACCTCTGAATGTGGCTATATTTGAAGAGAGGGCCTTTAAGGAGGTAATCAAGTTAAAATGGGGTCCTTCAGCTGGGCCTTAATCCAGTGGGACTGGTGTCCTTATAAGAAGAGGGGATTAGGACACAGACAACATAGAGGGCTGACTGTGTGAGGACACAGTGAGCAGGTGACCATCTGCAAGCCAAGGGGAGAGACCCCAGAAGAAACCAATCCTGCCAACACCCTGATCTCAGACTTCCAGCCTTAAGACTGTGAGGAAATACATTCCTGTGGTTCAAGCCACCTAGTCTGTGGTATTGACTAATTAAATGACCACAGGCTACTAGCACAGAGAAGAGAAACAGGAAAAGAACACAAAGTAGGAAACTGTAATGTGTTTGTGAACTCCGAGGATGGCAGCTTGAGTGTGGCTGGGAGAGGAATTGCGTACTTAGAACGTTGGTGCTCAAAGGAGACCATCAGAGCCAGCGCACCTGGGAGCATGTTAGAAAGGGAAACTGTCAATCGCGCCACTGCACTCCAGCCTGGGCGACAGGGCCAGACTCCATCTCAAAAACAAAACAAAATAAAACAAAACAAAACAAAAAAATGATGCACAGGCTGAAATTTATCAGAGTGCCACAGCAAAGCCAATCCACAAGCCAACAGCTCTAGCCTTTGCCCAGAATTCTTCATTACCCTCTTCCTGCACCTGAAAACCAGTCCCAGCTTCCAGAACTGGACTTCTGCCAGGCACCGACTCCAACTGCGTGGTCACTTAGGCCACCGCCACACCCGACCCCTCCGACATCTCTGTTTCCTCTCCTTATTTCAGTCCCTGCTTTCAAACTGCCAGTAGTGCTGTGGGTAGTATTTAGGAAGAAAACTGTGTGGAAATGTGAGTGCAACAACCACTGCTCCCAACATCAGCAGGCGTGGGTGAGGCTGCACTTTACAAGGGATATTGTTAATACCGCAGATTCTTAAAAAATGTAAAAGAAAAATTTCTTTTGAGACGTGCTTCAAAAGTGCTCCAATCTGTATTTCCTTTTGCTTCTTATTTCAACTTCTTTATAGGAAAATGTCAAACACAAACGAAGAGAGAAGAGTATAAGGAAATTCTGGCATCCATTGTCAAGCTACAACAATGATTAACATTTGGACAATTTTATTCTACCTCGTTTTAAAGCTTTCAGTGGAATGATTCTCTGAGCAGTTACCGCTGAACTGTTGTTTTCCACAACTGCAAAACGAAGAAATACAAGATCTTCGAAGTGAACGCGGAACAGAAACTGCTCGTTCCACATGGGGTTCAGGGTGTTTCGATGGATGGGCTTTGTGCGGAAATGGCAGCTGTCCAGAGGCATGCCCAGGACATCGACTTCAATGCACGGGCTTCCCGTGCTGTTACTGGGGCACACATTCTGACCAGAGACAATCTAGAGTGAGGGAGACAAAAGGGATCAAAGTCACTGAGGATAAAAACGAAAGACAACCTCTACACCTCACCGCTTCCCTCTGCAAAGGAATCCCAAGAACACTGGAATGGACAAAGTGAATGATGAATAAAACTGTTTAAAAAGTAAGTGATTGTAGGGCCAGGAGCAGTGGCTCACGCCTGTAATCCCAGCACTTTGGGAGGCTGAGGTGAGCAGATCACGAGGTCAGGAGATCGAGACCATCCTGGCCAACTTGGTAAAACCCCATCTCTACTAAAATACAAAATATTAGCTGGGCATGGTGGCGCGTGCCTGTAGTCCCAGCTATTAGGGAGGCTGAGGCAGGGGAATCGCTTGAACCCAGGAAGCAGAGGTTGCAGTGAGCTGAGATCACACCACTGCACTCCAGCCTGGTGACAGAGCAAGACTCCATCTCAAAAAAAAAAAAAAAAAAAAAAAAGTGATTGTAACTGGGTAATCACATGACTGGAATCATGTGAAAAGCCTATTTTGTCAACATCATTCACTTAACTGTAACCTTTCAACTATCAAAATGTTCAAATATCTTAAAAAACCAAACAAGATGAAGTTAAATTTCTCACAAAAGACGACTTTACACAATATAATAATAAATTTGTTACTAATATTCTGTTCAAAATGTCATAGGAGTATGTTTTATAACTTCAAAACCATTTTCCTGATCAGTTTCATTTTGGAGCAAGTTGCAGACATGTTAGGAATTAATTCACAGCTTTCTGTAAACAGATAAAACTACCCTCGCCCCTAGCTCAAAAAAAACAAAAACGAATAGGAAAGGGGCTACCGTCCTGCTGTCTTAGGGAAAGAGAAAAAGCAGTTTGGGTGGTAGGAAAGTCTGTGAATGGGGTTATCCCAGGGGTTTGGGGGTGTCATACTCGGAGGGCTGCCTGGCATTCTTCCTGTGGAGGGAGAGAGACGATCTAAAGGTGGAAAGAGATGACCAGGTCTCTGTTTTTGTTTTGTTTTGTTGAAACAGTGTCTCACTCTGTCACCCAGGCTGGAGTGCTGTGGTGTAATCTTGGCTCATTGCAATCTCTGCTTTCTGGACTAAAGTGATTCTCCAGCCTCAGACTCCCGAATAGCTGGGACTACAGGCATGAGCCACCATGCCTGGCTATTTTTTTTTTTTGTTATTTTTTGTAGAAACAGGATTTCGCCACATTGCCCCGGCTGGTCTCAAACTCTTGAGCTCAAAGCGATCTACCCACCTGGGCCTCCCAAATTGTTGGGATTACAGGTGTGAGCAATCGCACCTGGCCAGGTCTCTGTTTTTAAGAAGAGCCTATGGAGTTTTGACAATAAGTTAATTAGGTGAAAAGGAATAAGGAAAGGCCCATGAATGATAAAGGTTAAATTATAATGAGGAAATATACTTAATTGTATTTATATATTGACGCAAGTTTGTCTGATCTTAGAGCTTTGGAGCGTAACATGAGCTGATCTAACAAAAAGTGCAACTTTCATGGGCTGTACTCATGGTTATGATTCTGTGGGCCCTGGAAGACAGAGTTACCATCATCAGCACATCAGGTGAAGCAGGGCCTCATAAGCCCCGCTCCTGGGCTCTGGCAAACACAGTGTCTGGCAACAACTTGCCTAGCCATAGCTACTGCTTCCTGGGAGATAAATACATTATTCTGGGAACTACATCTGTATGACCAAAATTGTGACATGACAGCTTTCCAATGCCTTGAATTCAAAACCAGTTCGTTTTCAGAAAGGCTTAAAGCCAACCTTAAGTTCTTTCTCTAGGGGCCGTACTTACAGTTAAAGAATAGACTACAGGATCCATGCTGTCCAGATCTCTTTCCAGTGGAGAAAACTTCTGATACATCGGGCAGTTCTTGTCCCACAGAACTGGAGGTTTCAAAACATAACCACAACCACCATTTGCCTCAAACATTGCAGCATTTAAATGTAAAGGGAGATCTGTAAAACAACAACAACAAAAAAGCCAATATAGCGTGTTACTTTGTCACTTAAGTATCATCTAATAAATTTAAAGTTCAAAAGAACTTTGCATCAATTTTCCCTAAGCTCCAACATGAAAAAGAGATAATCACCCATTCGTCCCACAGATTGATAAATGCCTACTATATGCCAAGTTGTGTGAGGCATCAGATACAGCAGGTAATAAGAGAAAAATTCCTCTCTCTGGGGCTTATGGTCTACGGATTCCCCTGTGTTACCACTCCAAACTAGGTTCCACCACTTAAAAGTGCCTTTGCAAATATTTGCTACATCTGTCTGAAAAATCTTGTGAAATACAGTTGACCATGGGGGATTGGTTGCAGGATGAGAAGGTACCAAAGTCCACAGATGCTCAGGTCTGTGATATAGATGGTGTAGAATTTGCATTATAACCTATACCATCCTTCCGTATACTTTTTCTTTTTTTTCTCCTGGGAGCATAGATTCAAGTTGCCCTGAATGTATGCTCCCTCTTCTGTATACTTAAAATCATCTCTAGATTACTTATAATACCTAATCCAATGTAAATGCTATGTAAATGGTTGCCATACTGTATTGTTTAGGGGAAAAAAACACAACGAAACAAGGCTGTATATGTTCAGTGCAGATGCGACCATTCATTTTTCTAATGAATATTTTCAATCCATAGCTGGTTGAATCCACAGATGTGGAACCCAAGGATATGGAGGGGCAACTGTACCTTATTTTATACTAAATTTTAGAAAGGAATAATGGCTTATCTCTAAACCATGCAGACAATTGTATGGACAATTGTTGCTATTTCAAATGTAAGATAAGAATTTTAATTATACAAGAAAGAATAGGAGAATAGACAGAAAAACATGCTTTTCCTTGAAATCTTAATTTCATCCCATACATTACATCTACTTCCTTTTAAAAAATTATAAACATGAAAAAAAAATCACATCTGATTCACATCATGTCCACAATCCCCTCAGTCATAAACGTCAGGAACCTTCACAGAAGCTTTGAGTTTTGTGTTGCCAAATTTTATTTGGCACAGTACTTTGATGAACAATTGGATTCCTGCACTGTTTCTAGGCTCTTACACACTCAAATGCTCACCTGATGGCACAAGTCTGTATAAAAGTTACCCAAATGAGCAAAAAGTTGATGAGACGCACCTGATGAATATTCCCTCTGATAGATTCCTTCCACATGCAAGAATGAACTTTGTACATGGAGGTACAAAGTTCAGTACAATGAACTTTGTACAATGAACTTTCCACATCAAGGCAAAGTGCAGTAAGCACCTTGGGGCAATGAAAAGTTAGCCTCTACTTGTCTCGTCTGTAAAATGTTTCCATGTCTGTGGGGCTGGCCAGTATTGTGTGCAGGAATTCCTGGTGTAAGATGTCTTAGACATATGAAAGCTCCTTATCTGTAAAATAGTGCAGAGGACCTCATCTCTCAGGCCCCTGCCAGTCCTGCTGTGACTGGTTCATTGTGGCCATGCTGCCTCACCTGCATTGGGAGAAAATTCTCTTCTCAGGCTACTTCGTGATAGAGGAACATAGACATGGTGAGGGTAGCGAAGAGGGTGAAGCCAACTAGCTCATATGGGGTGGGTAAAGGTGAAATGGACACATAGTACTAACAACAGCAATGGCAGCTCACACTCTGCACTCTTACTAAGGACCAGACACCATTCTAAGCACGTTATGTGTATCAGGTATCTCCCAATAATCTATGAAGCAGATCCTTTTAGTATCTCCATTTTTATGGATGAGGAAACTGAAGCACAAAAAGCGAAAACACCCAAGAACATAACTAGTAACTGGTGGACATTATAGATCGGGCCCAGATGGCCTAACCCATTGTTCCCATTCTTAACTACTGAGCCATACAATGTACATCTTACAGGGGTGTGGATACAGTAAATGAGGTTTGGCATATACAAGGTGGTCAATAAACAGTAACTATATTTTTTTGTGATCATGACATCAGTCTCAAGTGATTTCAGTAGCACCGTGTCTATCCTAATAGTTTTCCAAAACTTTAAAGCTGTAAAGCCAAAACTCTAAAGCTATTATTAAAACTCTGAAGCTTTTAAAAAATTATTTTATTTTGCTGTTTTAAGTTCAGGGGTACATATGCAGGATGTGCAGGTTTGTTACATAGGTAAACATGTGCCATGGTGGTTTGCTGCACCTATCAACTCATTCCCTAGGTATTAAGCCCAGCATGCATCAGCTCTTTCCCCTAATGCCCAGTTTCTTAACTGAAATCTAACTTGCTGACCTAACATGTAAAAGAGATCCATGTAGAGCCGCACAGTTTGAAATAAAGGTGGGACCTCAAATCTAGCCCTCTTGCTGTCCCCTGAACATGGTCCTAGAACTTCATCTGGGGCTATAGTTTAAAAATCATCATTCCAACCAAGTGAAAGAGTATGCACAAATCAGTGTAACCCTGCTACACCTCTGAAACAATGCACATAATGATAGATCAAGCATACCATTGCCTTGATGATCTTCTACTCATTAAAATACTCTGCATTATGTAGACACTATTCACATAATGTTTATCCTTATATTTGAGGACTGGAAAAGTCTGTCATTCAAAAAAGCTTAATAAATTCTTTTAAAAAAGAGGTTTTTCTTTTGACTAGGGTTGCATGTTCACACGTGGTAAGGTACTGTTCTGCCTCAGATGCAAAGAATTTAGAGGGTCTGTTGCCAGCAATAACCAGGGTTTGCATACCAGCCTCAGGTCAGTTTCTAAACTCAAGAGTTGGTTTTATTGAGTGTTGATCTGGGAAACTCCTAGTTCCAGATCACTTCAGACCTCCTTGGAGTTCATGGAACCAGCAGAAAGCTTGGGAAGGGATGGCCATAAGTCCATGGACACCCACTTGGAACATCAGAATCCCCTGAAATCCAGGAAGTGGCAGAGCAGAAGATCCATGAAACCTCTTGGGAGGTTGGCCCTGGGAGGGTGTCTCTGCTATTTGGTTGGGATACTTCCTGGAAAATCAAGCACTTCCTAGCCTGGAAATTCTTTTCAACAATTGAAAAATGGTGCTTCAATTGTTGACTCTTATCAATCTATTGGATCTATCTATCTATCTATATATTTATTTTTCTTTTTTTTTGAGATAATGTCTCGCTTTGTCGCCCAGGCCGGAGTGCAGTGGCGCGATCTCGGCTGACTGCAATCTTTGCCTCCTGGGTTCAAGCGATTCTTTTGCCTTAGCTTCCTGAGTAGCTGGGACTACAGGCACGTGCTACCACACCTGGCTAGTTTTTGTATTTTAGTACAGACGGGGTTTCATCATGTTCGCCAGGCTGGTCTCGAACTCCTGACCTCAGGTGATTCGCCTGCCTTGGCCTCCCAAAGTGCTGGGATTACAAGCATGAGCTATCGTGCCTGGCCTCATCTATATATTTTTTGAGACAGAGTCTCGGTCTGTCACCCACGCTGGAATGCAGTGGTGCAATATTGATACACTGCAACCTCTGCTTCCCGCTTAGCCTTCCAAGTAGCTGAGACTACAGGTGTACACCACCAAGCCCCACTATTTTTTTAAAAATATTTTTAGTAGAGATGGGGTTTCACCACGCTGGCCAGGCTGGCCTCGAACTCCTGGCCGGAAGTGATCCACCCACCTCGGCCTCCCAAAATGCTGGGATTACAAGTGTGAGCCACTGCACCTGGCCTTATCTATCTGTTTGAATTTGCAATTCAGAGAAGTAAATACTTGGAAAAGATCTTGACCAAAAATCAAGAACCACATGTTCATATTGCAGTGGGGCTGATGGAGATAATCTGCCTCAACTGAGAGTAGCAAGCATTTACTGAGCATCTACTATGTGCAAAGTATTAATATGAAATCAGGCTTTACCCCCAGTTTGCAGAAATGAAGACCATTTTTACAGATGAACACACTGATACTCCATGTTGCTTGTACATTGTCCAACATGGGGAGATGTTTAATCAGCACATTGAATGGAGAGAGGTTATGTGATAGTACCTTTTCCCAGTTTGGAAGATTATGCAGAGAAATTTGAGGAGGAACCACCTAGCACAGCCATTTGATTGGGATGGCTTAAAGATGTACTCTCAATCCCAACTTGATTTGGAATAGAGGCAAAGCCTTTAAGGGTGAGTGGAGGACAGGCAGCGTTAGTCTGTACTTCTGGACAGCAGGGTGACCCACGGAGTGGCAGCTCCCTGTGTCCCCTTCACCTGTGGCTCCCTTTTGCCATCAGTGGAGCCAGTGTGTCTACACCAGTCCTGGCACTTCTGGAGAAAGGGCACATCCAAAACCAAATCCACTTCCATTTCCTTGAGAAAATCTTTTGATAGTGACTTCAGTTTACTTAAAATATGCCGGTATAACAACCAATGGCACCAAGTGGACACAGGACTACAGACAGCGCTAAAGATGTGAACCCACAAGCCACTCAGAAAAGAATGAACAGAAATAGAAAATAAAATTTTTACAACTTTGAAAGTATTTCACGATTATTTCCATTTGCGAGCCCAAATCATACTGTTTTCATAACTTATCAAACACACTCAATGATAGTTAACCTTTGTAGAATGCTCTCTATGTGCCAGGCACTATGCTAAACATGGTACTTCTCTGGCATCATCTTATTTAATTTTAACTGAAAGAAGCACATATAACAAGGGCAGAAACGTGACCAATATCTCTAATCATATATCTTTGGGGTCATCCACCAATGGGTGTTGTTTGTACCAGTGCCAGGTAGCTAGCTGGTCCCAGAGCTAAAGCTGTGGTTTGACTTCAGCTGGAGACAAGGCCATACTGTGGTTTGTGGTTCAGCATGGTTAGATGAGACTGGATTCAGTTCACGGGACATGAATGATAACAGCTGCCTGCTGCTTGACTGTTCAAAAGAAAAACTGTGGTTTATGAATGAGTTTTAAGGAAACATTTATCTACTCTTTCCTCACCTTCTGTAGCTCCTCTCCTCCCCCATAACCAAGTGGAAACAAAATTCTTTCTCTTTTAAACTTCCAGACTCTTTGAATTTTTTAGTACAAGTCATCCTACCTTCAACAAATTAACCAATTTGTGCCTTGGTTTGCTCATCTGAGAAATGACGATCATAAAGGTACACAACTTCAGGGCTGTTGTGAAGACTAAATCAGATAATAGGGGGTCAAGAATTCAGCGTACTGCCTAATGCACAGTGAGCGTGCAATCAATGGCAGCTTCTACTCTGGAGTTTTAGGCCTCATATCAGAGTCTCAGTGACAGTAGAGAAACATGATCACTACTTACTCTGTTCATGTACTTCACATACTTGTTTTCCTTTTGTTAGCTACTCCTGGGGCACTGACCATTATTCTCCATCTCAATTCCAAAAGGATAAGAAGCTAAAATGGTTTTAATTTGCAAAGTGGTTGGAGCGACATTACTTTTTGACTGCAAGAACAACTGCGTAGTGAGACAGGTTAACTAGGCGGTGTTAGGAAATCCCTGCTCCAAAAAGAGCTTTAAACATAAACCAGGCACGGCTCTGTCAAGAGCAGCTTGGTGTTTGAAAAACTGCATTAAAAAATGGGCAGGACCAGGAAACCTTACAGGCCCCTTCAAGGTTCTTTTCTATCACCTTAATCTGAAACATGAGAGGCACAATTCAGTATCAAATTCACTTCTGTTTTCCATCATCATATTTTTACTCTCACATACGGTGTGCCCCAGTCTGGAATCTTGCCCATTTGAAAAAATGCTGTCAAACTGCATTTACTGAAATGTAGGATGCAAAGGAGAGAGGTGAGCGTGCAGGCCCCTTACCATCGGTCTGGTAGTTGAGTGCCACGAGCTGTATCCCATGAAGCCAGAACATGATGGGGTTCGGGTTGGAGGAGTCGATGCGGGTGGCAGCAGGGTAAGTTCTCAGCAGCTGACAGGCGGTATGCTGGATCAGTTTCTGAGAATACCTGCGACACAGACGTTTGGCGGCATTTTCATTCAGCGACGAGATATGATAACATTTGGGAGTTCTAATGATAGCACTGAGGGACGTGGTTGGGTTGAGAGGGGAAGAAGATTCCTCCCAGGTCTGTCGAATGCCTTCACAGGAACCTAAACCCCCCAAGAAATTAGCCACAGATTAGTGTAGAAAACTTTAAATATTTTAGTAAGATAAATCTGAACAATATCCCAGTAAACAGTCATAGCATATAGACCACATCAGAATACCTCTTGGATTTCACTTGTGAGTTAGCTTGCCACTTTGAAAAAACATGGTGGCTACTTAGTTTTAAAATGAGTGTGGTGGCTGAGTGTGCTGGCTCATTCCTATAATCCCAGCACTTTGGGAGGTCAGGGTGGGAGGATCGCTTGAGCCCAGAAGTTCAAGACCAGCCTGGGCAACATGGTGAGAGCCCATCTCTACAGAAAGTAAAAAATAAAACCAAACAAAAAAACCCCCACAAGAAACAAAACAAAATGAATGTAGCAACATCAGTTTAAATTAAAAAGCCTGGAAGTCCTTTGCCTCAGTACTTCATCTGGATTGTGGTATATTTGCACAAATAAACAATATATGTCTAAAGATATTCACGCCAGCATTGTTTTTCATAGGAAATAACAAAATCAAATCAAAACAAGAAGCAACTCAAATGTATCAGTGAAGAAGTGATTAAATAAATGACAGTATATCCGTGCAGTGGATCACCACACAGGCATTAAAGAGAATAAGGAAGCTATATGCACAGAAAATTATGTGAAAAGTTACAGCAAGTATAAAGGTTATACACGTATGTTTGGTTATACAGGCATACCTTGTTTTATTGTGCTTTGTTTCATTGTACTTTGTAGATATTGCGCTTTTTTTTTTCTTTTAAACAAATTTAAAGTTTGGGGCAGCCCCGCCGCCAGCAAGTTTATTGGTGCAATTTTTCCAACAGCATGCACTCACTTTGTGTCTCTGTGTCACATTTTAGTAATTCTTGCAAAATTTCAACTTTTAAACATTATTATATATTTGTTATGGTGATCTGTGATGAGGGATCTCTGATGTTCTATTGTAATTGTTTTGAGGTGCCATGAACCATACCCATTAGATGGTAAACTTAATTGGCAAATGTGCGCTCTCTGACTGCTCTACCCACCAGCCCTTCACCCATCTTTCTCCCTCTCCTCGTGCCTCGCTATTCCCTGAGACACAACAACACTTACATGAGGCCAGTTAATAACCCTACAATGGCCTCTAAATGTTCAAGTGAAAGGGAGAATCACACGTTTCTCACTTGAAATCAAAAGCTAGGCTGGCCACGGTGGCTCATGCCTATAATCCCAGCACTTTGGGAGGCTGAGGTGGGTGGATCACCAGAGGTCAAGAGTTCGAGACCAGCCTGGCTAACATGGTGAAACCCCGTCTCTACTAAAAATACAAAAATTAGCCAGGCAGACGCACCTGTAATCCCAGCTACTCGGGAGGCTGAGACAGGAGAATCACTTGAACCCTGGAGGTGGAGGCTGCAGTGAGCTGAGATTGCGCCACTGCATTCCAGCCTGGGCAACAGAGCAAGACTCCACCTCAAAAAAAAGAAAGAAATAAAAAGCTAGAAATAATTAAGCTTAGTGAGGAAGGCATGTCAAAGGCCAAGACAGGTCAAAAATTAGGCATCTTGTGATAAACAGTTAGCTAAGTTATGAATGCAAAGGAAAAGTTCTTGAAAGAAACTAAAAGTGCTACTCCAGTGAACACACAAAAGATAAGGAAGCCAAACAGCCTTATTAGTGATATGGAGAAAGTTTTAGTGGTCTGGATAGAAGACTAAACCAGCCACAACATATTTTAAGCCAAAGTCTAATTGAGAGTAAGGCCCTGAACTCTCTTCTGTTTTATGAAGGTTGAGAGAAGTGAGGAAGCTGCAGAAGGAAAGTTGGAAGCTAGCAGAGGTTGGTTCATGAGGTTTAAGGAAAGAAGTCATCTCCATAACAAAAAATCAGCAAGTACTGATGGAGAACTCCAACAAGTTATTCATGAGATCCAGTTGAGATCACTGATGAAGGTGGCTACATTAAACAACAGATCTTTTTTTTTTTGAGATGGCATCTCACTATGTTGCCCAGGCTGGAGTGCAGTGGCGCGATCTCAGCTCACTGCAAGCTCCACCTCCCAGGTTCACACCATTCTCCTGCCTCAGCCTCCTGAGTAGCTGGGACTACAGGCGCCCACCACCATGCCCAGCTAATTTTTTTTTTTGTATTTTGAGTAGAGACGGGGTTTCACCGTGTTAACCAGGATGGTCTCAATCTCCTGACCTTGTGATCCGCCCGCCTCGGCTTCCCAAAGTGTTGGGATTACAGGCGTGAGCCACCACGCCTGGCCAAACGACAGATTTTTAATGTAAATGAAACAGGCTTCTATTAGAAGAAGATGCCACCTAGGACTTTCATAGCTAGAGAAGATAAGTCAAGGCCTGGCTTCGAAGAAAAGGCTGTCTCTCTTGTTAGGGGCTAATGCACCTGGTGACTTGAAGTTGAAGCCAATGCTCATGGACCATTCTGAAAATCCTAGGGCCCTTAAGAATCATGCTAAATCTACTCTGCCTGTGTTCTGTAAGTGGAACAACAAAGCCTAGATGACAGCACATCTGTTTACAGCGTGATTTTTCATGTCTGCTAACACAGCATCCAGTCTGCAGCCCATGGACAAGGAGTAATTTGAACTTTTAAGTCTTATTTAAGAAATAAATTTCATAAGGCTAAAGATTCCATAAGTTGTGATTCCTCTGATGGATCTGGTGAAAATAAAATTAAAACCTCCTAGAAAGAATTTACCATTCTAGACGCCCTTAAGAGCATTCATGATTCATGGGAGGAGGTCAAAAGAACAACATGAACAGAAGTTTGGGAGAAGTTAATTCCAAACTTCATGGATCACTTGGAGGGGTTTAAAACCTCAGTGGAGGGAGTAACTGCAGATATGGTGGAAACAGCAAGAGAACTGGAAGTGTAGCCTGCAGAAGTAACTGAATTCCTGCAATCTCATGATAAAACTTGAATGGATAAGGAGTTGCTTCTTAATGGATGAGCAAAGAAAGTGGTTTCTTGAGATGGAATCTACTATTGGTGGAGATCCTGTGAACATTGTTGACATGACAACAAACGATTTAGAATATTTCATACATTTAGTTGACAAAGCAGCAGCAGGGTTTGAGGTCTGACTCCAATTTTGAAAGTTCTACCATGAGTAAAATGCTATCAAACAGCATTGCATGATACAGAGAAATCTTTTGTAAAAGGAAGAGTCGGATGATGTGGCAAACTTCACTGTTGCCTTCTTGTAAGAAACTGCCAGACACCCCAGGCTTCAGCAACCACCCCCCTGATGAATCAGCAGCCATAAACATCAAGGCAACACCCTCCACCAGCAAAAAGATTACAACTTGCTAAACGCTCAGATGATTGTTAGCATTTTGTATCAATAAAGTATTTTCTATTGAAGTATGTACATTTTTTAGACATAATACTATTGCATACTTAATAGACTACGGTATAGTGTAGACATAACTTTTATATGTACTCAGAAACCAAAAAATTAATGTGACTCACTTTATTGTGATATTCACTTAATTGTAGTGGTCTGGAACCAAACCTGCAATATCTCCGAAGTATGCCTGTATCCTATTTGGATTATCTTAAAAAGGATCTTATTTTTCTTGAACAAAACATAATAAACTTAACAGTGGTTACCTCTGGAGAATAGTACCAGGACATTGAGTGGAAAGGAATTTTAATAATACTCTGTATTGTTTGAGTTTTTAACTATGAGAATTTATTACTTTCATAATAAAAAGTAACTAGAAATAAAATAGCCATATATTCTGGAGTTATAATGGTGAAGAGAACAGTTCCAAGAAACCACTAGAATGTTCCAAGGTGCCTCTAATTTTAACTCATGAGGTAAACACTGCTCAAACATCTTCAGTGAAATGTTATTTTTATTTTTAATTTTTAAATTTTTTTTGAGACAGAATCTTGTTCTGTCGCCCAGGCTGGGGTACAGTGGTACGATCTCGGCTCACTGCAACCTCTGCCTTCTGGGCTCAAGCAATTCTCTTGCCTCAACCTCTCTAGTAGCTGGGATTACAGGTGTGCACTAACACACCCGGCTAATTTTTGTATTTTTAGTAGAGACGGCATTTCATCATGTGTCCAGGCTGGTCTTGAACTCCTGACCTCAAGTGATCCACCCGCCTTGGCCTCCAAAAGTGCTGGGATTACAGGCACGAGCCACTGTGCCAAACCTGAAATGCTGTTTTTAGTACGTTAAAAGTGTAAATTAGCAATTACAAAAATTCATACTAAGACAATATTGACGTTCATGGAAAAGGAATTAAAAAATTCAAGGGAAGTGCTTAGACGGTAAAATATCTAAATCATCCAGCATGCAGAATCAAGCAAAGATATTGTAAGAAAGTGACTTTACTTTTTCCAGATGTTTTGTTAAATGATGCTGTCTCCCCTGGGCTCATTCTGCCCGGATTGTTGCCAAAAATGGACTTCCTGCTTTTCCTTTCCTTTCCTCTGTTAGAGCCAGATGAATTTAGAGTTGACAGTCCTGTTCCCATAAAATGAAAATAAATAAGCCAAAAATGACAAGCAAGGCAACTCAACATTTTCCATCCCTGTTAATGTTTATTTTGAAGTCCTACTACTCCCTTGGAACCTAGTACAGAAACCCTACTAGCAGTTTTTGTTCTGTTAATAATAGCACTGTAGGCAATTAAAGCAAAGTTTTACAAATCTCTATAGGCAAATGCAACAAGAACTGCATGCTTATCATAGAATGACCACAAAATCTCACACACACTTAGCTGATTGTGCATCAGAAAGAGTTTGAAAAACTGCATGGAAAGAAGGTGCTGTGGCCAGAAATGATCAGGGGCTAATTATTTAATTTGGAGAGATGAAGGAATGGTTGGTTATTCCTTGAGTTTTAGTGTCATGTTGTCTAGGTTCAATTCCTACTGGTATTAGCCTTGACTTAACACCTCCTTCTTTGTTCCTAATCTCCTTATCTACAAAATGTGTGTAATGATAGGAACTCGCTCATAGGGTTAGTCTGAAGATTAAATGGGAAATATGGCGATAATGATGTTGCATGGCTTCTCTTTCTCACTCCGGGTCTAACCACTCCCTGGATCCTTCATGCCTGGCACAGTGCCTGGTGCAGAGCAGGAACTGAATACATATTTGCTGAATGAGGAAATGAATGCACACCACATAGACCTGGCTCCAATGTGAAAAGAGCGAGCTGAAGGCAGCAGTGAAGCCAGAATTGCCTCCAAATTGTTCCCACTGTCATAATTGTACTTTTGGAGAGTAATTCCCTAAGCTGAAGCAGCATTCAGGAGGTCCTCTTTCAGATGATAACACACCTTCCAAGAAGGTCATCAGAGGAGACAAGATAGAATGGTATTTAAGAGCACACACTTTGGAGTGAGACAGCTGGGTTTAAAATCTGTTCTTAGCAGGGCAACCTCACACAAGTTACTTAACCTCTGTACATCACTCCCTCATCCATAAATGGGCTGTAGTTAGGAATAAACAAGACAATAGAGTAGTGTGTCTTGTTCAGGGAAGTGCTCAGTCCATAGTAGCTTTTATTATAGCTTAATGTGGGGTTTTTAAGGTGTTTTTTCTCCTCCAAAGTATTCACAACAGCAAACATGCACAAACTTAGACTATTGAGTTCTCATGCCTTGATCTTAATATTTGTGTACACTTTACTCTTGACATAATTACTTAATAATGGATTTTCTCCCAAGTAAAACTGATGGGGGGGCGGGGGGGAGGGGCTCTGTTCATTCTGGAGTTTTGCATGTATCCTGCCACATGTCAATATCTTCTACCAGTATGTGGGTATCTCAGTGAAGAGCCTGGTTATTCTTTTGGGATGGGGAGGGGAAGAATGTAAACAAGGGCTGAGTGATCAAAAAAGGGGAAGGATTTTGAATTGTGAGAAGGAGTCCAGAAAAATAATGAAGAAGCAACAAAGAACCTTCAGCTACCCTGTTGGCTCACTTACCAATAACGACATTTCCAGGAAACTGGGATTACAGGTGTGCACCACTACACCTGGCTAATTTTTGTATTTTTAGTAGAGACGCATTTCCTCATGTTGTCCAGGCTGATCTCGAACTCCTGACCTCAAGTGATCCACTTGCCATGTTCCAGACGATGTGCTAATCACACTAGATACTTTATTGCTAATTTTTACAGCAATCCTTTAGGTTAGGACTGTTACACCCCTTTTATAGATAGGGAATCCCAGGTGCACAGCAGCTATAATACATAACTGTTCAAGTCAAGGTCATGGAGAGACAGAGCTGGGATTTAAATCCACACGGTTAGCCTGGTGGCTGCCTCCCTTCCTCAGCTGAGTCTCTAGTTAATTTTAGGGTCTTCCTTTCATCTGTGTTTTCCCTTACGACTGTGAATGAGAAAGCTTATTTTAGATATAGATGTTGGAACATCTGACGTGACTAAAGCTTCAAGATAGAAGTTTGAGCAGAAGCCATCTAGGTATTTAGGAATAAACCAACTCCAGAACCAGATGCGGTGGTGCACACCAGTAGTCCCAGCGACTTGGGAGGCTGAGGCAGGAGAATCACTTGAGCCAGGAGTCTGAGGCCAACCTGGGCAACTTAGCAAGACTCTGTCTTTAAAAAGAAAAAAAATACTTAAAAAAAAAAAAGAATAAATTGACTCCAGTGCATATGATGGCATCTTCCTTCAGAAATCCTAATTTGTCTGGAAGCTTTGAAATCAACTCCCTAACTAGACAAGCGATGTACAGCCATTAGCCACAAAACAACATTTAGGTCAACAGACCACGTATATGATGGTGGTCCCATTTAAGATTGTACTGGAGCTGAAAAATTCCTATCACCTTCTGCTGTCCTAACATGATAGCATAACACATTACTCAAGTGTTTGTGATTAGATTGGTGTAAACAAATCTGCTGCACTGCCAGTCATATAGAAGTCTAGAGTACATACAATTATGTACAGAACATACTTGATAATAATAAATATGTTACTGGTTTATATATTGACTATACTATACTTTTTATCATTATTTTAGAGTATACTCCTACATTAGTGTGTGTGTATATATATATTTAAGATATATATATGATATATATGATATATATGATATACATATGATATATATATATATACATATGATATATATATATACTATAAAACAGCCTCAGGCAGGTCCTTCAGGAAGTATTCCAGAAGAAAGCATTGTTATCACAGGCGATGACAGCTCCATGCTTGTTATTGTCCCTGAAGACTTTCAGCAGGACAAGATATGGAAGTGGAAGACACTGATATTGGTGACTTGACTCTGTGTAGACTGAGGCTTATGTGGGTGCTTGTATCTCAGTTTTTAGTAAAAACGTTTAAAAAGTAAAAAAAAATAAAATGAAGTAAAAAATTAAAAATAGAGAAAATCTTATAGAATAAAGAAAGAAAATGTCTTTGGCTAGAGTCACAGAATGGAAAAAAAAAAAAAAAAAAGAAAGAAAATGGCTGGGTGCGATGGCTCATGCCTGTATTTCCAGTACTTTGGGAGGCCAAGGCAGATCAGTCCAGGAGATCAGCCTGGGCAACATAGTGAGACCCTTGTCTCTTTAAAAAAAAAAAAAAGAAAAATTAGCCAGGTATTGGTGGCACATGCCTGTAGTCCCAGCTACTCAGAAGACTAGGGTGGGAGGATCACTCGAGCCCAGGAGTTCAAGGTTACAGTGAGCCATGATTCCACTACTGCACTCCAGCCTGGATGACAGAGCAAGGCCAGGTCTCTAATTAAAAAATAAAAATAAAAAAAGAAAGAAAATGTTTTTATACAATTATACAATGTGTGTGTGTTTTAAGCTAAGTGTGATTACAAAAGAGTCAAAAAGTTAAAAAAAATAAAAATTTATAAAATAAAAAGTTACAGTAAGCTAAGGTTATTTTTGAAGAAAAATTTTTTATTTATAAATGTAGTGTAACCTAGTGTAGAGTGTTTATAAAGTTGATAGTCATGTACAGTAATGTCCCAAGTCTTCACATTCACTCACCGACCCACCTAGAGCAACTTCCAGGCCTGCAAGCTTCATTCATGGTAAGTGCCCTATACAGATGTACCATTTTAAATCTTTCATGTCATAGTTTTACTGTACCTTGTCTTTTTAGGTATGTTTGCATGCACAAATACTTCTCATTGTGTTACACTTACCTACAGTATTCAGTACAGTAACGGGCTATACAGGCTGGTAGCCTAGGAGCAATCGGCTCCACCATCTAACCTAGGTGTGTAGTAGGCTACACTGCAGCTTTGTCTAAGTTCACTCTATGATGTTTCGCAACGACCAAATAATCTAATGAAGCATTTCTCAGAATGTCTCTCTATGATTAAGTGATGCGTTACTGTAAATATAATCAGTGCTAGGCTTTCTTCTGGATGCTTTTCCGGACACATCAGAGGATTCAACATATTGGCACTGCTAAAATCAGGAGAGAAGCTGAGTCTGGGGACAGTCCGAGAGCCACTCAGGGTCACACGGTTACTTCTCCTTCCTGAGTGCCTTTCCTGCCATGCTCTGCAGGGCACAGCTGGGCCTCATCTTACCCAGTCACTGTAGGCCCAAAAAGCTGTCTTCACTGGTTTTGCAAGATATTGGGAGGCACCGAGGGTAATTAAGTTTCAGTGAACAGGGCTACCTCTCAATGGTAGGTTGATATTCTCCTGAAAGTTCTGTTCCGAGCCCTCTCATTTCCTGAAATGCATCCCTTTGCCCTCCAAGGTGTTCCAACCTGCAGCACTACTGTGGATCTGAGTAACCCAGAACAGCCATGGGGGACGGCCAAGGCTCTCTGTGGGGAATGGCAACATTCAGTGCCAGGGACCCACACCCAGCTAGCCCAAAGCTGTCCAAGGCAGCAGGGTTCTACTTTTGTCATTCAAATGGCTTGTTAGCAAACCACTATTTGATAAACAAAGCTTGTCTCTCAGTGCTGAGAAAATGACAGTGTGTATCCAGGGAATGGACTGACATTTGCAAGGCTCCCTCCATGTGGCTCCTTCAGTGTAGGAATAAAAATGAACCCTGGAAGTCATAGAATCTTCCGGACAAGCCTCACCATGGAATCCCTGGGCGCCTGCTCTGTGGGCTGTGTGGTGGATTCAAAGGAGAATGAGGCAAAATCCCCCTCAGAATCAGACTTCCAGATCATCTGGCTCTGCCTGCTCCTGACTTGCCTGCCTTAGAAACCCAGGGACCAGGACCTCCCAGTGCCTTCCAAATGTAAATCCCTGGTAGAGAGGCCTGAGACTGGGTATGTTAATCAAGAGACCTGGGTGATTCTGGAGATTTCAGCAAATGTAGTAAATAAGGGTTCTAGTAAACTCCACTTTTGAGTGACAAAGGCTCAAAGAGAAGATTTGCCTTGGCCAAATCACAGAGTGTGGTAGCCAAGAGCCCAGGTCTCGACCCATGATCTTATCTGATGATCTTGTCACCACTGAATAATTTTTCTCTTACAGAGTTGTACTCTTTTAAGCTATGGATATGTCAAGGCATACAGAGCAGTATAATGGACATTGGAGACTCAGAATGAGAGTGGGAGGGAGGTGAGGGATGAAAAACTACCTGTTGGGTACGACTTACACGACTTGGGTGACAGGTGCACTAAAATCCCAGACTTCATCACTATACAATTCATCCATGTAACCAGAAACTATTTGTACCACTAAAGCTGTCAAAATAAAAAAAACTCAAAATAAAAGAACAAGGTTATACTCCTAACTGTGGAACAATTGGGTATCTAGGAGGTACCCAAAAATATGCCCATAAATGAAGGAGCTCCAGAAAGGAGATGTCACAATGAGTTGAGGAGTCTCAGATACTTTACAAGGACCCCGTCCTTGGAATCTGGAACGGGGCTGAGGGGAGAAGGCGGGCCAGGCAAGGTTGAGAACACTCTGAGCAACGGCCTGGCACTAGAAAGACGGCAGTGTAGCTAGGTCCCTGAGGAGAGCGGGGGGTGCAGGGGAGCTTGTGGGAAGATATTGGAAACTAGGTAGGTGGGGTCATAAAATAAAAATACCATATCCTTTTTTTTTCCTATTAGAAGGAGAAAAAAAAAACCCAGGACAATAGAAGTACTAAATGCAACTGAGAAACAAACCCTAAGAGAAAGCAGGTCAAAAAAACTCAACTACTTCCATAGTGTGGTGCAAAGAGCAGTCCTCGGAGCTGCCAGGAGATCTGGCTCTTGCCCTGCCACTGAACTAGCTTCTGATGGTAGGAAAGTTCCTTCCTTTCTGTGGGCTTCATACCACATGATTGTTGAGTGCCTCATTGCAATGAAGGTTTTTTTTTTTTTTTTTTTTTTTTTTTTTGCATATGGCTTGTAAGAAGGGACTTAGGATGACGAAAGGTGACATACACTGAAATTGATAATGTAGCAAAATTAAAATGAATGGCATAGCAACATGAACAATTTAGTATTTTCCTCCTGTGCATCAAACACATGATTATAACAAGAAATATTTAGAAGGTATTATAACAATAATTCTGGCAATCCAATTTAGCTATTTTAAGACAGGAAATAAAATTGCGGAAAAAATGTAAAAAATTTCATTTTTCTAAAGAAAACGAAAATACACTATACCTATGAAGAAATGTACGCTATGTGAACACTTTTAAAAAATAACATACTTGGAATTTTTAAAATAAGCCGAACAACCACATGCTTAGAAGCTCTACCGAATGACCTCTTGGTCCTTCCACGATTCTCTACTGGCACAGAGACTTTGTCTTTCACACTGACTTCAAATATCTCTGGGAATCTGTGCTTCTTATTTACTCAGTGCTTGAGAAGAACAGACAAAGCCAGTGGAAGGGTCCGAGTGTGGCATTCGCCGCATTTATAAAGAATAAGAGCTGCAGTGGGTATGATTCTTGAACAGAGTGGCGCTCATCCTTGTTCCTGCAATGAAGGACATGCCAGCCTCCAGGCTCTTTGACAGGTAAAGGGTTTTACTCCATCAGAAAAGATTTTTGCCAGTTGCAAATAATGGTAATATTGTACTTATATGCCATGAGGCCATGGTCTGTGAAATTAAACTTAAATGACCAGGTTCCTGCATTTCTTTGAAATCTTTGCTGGCTACTTATTGATTCATATCCTCCTCAACAGGATTTACTAGCAGACAAGCAGTAGCAGCTGCCAACAGTCTAAAAACAGTTTATAGGAGAAAACTTACAATTAAAATGATTTTAATATCACGAAATATATGATTTTTTATATCATTAAATAATATGATGTTTTTTACTCTTGTGTGTGAAAAGGTCACTCACTATTACCTAACTGTGATTTAAAAAATTTAATTATTATCTTTTAGAGACGAGATCTTGCTATATGTGTTGCCCAGGCTGGACTTGAACTCCTAGACTCAAGCATTTCTCCTGCTCAGCCTCCCTGTTAGCTGGGACTACAGGCCTGCACCACCACACCCAGTTTACCTAACTTTTAAATAGCCCAATGCCTCTGGCCCATTTGTCAGGCACAGTGTGAGATCGGGTGCTTAAGATATGCTCTGGGAGGGACCTGAGTTCAGCCCATCTTGAAAAGATGAGGGCAAGTCTATATACCCTGTTTACTAACATTTAGACTGATCCTCCTATCTCAGCCACTTTCCTGTTCTCAGAAATTTTCTTCCAGAGGATCCTTTTTCCTAGTATGAGGAGATGAATTTTTCTGAGTTCCATGTACTTATGGACTTTCTTGTTTGTCTTCCACCCCCTGGTGCCCCATTTGTGGGACACATAATTGAGTATGCTCATTGAAAACAGCCGGAAACAAGAGAGGCCAGGCAGTATAACAGGTAAGGGCAGGACTTTGGAGACAGATAGGCTTCAAAGCCATAGGTCTACCAATCATTAATTGAAAAGGACACTGTTTTTGGAAAGTGGTTCATCAGCCTAAGTCCACTGTACTTCTAAAAACAGTCAGTTGGGGGAAAACTCTTCTTCCACTTCAACCCCATCCTTGGTCCTTGTGGTTTGGGTGGGGCCTTGCTACCCAGTTCAGAGTGGAGCATGTGACATGGGCTCCAGACTATCAGAGCACTGCATCTCCCTGGCGACAGTGATTGGTTAAGGCTTGGGTAAAGGACCCAATGAGAAACAATGACACTTCTGCGGGAAGTTCTGGAAGAGACTTTTACACTGAAGCTGAAACTAGAAGCATGTAGTGCTAGCCTGCTGTAGTCGTCTTGCAACCAGAAGGGAATAAAGGGGAGAAAGCCAACATGATGGAGGAGGAATGAGAAATGAGGAGAGAGAAAGCATGTGCCTTGGTTAAGCATTACCTGAAACCTGTGTGTCTTCATTTTTAAGTACATGAGTCAATAAAGTTCCCTTTGCCACTTTCAAACCAAAGAATCTTGGCTGATATACTCTGAAATTTGGGGCAAATTACTTCATCTCTCTCAGACTTTATTTTAAAATGGAGGTAATACTGCCTACCTTGTAGAATCATTATGAACAGTAAAGGAGATGTATGTAAACAGCACAAATCCTAGTACTTAAGTATTTAATACATTTTAGCAATGAGAAATTATGAGTATTATTATTTTTATAATTATTAACTATTATAAAAAGACATTGACCTGGAAAATGAATATTTTATGGTATTTTTCTTCATGAGCATCAAGGCAAATTATAATAATAAAGATATTTATGATGTATTATAACAATGATTTCAGCAACACAATTTAGTTATTTTGAGAGTGTTCACAATGCCAATTAAATAAATGGCATATTTTTAACATTTGGTATCTTTAAATGTTATAGATGATATTGCCTTATCTTACCTGGAAATTTTACTGCTTGACAATAGATTACAAGGTCAGAAAGCTCTGGTGCAATCTGTCTGCTTTCCTTTTTATTCTGATCAAGATAAAATTCTTCTCCCAGTTCCATATCATAAACCTGGTAAGGGAAAAATGATACCATTTTACATGGAAGGTATATGCCACTCACCTCTGAGTTCCCAAAGCTCTTTTATCTGTCCTCCTCTGGTGTTATTACTGTATTTCCCCTTGCATGGTAATTATCCATACACATGTCTCAACAGCTTTCCTAGAGTAAAAGCTTTCTGAGGGCAGGAGGTGAGTCTAATTCATCCCTCAGTGCATGGTCCACTGTCTTACATGTGGAATGGTCAATAAATCTTTGTTAAATAGAGGATTGACTATGTATCTTCTGTGGCTCAAATTTTTGACATATAATTCCATTGTCCAACAATGTCACTGCAACTGCATCTAAAGATTTGCTCAGAATCTATAAACCATGAGGCACTTGAGGGTAGGATCTGGGTATCACATTTATCTTTCTATTCTAGTGTCATTCCTCTGCTATCTGGCCCCTGTTTATCTTCTTGGTCATCCCAAATGCCTTTAACACTTCTTGTAATTCCCTGGACATACCTGGCTGTCCTCTTGGCCCGAATGTTCTGTTTTTGTCTGTTTAGCCAAATCTTCCTTCTCAAACCTCATATTCCCTTAGAGCCTGTCCTTGATTCTCTGATAACACAGTATAATCACTGTTCTATGCACTAATCTTCAGCAAAGTTGACATGTCTGCCTCCATCACTAAACCACCTCCTGTGCCGCTTCAGTACCTGCCACACATACACCATCAGTAGGTACTGGCTGAATGAATCAATGACTAACTTTCCATAAATGGAAGGTGGGTGTCTCTTAATACCACCAAGTGAACTTTGGCATCTAAGGGAAAGTGAGGGGAAAGGTGAAAGGGAGGGATAGGGAGGAAGTGGATCCCATCTGAAACCGACAAGAGTACCACATGGTCCAACTGTCATTTAACAGAAACCATTCACCCACCTTTCCTTTGTTGCAAGCAGAGTTATCTGCCTTCTTTATCCTCTTGGGGATTTCTTCACTGTACTCAAACTGAAGCTTGTCATTACATGATTTATTTTCAGGTCTGTCTTCCAGAATGTTGTCTGAAAATAAGTTAGCAGGCTTCAGTGAAAAAGAACCCAATGCTTCACTTAACAGCTACATGTGCATCATGTGAGGACATCCAGATACTTGTACTTATCTATAAGAATGAGGCTCTAACTATATAGTATGTTAACAAAATGATGGCTTGAAGCCTAACTGTAAAAATTGGGTTGATGCAGTTATTTTCAATTTAATTGATTTACCAGTAGTTTTTGTCGCTTATAATTTAAATGATTCAAAATAATCTGGCATATTGACATAATCTAAATGAAGATGCCAATTTTCATACAGATGATTGGAACTATGCAAATATGATGGAAGATATCCCATGTCAAGAAGCTGACAGCACACACGTTTGGGAAGGATTTAGTGGCTGAAGCACTTCTAGAAGGTACATACATGATTTAATCACTGTCACTTTGAAATGAAGCTATTTACTTCTTTTACCTTGAGAAATGCCAAAACCTGGGGGGAAAGACTTATTATTGGGTGTAGTTCAAAGTTTTTACAATTATAATTAAAAAGCAAAGTTTTCATGATTGTTATTAATTTACTAAGTAATAATCAAAACAAAATAAAAGATATCTAAATATCATATCATGAGATATAATCTTATATTTTGCTCTGTTTTTGCTTTTCTACTCGGAATGACTCTAAGGGTATTAGAGGTGTATCATGATGATGACTTTTTAAAATGAAAAACAAGAAAGCTAATTTCTCACTAAGATTTAGTATTGCATCATCAGAGCACAAATGATTAGACCAAAAGAACCTTATACCAAATCAGGGCCATGCAGGCTGACAAGAAGTAAATGAGATAAATCATTTCATTACATTTGTATTCACGGAAGTATCACAACATCATGCTAACCGGGCCCAAGAAATTGGAAACAGAATGCTGACGTCCATGCAGTTAAAATGCCCCGTTCAAATGGCATTTACCTTCCTGACCGTTAGGAGCAGGGGAGGCAGTAAGGACATCTGCTACAGAAAAACAGAATCAGAAAGGGGTAAAGGAAGGAGAAAATTAAGACAAACACCAGATAAATTAAACAAAGGTATGAAGCAAAGCACAAATAACAGCAGCTTAGATTATAAATAAATGAAACAAGAAATGCTCTATAGATTTAATATTTTGACTGTTGAATGATGCAAGGACTAGCAGTCAACGAAATGTAAACATTACTAATGTGAATCATGCCAAGGGCTGACACATTCATGTTACATATTTTCAGTTACTGACTGTTGTAATATTCCCAATATGACTTCATTTCAAACGTACAGAAACAGATTAATTTCTTGGAATTGTGCTGTCATTGTCATATAATATGTCTATGTTAAGTCATAAATTCAAATTTGTCTGCAGTATATGTCCAAAACTAGACACAAGGTAAACGACAAGGTTGGGAGAAAAATATTCATTAAGAATTTATTACCCAAAAGGCAGAGTTACAATTTCTCAAATAAATAACTCTCATTTGCAACTTCCTTAGGGTTTACTTGCAATAATTCTGTGGCTAGGCATTATCTCATTTTTATAGCCCAAATGGTGTTAGATTAATTCCTTTATTTAATCGGCATGAAAACCAAGGAGAAGAGATGCCACAGAGATAAACTGGGCACCCTGACTTTAGAGATGGGTCCTAATGTAGGATGCCTATGAGGGTCTCAGGAAACTTGTGAAACTCTTGCAGTTGTGCAGAATTTTGAGAGCACGTTTTATTTTTCAAAGGTGACAGCTCTCATCTGATTCTCAAAAGGACACATTATTACAAGAAGCTAGGAAACCTCTGAGGCCCACTAAGAGGCTGGTAATGGTGCTTCCCACAGCAGGTAGATTTCTGTTCTCTATCCCTGCTGGAGAAAGTGGAGATGGTCACAACAATAATTAAAGGCATATGGCTAGTAAGGCATTTAATAGTCACATATGGAAGCCTTAACTGGACAAGCTTCAACAAGCAGAACTACAAGGCCTGCATAAGTCACAGCATAACTACAAGGTCTGTTTGAGAATCATCCAGTCAGAGGATCTTCCAATGAAGGCGGAAATACTCATGTAGTGGTAGTGGGCTTAAGTGGTCATACATTATAGATGTTAGTGCTGGAAGTAGAGGAAGAACATCACCAAACACTTCGCAGAACCTTTTCATTACATATCTGAGGCATCTAAGGCCTAAAGTGGTGAAGACATTGCCCCAGGTCTCACAGTCTATTGGAACAGAGCCTTGCGTGGCCCCCTTTTCCAATGATACCCCACCTTTGCATATGTGGATTGTTAAAAATGCATGCAACTTATCTTAGAAATTCAGTAGTATAGGACTAAATTTTACTGTCCCAAATGAAAATAAATCAGAAATCCTTCTCTCACCTGTTCATTTTGTTATTTGCAAATCAAAACCATATATAATAATTTTTTGTTATTTCTTTATGTGAAATCTACAGTATAATAATTTCTAAAAAGTCTTTTCCTTTCCTGTTCTCAGAAGTACAGAAAAAGCACAGGAGTAATTTACGAAAGAGCAAATTTGTTTTCTAGTGGACTAACTACTTATAGGGGCATATGACATCTGGATTAGTTGATTTCTTAAGTGTGCTTTTCATTTCATATCTGAATCAATTTGTTCTTCTGTGGGGCATTACTGCAACTGTAATGGGGAAGAATAAGTTAATAAAAAAAATTCACATTCCCATGACTTTGCAGAGAAATTGTCCTGACTCCTTTTAATTTTTTTTTCTCTTACTATCTGATGAGATATGTCCCTCATATTAACTCATGGGGTTTCAGGTGTAGCAAACTGGCTTTTAATTGGTGGTATGGAGCAATCAACTATTACTAAGGACAGATACTAAATGATATAGTTTGGTATCATATTTGGGGGCAGACAGACACTGCAGCATAACCAGTGATGGAGGCTCACAAAACTGAACTATGATTGGAGACAACTCAAATTTCTGCTGAGGCACAGATATTTGGAGGAGGCTCAGTTGTCTTAATGCTTGAGACGACTTAATGGTAAATGGTTTCTGGTCTGGGCATATCTGCATATTTAGCAAAACAATTATTCTACATAGAAACAATATATTCTACTATATAATGTTTACAGAAATAGGAACCTTGGCATTTTCTTATTATATTGTTGTCTTTCAGACATCACCAAAATGAAACAGTCTACTATCAGCAAAGGTACCTGAGTAAACATTCTGCAATCTCTAACAAATGTTTAACGCAAATGAAACACACTGAAAACCTAATTCTCATGTGAGAAGAATCCTTCGCTAGTAATCTGTAGTTAACATCAATTCATGTGGCTTTTTTGTATTGTGTCATTAATATTACCCATGTTTTTTCTCTTTGGTTGGGCCAGAAGGAAAGATCTTGTTGGCTTAGTGGTACGAAAACAGGGAGGGAGGGGAAATGAGGCTCCTTTCTTTTCCCTGCTAGAATGCCAGAGCAAGAGTGTGAAAGGAATGGAGAGCACAGAGCCCCTGCTGATGGTGCAGGAGAAAGGATGCGGCCCCAGTCTACAATTCCAAACACACTAGAAGCTAAAGGGTGAAAATAGGGTCTCTCTGCTGCAATTCCATCTCTTCCTCTAGAAACTTGTCATAGGAATGACTCCCTGTAACTTCCCCACCTGCCTCTTCTTTCCTTAAGTGGTGGCTAACAGAATCCCCTTCCTTCCTCAGTCCTTGCTAAGTGACTGAATTCAGAAACTCCTGTACAGTATTACAACCATCTGTAGTATTGGTCTTTGGAGCTCTAGACTTATTTTAGAAAGAAAAATGTGGAAAATCATCCAAGAATTTTCCTGTGCACAGCAGAGGGATCTGTTTCTCTTACCATCAGAAAGGGATTCATAGTCATAATCATATTCGTCTTCCTCATCTTCCTCTTCCTCATTATTGGCAGGTGGGGGGTTGGCATTCCCACCATTATAAGCCTGCGCTTGCATAGATGCTAACTGATGAGCCTGTAAAATAGCAATAATTGTAAACTGCAGATGCCAAGCTACTGAATTCATTTATAACCTTCAAAACTACCCCCGATGTTTAACACAATCATTAAAAGTAGCTTAACCTATTTTGATATATTTGGGAGAGGAGGAAAAACATCTAGATTCACTTGAAACACAATGTCAACACTTGGGTGAACGTCAGCATTCCTGCAGGAAGAGTCCTGGAGCTTTTATACACAATCTCCAGAAGACTGTGTGCGGTGCTCAGCTAGCCAGGTTCCCGGGACAACCCCTCCAAGAGAAAGTTTTGGTGATTTGAAGAACCAGCACCAATCCCAAATGACTGAAGAAGTGAGTCACCCATCAGTTTTTCAAAAGTATGTCTCTGTTAAGAAACCATTTTTTCCCCTTCTTAAAATAATATCTACAGGCCCTTGACCTTGAGAACAATGTTAGAATCCCTATGGACAAAGAGGCCAAAAGAATTGTTGTTGGTTTAAATAAAATTTTTTTCAAAAGACTTTCTGAACCATAAATCAGATCAACAAAACAGGCCTAGAAACTTTAGGAAACTTGATGTGTGCAGCCAGGGAGGTCACATACTCCACGTTTACTGGAATCACTGTGAAGTGATAAGCATCAGTACAGGTCTGGGAAATATAGGAAATGTTACTTGCATGAACTAAATGCAGGAAACAACCTAGAAGTCCAACAATAGAGGAACGGGGTCAGTAAGCAGTGGTGGTCTGCTGGAGAGAATGAGACATGAAAAAATAATTGTTATATATTTATTGAACAAAGGAATTGAACAAATTCTTTTGTTCAACAAATTCTTTTATTCAATATTTATGCATCGAATATATTACATAGATTATTGTATATGCACACATACATATACAATTCTGCATATGTGTGCATCCATGTGTGTTAATATATACTCTATATGATGTATGTGTGTGCATACAGAAAATAGCTATTCATGTAAATATATATACTACATAAATATACATATAATTCTGTATTCTTTGATGTATTTAAAGTGCAGTTATATAAAATGACAGTCATAAAGTGCTAGATATTAAATGGTAATACGGCAGGGGTTCTTCACTTGTTTTTGTGTCACAGACTTCTCTGGTTGTCTGGTGAGATAGGATCCCTTCTCGGAATGATGTTTTAAATGCATAAAATGAAACGGTTACAAAGGAAATACTGTTGAATACAGTGATCACATGTTATAGGAACAAATTTGTGCTATTAGAATATATGTGTTTTTTTTTTATTAACACACTAGAAAGCATAGTAGTAGGCTAAGTAACATTTTTGAAAATATAAATTGAGCATAAATAATTCTTGGAGATATTAGCGACAACTGTGAAGTATAATGAAAAAGTTGCCATTTCTATTGGTGACAATAGGTATTGCCTACATTACTGTAGTTTATTCCCACATTTATAATCAGAGGAAATGCTAAATTTCAGCTAGAGGTTAGTGAAAATAAAGATGTATTTTTTTTCCATTTATATTCATAGACTCCCTAGATTCTATTTGTGGATATTACCAAGGTTAAGAACTTGTGTAATATAGTTGTGTTTGACCCTGGAATTATGTATGTTTTAAAATAATTCTCTAGTCCCTAAATTTTTGAAATGTGGGTATATTACCTTTATAATGAATATGTATACATAAGGAAGATACAATTTAGGCTGTGTCCATATCCATATGAAATGTATTACAAAGCAGTCCATTCCAGATAACTGGATATTGTCTAGGCTGAGATTTCTCAAAGTGGGTTTTATGGAGTTCTGTGGGTATTATTAGGTGTTATGGAAAAACTGACAATTACAGGAACCGCAAAATACATTGAATGCCTGGAAACAGCAGCTTAACCAAACCTGAACACATTCCTACTACAGGGTTTCACACAGCCTTCATTTAATACACTAAAGGGCATCACGAGTCTTCAAAGATCTCCAGTGCATCTTCAAAGATCTCCAGTGAAATCAGTCTCAAATAAACATTTTCCATGCTTACTTAACCAGGGAATTTCTTTCCCCCCGTCTTTCTCTTCTCAGAGTCTCTCATAGGATTAGCGTTCTTCAAAACTTTGGGAAATCTGTTGTAGGCAAAGGTGAGCCACAAATGCAGGTCTCTTTATCGCTGATAAGAGAAGGGCCTTGACTTAGTGAGCACTCAAGGTAACGCCAAGTCATGGGAATGATGAGGCCAAGGGCTGGACAGACCCACTGGCAGGGAAGCGTGAGTACTGTATGGGAGAAGGACACCGCTCAAAGAACCACGAATAGCAGTGTCTGAAAGTGGAGTGCCAAGGCCCCCAAGATGCTCAAGGAGAAGCATGGGAGAGGTGGCCCAATGAACAGCCAATAGCTGGGACCCTTCTACGCAGTATCCTACTTATTCTAGGGTAGAAAAATGGGACCTCAGCCCCTGAATAAAAGTAACTCGGATATAGGTTGGGGTTGGAGGTATGGGTCAGATGAGGAGACTGGCCCTCATAGGGCTAAGCAGGAGCAATGTCTTACAATTCTCTGTTTCCCCAGTACTTAGCCACAGTGCCTGTCATCTAGGGTGAACTGTTTGAGTTTTTTTGGTTCAAATTCAGGAGAGCAATGTCAGAATCCTGGAGGATCATGGTGGGGTATAGTTAGGAGACCTCAGGATGCATCTCAGTACAAGCCAGAGGCAGGTGGAGGGCTTCAGAAATCCTGCTGAGTCAATCCATCCTTGCTGAGGGTGTGTTCTTTGTATGGAAATGACATAGGCCTTCTATGTTAGGGGGTAGGTTGGAGCCCATGGAGCTCTGGGCATTCACCTGGTTTATTTGAGGTCAGATCACTAGGTCTAGACCCATGATCTACCAGAAAACAGAAAAGCCTTACACATACGACTGTGGAATCATTGCTGGTACCCCCTGGGAAGTCATCATGAAAGGTCGCAGTCTTAGAAAACTGGAAATAGGGATTATGTTGTCCCATTTTTCCAAAATGAGGAACAAGTAAGTTGTGGACATTATACTGTGGGCAGTGTCAAGGTGATAGTTGACAAAATTTCATGATGGGGTATTAATCACTTGGTTTGTGAGAACTTAGAAAATAAAGAGGTGATTTGCAAGAGTTAGAATGGATCTACTAAGAACAAATTTACTGCACTGTAACCTCCTTAGCTTTTTTGGATAAGATAATTCACTTTGTGGGAAAAATAGCAGATAAATCGTGTTTCTCAAACTTTCAGGATAATAAGAATTATTATTGTTATTATTTTTTCTGCAGACACCATGGTGACTTAAGGAATTATTTTTTTATAAACAGATGAGCAGGCCTTTCTTCTGGCAATTCTGACTTAGTCAGATTCGTGACCTTAGAATCTGTTTTTCAAAGTGCTCCAGCAACTATTCTTATTAAATTATTCTGACTTCTGTATCACCTTTGAAAAGGGCTTCTCTAAAGACCGAGACTAAGCTCTACTGCTGTGAGCTGGTTGGCCTTGAGAAAGTCACACAAGTGGCCAGGCTTCAGTTTTCTATTTTATAAATAAAGAAATCAATAAAGAAGTTGAAGCACCCTCTGGGAAACGCAGGCTACCAGAGAGGAGAGCACCAGACAAGAGCAACAATCATCAAATGCCAGGGGGGTTCTTTAAGAAGGGCACAGGCCTCTCACGTGGCTGGCTGACTCAAGGGCAACTTGGGATGAAGACACACTTTGAGAAACTGCTAATAAATGTACCAGATGACAGAAACAAAATACACAAAGAACCTTGTAGGATGTAATAATATACCGAAACCAAGAAGAGCAAAAATAAATACGAGGCTTCCATATACAAAAGGTTACAATTCATTGTTAATCTGGAAAAATGGGAACACTGGGCATAAGAACAGTCTATATGAAAATAATCGAATGATTTTGTTTTCTACAAGCTCAACATGAGCCCGGTGTGTGCTAAATCTTTTTTTTTTTTTTTTTTTTGAGTCAGGGTCTCACTCTGTGGCCCAGACTGGTATGCAGTGGCACAATCATGGCTCATTGAGCCTTGGCCTCCCAGGCTCAGGTGATCCTCCTGCCTCAGCCTCTCCAGTAGCTGGGAATACAGGCACATGCCACCACGCTCAGCTAATTTTTATATTTTTTGTAGAGATGGGGATGTGATATGTTGCCCAGGCTGGTCTTGAACTCCTAGATTCAAGCAATCCACCTCCCCTGGCCTCTCAAAGTGCTGGAATTACAGGGGCGAGCCACAGCGGCTGGCCAAGAATTTTTGAAAGGAAGACAGTCTGAGGCTGCATTAACAAAGGTTTAAAGTTCAAATTAGGGGAGGTGATGGTTTCACTGATCTTGTGCTGTAATATACTACCTAGAATACTGACTTAGTTCTGGAAATCGCATTTTAAGATTGACAAATTCAAGAATATTCACAAATTTAAGAATATCTACGATATTCTTAATGGTAAGTAAAGAGTCTTAGCAAACATATCCTGTCAGGAACAGTTGGCACAACAAGAATTTTTAGCTTGGAGAAGAAAAGCTGGTGGGGAAACACATGATAGCTTTCTAAATATAAAATTAGTCTGTACAGCTGCAGAGAGAAGAGGGAGGGCCAATGAGAAGGAGGAACAGGAAGGAAGATTTGGGCTCAACATAAAAAAGACTTCTGTTCATTAGTGGAATGAAAGTCTTATAAGTAACTGCAAATGACTGTGTACAGAATGGAAAAGGCAAAGACATTCACATTTATCTTGAAGACCATAGTGGTATGTGTGGTTAGCAGCTTTATCTGCTTGGCAGTGAGGACCGGGCAGGAATTGTTGGATAAAGAAAACAGCACAGACGAACAGGGCTCTAGAAGAAAGTGTTTTTCTGTCTAGAAGTGCTTTTTCTTCTGCTGGGTGGTCAGTCACTGATGTGGCATTTGAGGAAGGTCAGGTAGAGTATACATGCTAACATTTAAATAACTTAGTAACAAGGCCATCAGCATAGGTGCCATGGCCTCTGAAACTCAAGCAAAGGCCAGGTCACCTGGAGCAGCTTTGGAAGTGCAGATCTGGATGTCGACCCAGTGGAGGTCTCCAACTGGTGGCCCTTGGGGCTGACTTCACCTCCAGACCTGACTGGTTTGGCTAGTGCAGTGTTTTAAAAATAATTGAATTAGAGCTGTTCATTGATGGGGCGTGCACCCTCCACTCCTGTCCTCACCACTTCCAGCTGTCCTGTATCCAGCTGGCTCCTCACACTGATGTTTCTTGCTTAGCCCCTGAAGGTGGCTGATTTTGCAACTTTTGGCCCAGAGTCATGGGTGATCTTCAAATTGGGTCATGTATACCTTCAGAGTACACAAACACTTCAAGGGAGTATGCAAGTTCGGATGTTGGTAAAGAAATTGGTTTCTGTATGTTTAGCATCTATGTGCCTGTACTCTTTGAAAAACAGGTCAGCCTGAGAGCAAGTGGGCTAGTTTCCAAAGTGATGTTTTAGAACCAACAGTGCCCTCCTAAGTAGGACAAATAGTTTTGCCAGCTGTCATCCTGTGGGATAAGTGGGTGCAGCCTGGTAAATAGACTCTGTGTTCTGGACCTGAGGTTTTTCACAGACCTTTGGGCTGAGGGTCTCCTACGCAGGTGAGTTTGTTGTGCTTGGACCCAGATCTCTGTTGTCGAGATCTGGGCCCAAGCAGCACAAACTAGTGATAGGCTGGGATCTCAGGGCTATGGCTATTGGGCTTCTACTACAGGCTCCACGCCAAGGGCTCCCCTAAGAGGCCTCTCCCTAAAGGGGACTAAAGCAGTCATTATGGGATGGACAACCCCCAAAGCTCAGTTTCAGGCACAACAGTCACACTTCATCCTACTCGGAATAAATTAAATAACGGAGGTATATCCTATGTGGGAACAATTCCACAAATTAAATCTTGGGTGAGTGAGATGAGAGAATTTATTGGTCTATGAAATGAAAAGCCCCAAATCAAATTTATCATCTAAGGAAAGTCAGTCTTGAAAAACTAGTAAACAAGCAGGTCATCTGAAAGGTTAGAATGATTATTTTTCTTTGTTCTAGGCACACTGCCTTTTCATAACCAGTTTAACAAGAGGGGAGTACCTTTTGCTTTAAGATATCCACTGGTGTCTGATGGGCTTTTAGTTTCTTGTTTTTAAGAAGCACTTTCCTTCTGAGTTGGTCAGGTGAAGGAAGCATTGGATCATCTGAGAAATCAGTCTCAAATAAGAATTTAGCCACCAGCTTTTCTCCAAACACAGTCTAAAAAGAATGAAGGAAAACATACAATCAATGCCTTTTATCTGTAATTGATAAATGTAGGTACACTTCATAAATATAGTAGATATTTTAGATTGGTTGAATTATTTTAAAAGTCTTAGGAAGAGGAACGAGGAAAGAAGCTGTCCCCTGCTCCCCCGCTTCATAGTTTCTTACTGAAAGGAAGGGAGGTGTTTAGAAGGACAGGAGGAGAGGTTGAGGCCACTCTGCAGCTGGCGTCAGTTCTAACTATTCAGGAAAATATTCTGTGGTCTGATGTATTAAATAAGAAAACAGAGAATCAGTTAGAGGCTGTTGTTTGTAGAATAAGGTTAGTTTCAGATGAAGTCAAGTCAAAAGGACAGAAACTTTGGAGGGGGTAGGGAGTAGGGACAAAGATGAAAGACATAGGTAGAATTTGCCCCCACATAGTGTGAAGAACCACAGACACAATTCTCACAAAGATTTTGGGCACTGATCTCCAAAGCAGAATGTGTGTCTGTCAAGGAGGTGGGTGGAGGGAAGGCAGACACAATGCTTATATCAACTCCATTGTTGCCCAGGCTGGTCTCCAACTCCTGAGCTCAGGCGATCCACCCGCCCTGGCCTCCCAAAGCGCTAGGATTACAGGTGTGAGCCACTGGGCCTGGCTTCAAGTTATTTTTTAGTTGAAAAAAAAAAAAAATCAAAGCTTAGGCCAGAACAATATGAAAAGTTAATTAGTTTTGTTGGCATTGATATTTGGGACATTTTGTTAGTGCCCCTCCTTCCCACTGAGAGCCACATTTCCACAAATGCCTCTACTGTTAGAGGAAGGGGGAAGTATAACGGAATATCTGCTCCTAAATCTAGGTGCATTATCAATCCCCTATATAAGGAACGGCTGACTATTAACACAGCAACTGTTCTGGCCAGTCTAAGCTCTTTGCTAACTTGGATCTTTGTATTGTGGTATAAGAAGATCTTCTACAAGATTTGACTTACTTGCCCTGAGATATTTTCAGCTTTTCCACATACAATTGACAGATGACATCCTGGCATCCCTGACTTGTGGTACCGAAGTGTTGGAGAGTTGGTCTATCCTAATCTCCTAAGGCTTTCTGGAAAGGGTAAGGAGACCAGAGAGTAATGCTTATATCACTACAGCTCAGCTGAAAAGAGGGACCATCCCAGAGACGGCCCAGGCTCTGAGAACAGCCCAATTTCTCAGGTTTGTGGAACCCTAACTTTATATGCTTCACGGCCAAGGTCTAATTGCGGCATGGTCCACAAAGCCCTCATGTAAAACCTAATGATGGCTGGGTGCAGTGCCTCATGCCTATAGTCCCAGCACTTTGGGAGGCCAGGGTGGGTGGATCACTTGAAGCCAGGAGTTCCACAGCAGCCTGGCCAGCATGGCAAAACCTCATCTCTACTAAAAATACAAAAATTAGCCAGGCATGGGGGTGCACACCAGTAATCCCAGCTACTTGGGAGGCTGAGGCAGGAGAATTGCTTGAACCTCAGAGGCAGAGGTTGCAGCGAGCCGAGACTGCACCACTGCACTCCAGGCTGGGTGAGAGAGCGAGACTGTCTCAAAACAAAACAAAACAAAACAAAAAAAACCAATGACAATTGCAAGACAAGGGCCAACATACCGTCCTGTCTTTTCATTGAGAGCTCACCTTGAAAATTTCTGCCATTTTTCGTTGCTGAGGCAATGAACAGTGGTTCTCAATCGATATGATGATTGGCAGGTCAGAGTTGATGAAGGCACTGCGATTAATGGCTTCAACCACTTCCTATGAGAGCCAAAACAGCTCATTAGAGTCCAGATATCTGTCAAAGTGGTCAGAAGGCAGGGTATTCATAGCCACGGAAAGCATCTCAATTGTTACATGCAGCAGACTCTGACCAAAGGTGGTTTTTGTATTTTCAAATGAAGGATGAGGATAAGGCTATTTTGTAGAAAGACATTAAACTGTTTATAGTGAGTATTGTTCATATACTATAAGGAACAACTATCATTATATTGAATTTAACAAATCTATCTATATACATATACTCTCTGTATATATATATATACTCTATGTAGAGTATATATACAGTATATAAACAATATATTGTGTATATATAATACATATACAGTATATATACAATATATTGTGTATATATTATATATACAGTATATATAGAGAGTATATATATACGCAATATATATATATAAATTGCAACAATATTATTACATGCTAACTAGTATAAGGTAATGGTTACTAACTTTGGTTGAATGGGGAATCTAATGAGAGTTCTAGATTAACTCCAGAAAAATGAACATGTGCACATTCCACATGATACAGCAAACACTTTTGGGAAGTCTTCATTTAGACCCAGCATAAAGACCCTTGACCTAAGGTGTAATTTGGTTAAGTCACTGATTTAAATGAAGAATGAAGGCCAGGCGCAGTGGCTCACACCTGTAATCCCAGCACTTTGGGAGGGTGAGGCAGGCGGATCACTTGAGGTCAGGAGTTTGAGACCGCCTGGCCAACATGTTGAAACCCCGTCTCTACTAGAAATACAAAAATTGGCTGGGCTTGATGGTATGCACTCGTAATCCCAGCTACTTGGGAGGCTGAGGCAGGAGAATCTCTTGAACCTGGGAGTTGAAGGTTACAGTGAGCCAAGATGGTACCACTGCACTCCAGCCTGGATAACAGATCAAGACCCTGTCTCAAAAAAAAAAAAAAAAAAGACAAAAAAAAAAAAAAAAAGAGACAAATGAAGATAATGTCTCTTTGTGATTTGATTTAAAGAAAGTTATGAAGGATTACCTTGAAGGGGATCTTGGTTGTCAGTGTATGTCCATGATAAATGATGGGCATCCCATCGTCTCCGTCCCAGCAGTCCAATTCTACACTTCGACAGCCTTGCAAGAGGACCTGTGTGATCAATGAGTGAATCCACCCCAGGTGAGCACCTAGAGATAAAGCCTCAAACTAAACCTAGCATGTAGTTCTACATATCAGGCAGTGTTCACACTCAGGACTAAAGCAGAAAGGCACATGGTCTAAAACAAACACGGCATTTTCACCAAAGGCCACAGTTAATCTGGAGTGGGAAAGGAAGGGAACAGATTAAGGTAGAAAGAGTGTTTACCAGAGCTGAATATTAAAGGAAAGTAAAATTTGATAGCAAAACCATATGGCCATTTTCCTAGCAACTCTGGCCTCTTGAAATCTTCAAATTAGAGCCAGGCAAGTGCTCTATCTGGGTAGACATCAATGGAGGTGAAAATGCTAATGCCACAGCCCAGAGAAAATAAGGCCACTGAGTCCTTAATGAACCGGCTAAACATTTACAGCAAGCCAATCAGGATAAAATCACTTCCATTAAGACCCAAATTAAACCACAATTAAACAACTTTGCTGTGAATGCATAACATGTAAGATGAGTAGAAGCAAAGAGTTATCAAGGATTTGCCTGGCTATCTAATTCCAGAATAGCAACTAGAGCAGAGATGGCAAATTATCCATAAATGGTTCCTTCCTCCCATACCCACAGCAGACATCAGTAATCAAGCTAGGCACACTAGTCCTTTAAGCTTTAATATGTTAGCTCACAACCTCTTTATTAAAGTGCTCCAGAAAACACTACCAAAGAATCAGATGAGGTGATACCTATTTGTTATCCTGGATCTGAAGTGGGAAGCAGAGCTCAATACATATGCTTGGGTTGCAACTCTGTAAAGTTTGCTTGAAGCACCTTCTTCCTCCATAGATCTATCTGTACATCATCTTAAAAAATTATTACATACTGGAATAGTGACCCAAGCCAATACATTGATAGATCTGTAAACCCACTGATTTTAGAACGCACATAATTATGTCTATGTGACAGCAATCCATTACTGGGGCTTAGTGGCCACTAGAGTTTCTGCAACTAAGCTCAGGTAGTGGAATGATTCTCATTTTCACAGTTTTGTATGAGATATGTGCTATATTCTTCCTATCTTACAGCATAGTGGGTGGCCTAGAATCTCAAGGCTATCTGCTTCTTTCAGCAGCTAGAGTATCTAGAGGGGCAGTGTCTTGGGCTGGAAATTGCTATGTAAAATGGTGGCTGGAACACCAAGCTGCTTATCTCTGTGGCGCCCCTGCCAGACCGGGAGTAATGTTCAGCAACTGGCAACAGATGAGGTGGCTTCTCAGCATGGATGGACTAAAGGTCTTCACCAAAGTCTGTGTGACCTTAGATCTCCACATATGGCTAAAAGAGGAAAACCTGGGCTGGAAATTCTACATGAGAAGAACAGGGCTTATTCTCACTTCCCATCTGCCCCATGGAGTAATGTTAAAAGGTAATTAGGAAGGGCCAAGGAAGAGTGGAGAGGGGTTAGAAACGAAGTAAGAGGGATCTACCTGCATACTAGGTTTCATCCCATCTATGAGTATATTTGAGGGGTTCTTGTGCCTTACTCAAAAGCTGTGATAGTCTCTCCTTGGGGTGTGATGTTAAGAGGTTTAAAATCTGTTTGAAGTCAAACAGGAATGAAGTAGGGATTAAAGCCAGGACACTGGTCCTTGTTTATTTTCCTGGGATAAATGTGCATACATGTAAGTACATAGATATACATAGATATGCATACATGCACTTACACATATATGTACACACATGTATATGTATGTATATACCTATGTATGTGTGTATATGAAATATATATAAGTAGCTGTATTTATATGTATATTTAATTTCATTCCTATAGAATAATGGATTTCAAACTTCTTTTAACTTTGGCATTTCTGTGTGCAAATGGAGGGCCAATATGTAAAGTGTGTAGAAGAGTAGTACATTACCTGAAGTGGGGCAGATGGTACCCCTCCTACTCTCTGGCTTCCTCATCTCAGTGTCGGGGACTGAGGCCCCATGACAGAACTCCTATTTTGAAAATCACGGCCAGGTGCGGTGGCTCAAGCCTGTAATCCCAGCACTTTGGGAGGCCGAGACAGGCGGATCACGAGGTCAGGAGATCGAGACCATCCTGACTAACCAGGTGAAACCCCGTCTCTACCAAAACACACAAAAAAACTAGCCGGGCGAGGTGGCGGGTGCCTGTAGTCCCAGCTACTCGGGAGGCCGAGGCAGGAGAATGCCGTAAACCCGGGAGGCGGAGCTTGCAGTGAGCTGAGATCCGGCCACTGCACTCCAGCCTGGGCGACAGAGCGAGACTCCGTCTCAAAAAAAAAAATAAAGGTTCCTTAGAAAATAGAGTTTAAAATACATATTCCCGCTACACAAGCTTTGGGATAAAAAAAATTGCCCCATGCTATGAGGAATATCTGCACGAATCTGGAGAACAAAGAAACCTCATTGTTGCTGGGGTTATGTAAACAATACACCTGTGATTTTCAAACCTGGACCCACGTGCGCACGCAACGACACACATATTCCCTGCCTAGCTCCAACCGAATTGACCCTTCTTGAAAGAGTTAAGAAAAAAGGCAGAATAGATGAGGAAGCTACAGACGGTACAGCAGAGAGGCAATGGACACGCAGATCGTTGCAAGTTGGATGTTTAGGTAAAAAGGATGGACTTTTTCTAGTCTAGAGAGCCTACTGAGTTTCAAAGAACATTCTCATGAATTTAATGTGTAGGGACAGTGCCTACAGTCTGTGCAGATTTTTTTCTGAAAAATTTTTTTTTTTTGGTTACCATAGGGCTAGATTGATTATTTAACAAACTGAAAAGCAAAACAAACAATATTTTGGGAATAAGTACATAGAAAGTTGCATTTTCTACTATGCTTTCCCACTACAATATATTATTTAGCAGTTAGAGAACCGATTAGATAATTTTCCCATGGGAAAATCTAATTTTAGTGGGAGTAGGTCAGACTAACTAGGATCTAAAAGCTATGAGTCTCAAACAAACACTTTCATTTTGGCCTAGAATAAAGGTTAAGTATAGACAGGGGAAAACAAAACAAAAGAAGTAAAGAAGATGACTGCTGTAGTACAGCCAGTTTCCCACACATCGTGGTTCCTCACATTTGACAGGGAACAGCTTACTCTATAAGCTCTTCAAAGGAGCCTGGGGCCAGGGTTTTGTGACTTTGGGGGTTAAGTAAATAATTAGGCTTAATAAAAACCACATTCCAAGTGGCATTCCCTGTACCTGGCTGTAGAGTTCTACCGAGGATTCTCCTTTGAGCTGATGGCCCGTGAGGTAGGTATTGTGCGAAGATTCGATGTAATAGTATGAGAGGGGTAGCTGCAGTTCTTTAATGTTCTCCTGTGACTCATCGTTTTTTGAGGCAAAATTTTCTTTATCCATCAGAAACCTAGGTGAAACAAATTTTCTTAAGACTGCATGGGAAAAATGCATACTACTCTTAAAAGATGGGCAAAAGATATTTTAAAAGTTACCTTGCAAACCCTTCAAATGACATTAGTCCCTGATGACACATACTGATGTTAGGCTCAAACTTCTGCAAGGGATTAAAAAAAAGTGTTATTTAGGTTAAGGAAACTAAGAGGGGGAAAGAAACCACCACATCATTTTTTAAAGCTGTTCTGTTTTCATCAGGAAACATCTAAACCAAATATTTGAACTAATTTAGTAATGTAGTGGTAAGAAGTGGTTTTTAGTCCAAAAGAAAACATTTATTATACTAAGCATATTTATTTAATAGAAAAAAGGAGAGAATGAGAAAAGAACAAGGCTGATTTCTATGAAAACAAAGTGTATCAGTTTATCCAGGTGAAAATGGGGATAATAATAGCAGTTACCATAAAGTTAGTGAGAGGCGAACTGAGATGATTCACATAGAGCACTTAGTGCCATGACTGCATTTAGTAATATTATAATGAGCACTCAACAGTGTGATAGTAATCTCACAATTTTAGCATTTTCAGTGATCAAATCCAACTGCTGAACAACTAATACACTGATACCCAGTCAGGTGATAAGGGAGGCTGAAACCTAGACTCATTTGTTGCATGGAGCCACACCACTCCTCTCTGCTGACACCCTGTAGTGTAAACCTTCACCAGCTATTGCTGGTTACTATGATAGCTTCCTAAGCAGCCTCTCTGCGTCTGTTCCTTCACCAGCACAGTTTACAATGAGGCCAGAGTAACCACTTAAAATTTTTTTTTAGAGACAGGGTCTTGCTATATTGCCCAGCATGGCCTCAAACTTCTGGGCTCAGGCAATCCTTCTGCCTCAGCTTCCTGAGTAGCTGGGACTACAGGTTTGTGCCACCATGCCTGGCTCAGAGTAACCTCAAAAAAAGTAAATCAGCCAGGCGTGCTAGCTCGCGCCTATAATCCCAGCACTTTGGGAGGCTGAGGTGGGCAGATCATGAAGTCAGGAGTTCGAGATCAGCCTGGCCAACATGGTGAAATCCCATCTCTAGTAAAAATGCAAAAATTAGCTGGGCATGGTGGTGCGTGCCTGTAATCCCAACTACTTGGGAGGCTGAGGTAGGAGAATTGCTTGAACCTGGGAGGCAGAGGTTGCAGTGAGCCAAGATCGTGCCACTGCCCTCCAGCTTGGGTGACAGAGCGAGACTGTCTCAAAAAAAAAAAAAAAAAAAAAAAAAAAATCAAATCATGTTACTCCCCTGCTCAAAAATTTCAGTGGTATCCCATTTCACATGGACTAAAGCCAACCTCCTTATCATGCTCTAAAAGGCCTGGATGACTGGGCCCTTGCACATCTGTCTGACACCATGCCTGCCATTCTCTGCCTGGCTTGCGCAGCTCACAGTACACCAGCTTTTTGTGGTTCCTCATAAACCCCCAGCTTGCTGCTGTCTTGGTCTTTGACCTTGTGGCTCCCTGTGGGGAATGCTCTTTCCTGAGACCTTCAAACCGGTTATTGACTTAGGGCTCAGTTCAAATGCTACCTCTTCTAAGTGGCCTTTGCTTACTCTCCTCGGCTCTCCTCCTGTATCATTCTATTCCCTCACATGACTCAGTTTTTCCCCTACCCCATTATTACCTGAAATTACATCATATCTTTGTTGTCTGCCTCACCCGCTAGAATGTAAGCTGCATTGAGGGCCAGAACTATTACCTTATTGTCTGCTATATTCCCACATCCTAAAACTGAGCCAGCATAGTAGGAACTAGTACATATTCATTTAATGACTAATGAGGTTGAAAACTCAGACTAAATCTGTTGCATGTTCTGGAATAACAAGAAAAAATTATGTACCGACTCCTTATAATAGTTACTGAGTTAGAGAAAGCCTGGGACCTATGCTAATTATATGTTAAAGAACACTTGCATACTTGTTTTTTGTTTGTTTTTTGAGACAGGGTTTTGCTCTGTTACCCAGACTGGTGTGCGGTGGTGCCATCTCAGCTCACTGCAACCTCTGCCTCCGGGGCTCAAGTGATTCTCATGTCTCAGCCTCCCAAGTAGCTGGGATGATAGGCATGGACCACCATGCCTGGCTGATTTTTTTTTTTTTTTTAGATGGGGTCTCGCTCTGTTGCCGAGGCTGAAGTGCAGTGGTGTGATCTCAGCTCACCGCAATCTCTGCCTCGTGTTCCAGTGATTCTCCTGCTCCACTCTCCCGGGTAGCTGGGATTACAGGCATGCACCACCACACCTGGCTAATTTTTGTATTTTTAGTAGAGATGTGGTTTCACCATGTTGGCCAGACTGGTCTTGAACTCCTGATCTCAGGTGAGCCACCTGCCTCAGCCTCCCAAAGTGCTAGTATTAAAGGTGTGAGCCACCATGCACGGCCCTGGCTGATTTTTGTATGTTTAGTAGAGATGGAGTTTCATCATGTTGGCCAGGCTGGTCTTGAACTCCTGGCCTCAAGTGATCCACTGGCCTCAGCCTCCCACAGTGCTGGGATTACAAGCGTGAGCCATGAAACCCAGCCCATACTTGGTATTTTGTTAAAAAAACAAAACAGAAAAGGTCGGGCGCAGTGGCTCACACCTGTAGTCCCAGCACTTTGGGAGGCCAAGGTGGGCAGATCACAAGGTTAAGAGATTGAGACCATCCTGGCCAACATGGTGAAACTCCATCTCTACTAAAAATACAAAAATTAGATGATCATGGTGGCATGCACCTGTAGTCCCAGCTACTCAGGAGGCTGAGGCAGGATAATTGCTTGAACCTGGGAGGTGGAGGTTGTAGTGAGCCAAGATCGCACCACTGCACTTCAGCCAGGCAACGGAGCGAGACTCCATCTCAAAAAAAACAGAAAAAACAAAACTCTATTTCTGTCCCAGATTTAAAGGCTTTGGAAAGAAGTATCGAAAGAGTAAACATTTAGCAGTGAATTATTAGAATGGCCAGAGGCATCACACACACATGCACACACAAAACAGGCACGAACCTGGATGATGCTGAGGATTTCATCATAAGTGCAGTGTTCTCCTTGGCAATTCACGAGGAAATCGTTGAGCTGAAGTATGCCCACCCCGAAAATGCCCAGAGATGTGCTCTCAATCCCAGTGCCATTTGTCACGATGCTTGCAGCAGCAATGGCATCAGATATCTGCCTCTGGTTGTCCGATAGCTGCTGTTTACTCTTGATGAACAACCCCAAATCTGAGACATTTCTGGTCAACAGATCTGAAACAGAATCACCAGAGTACACCGACAAGATAGCCAGCATCTTTTGCAAAGTTTATTTTGGAGAGAATGGTGTGGAGTTATTAAAATGGAGAAGCTCTTTACTAATGTACCTAAAAAAGCCATCAAAGAAGTGTTTATTCCTGGATTCACATAGTGATAGGAATAAAAAACAAATCAATGAATAAATAAAGGTAACTAAGGGCTGGGCACGGTGGTTCATGACCGTAATCCCAGCACTTTGGGAGGCTGAGGCAGGTGGATCACCTGAGGTCTGGAGCTTGAGACCAGCCTGGCCAACATGGTGAATCCTCGTCTCTACTAGAAATACAAAAATTAGCCAGGCATGGTGGTGTGCACCTGCAGTCCCAGCCACTCGGGAGGCTGAGGCACGAGAATTGCTTGAACCCGGGAGGCGGCGGTTGCAGTGAGCCGAGATTACACCACTGCACTCTAGCCTGGGCAACAGGGTAAAAGTCTGTCTCAAAAAAAAAGGAAAAGAAGAAGGTTCAGTTGGGGACTTCAGGCCAAATTCAGGCTTTGGTTTTAGGGAGTAACTACTTGCACATTTTTATGTTCGTAAAGATTGAAGACATACCCTTAAAATTACAGTTTTACTGTAATTTAGAAGTGTAACTATAAGCATTTGTGTGCAGATTTTTGTGTGAATATAAATTTTCAACTTGTTTGGGTAAATACCAAGTAGTGTAATCGCTGGTCACATGGAAAGACTATGTTTAGCTTAGTAAGAAACTGCCACACTATCTTCCAAAATGGTTGTACCATTTTACATTCCTACCTGCAATGTTCCAATTGCTTCACATTCACACCAACTTTGGTATGGCCATTTTAATTTTAGCCACTTTGGAAGACAGTCTGGCAGTTTCTTATGGAGCTAAACATAGGCTTACCATATGATCCAGCAATTGCACTCTTAGGTATTTACCCAAATGGTGGAAAAACTTAAGCCCACACAAAAACCTGAATACAAATGTTTATAGCAGCTTTATTCATAATTGCTAAAACTTGGAAGAAACCAAGGTATACCTCAGTAGGTGAATGGACAAACAAACTGTAGTACCTCCACAAAATGGAATATTATCCAGGGTAAAAAGAAATGGGCTACCAAGCTACAAAAAGCCATGGAGGAAGGAAACTTAAATGCATATTGCTAAGTGAAAGATGCCAGCCTGAAAACACTATGTACTGTGTGATTCCAACCATATGATATTCTGGAAAAGGCAAAACTATGGAGATAATAAAAAGAGCAGTGGTTGCCAGGGACTTGGAGGGAGGATGTGGGGGGATGGAAAAGTGGAGCACAAAGAACTTTCAGGGCAGTGAAACTATCCTGTATGATACTGTAATGGTGGATACATGTCATTACACATTTGTCAAAACCCATAGAATGCACAACACAAAGAGTGAATCCTAATGTTAACTATGGACTTCAGTTCATCATAATGTATCAATATTAACTCATTGTAACAAATATACCACACTAATGCCAGATATTACTAACAGAAGAAAGTCTGTGTGGGAAAGCAGAAGAGAGCATATTGAAACTCTGTACTTTCCACTCATTTTCCCATAAACCTAAAATTGCTCTAAAAATAAAGTCTAGACTGGGCGTGGAGGCTCATGCCTAAGATCCCTGCACTTTGGGAAACTGAGGCAGGAGGATTGCTTTAGGCTAGGAGTTTGAGAGCAGCCTGGTCAACAGAGCAAGACCCTGTCTCTACAAAAAATTACATTATTTTAAAATAACATTTTAAAATAACATTTTTAAATAATAAAAAATACATGAAAATGATAAATAAAATGAAAACAAAGATAATAAAACAAAAAATAAAGTCTAATAATTTTTGAAAAATGTAACTACTTGACTAATCCATGGTTATGGAGATTTTATGACTAAAGTTGAACAATAGTTAATAGTCTCAGCTCAAGGACAACATAAACTTACAAATAATTATGAAGCAACTGCATAAAAGAGGAAAGGTTTTTGTTTTTTCTATTTGTGTTTATGGTTTCCAGGAAGAACAGAGGAGGAAAATGATAGGCTGAAAATGCATGGGTGGTTAGAAAAATGCATGGGTGGTGATAGTAATGGTGGTGGTGGTGAGTGGGATAGAAGAATGAGATATTCTGGTTTACACAGTAGGAAATATATCCTGGACAATCATTCAGACAGAAGTACCCTGTGGAAGGCACTAAAGACTCTCCTTGTCAAAGGGCAGGAGACTACTGCCCTGAGACTGAATATACATCTGTCTGTAGGTAGGAAAGAGACTGGGGGTTCTCCACTGTGACACACACCACATACTTAGCAGACATTTGGAAATGGTCAGTGATATGGTTTGGCTGTGTACCCATCCAAATCTCATTTTGAATTGTAGCTCCCACAATTCCGTGTTGTGGAAGGGACCTGGTGGGAGGCAGCTGAATCATGGGGGCAGGTCTTTCCCATGCGAAAATGTTCTCGTGATAGCAAATAAGTCTCATGAGATATGATGGTTTTATAAAGGGGAGTTTTTCCTGCACAAGTTATCTTGTTTGCTGCCATGTGAGACATGCCTTTCACCTTCTTCCATGATTGTGAGGCCTCCCCAGCCACGTGGAACTGTGAGCCCATTAAACCTCTTTTCCCTTATAAATTACCCAGTCTCGGGTATGTCTTTATCAGCAGCGTGAAAATGGACTAATGTAGTCGGGAAAGGGTTTTTGGTTGTCAGAATGACTGGAGGGCTTTATTGGTTAAATATCCTGAAATACATGGGCAGAACCACACAATGATGAATTTCTTTGCTCAAAATGCCAGTAGCACCTGCTCCCATGACACCAGATGACACCTTAAAATAATTCTCTAAGTGTTGGCTGGGCATGGTGGCTCACACCTGTAATCCCAGCACTTTGGGAGGATGAGGTGACAGATCACGAGGTCAGGAGATCGAGACCATTCTGGCTAACACGGTGAAACTCCATCTCTATTAAAAATACAAAAAATTAGCCAGGCGTGGTGGCCCATGCCTGTAGTCCCAGCTACTCGGAGGCTGAGGCAGGAGAATAGATTGAACTCAGGAGGCAGAGGTAGCAGTGAGCCGAGATTGCACCACTGCACTCCAGCCTGGGCAATGGAGCGAGACTCTGTCTCAAAAAAAAAAAAAAAAAAAATTCTCTTAAGTGTTTCCTACACAGCAGTAATAGCACACTATGTGGGACAGGCTCAGAGTTTGTGTGATTGGACCTCTGACCTTAAGTTTTAGACAGATTGGTCCCAAAGGGAAATCCTAAAATGTTCAACAAACCTAGGTCAGGCTGAAGATCGCTGGTGTTTTCATCAATCATCAAGTTGGTGTAGAGCGGGGCTGACTCGGATCCAGATCGGCTGCAGGGCACTGCATAGACATCAAACAGATCCTTCAGGTCCTTGCGGCTCCTGACACTGAATGGGGAATGGAAAACACCTCTCATTGAGTATCTTTATAGAAGTGGGGGGCCTGAGAAAGAATAAGTAGGAAACATACACTGTACCTGAATGATTTGAACAGCTCAACAAATTCAACAAAACTCATGTTGCTGTCTGAAACCATGAAGCTCTGAAATCCCTTCATGCCACCTTTGATCCGCCCGTGCCAGCTACTACTGCTCCAAGCACTGCAACAAAGATAAGGCCTTAATGGGCACAAGGGCAGGCCACTGTTGTGATTTTGTCCCACCAGAGTTGCTCCAATTCGCAATATGAGCAAAACAATGAGTGCAAGTTATTTAAGATTGAAGCTATTTTCTGATACTCTTTTCATTTCTCTTAATCTATATTGTATCAGAGGAAATAAAACATGTTGTATATGAAAAAGAAAACATGTTTCTAGTCTATTTAATAAGGGCCCAGGGCTGAGGTTAATATTCCTCTATTAATCAAAACAGTTCTTTGAAATTGCAGATCAATGGGCAAAATAAATGTTTTTGAAGATGTCTTCTTAAAAAAGAGCCCCAAATTACTCACTCTTAATCTATGGGAAATAATGCACATTCTTTTCTATATTCTAAGTTATAGAGTCACATTTAAGAAGAAACTTTTGAGTGTATTGTCTGATTCCTTTCTTAACCAGTCCTTAGATGAAAACAGAGAAGAGCTCTTAAATATGAATAGAAAATGTGAGTCAGAAAAATGTTAAGAATGGAAAGGGCTGGGTGCGGTGGCTCATGCTTACAATCTCAGCACTTTGGGATGCTGAGGTGGGAAGATTGCTGGACCCCAGGAGTTCGAGACCAGCCTAGCCAACATAGTGAGGCACTGTCTCTAATTTTAAAAAATTTTAAAAAGAATGGAAAAAACCCAGCTCTGCCTAGGATTATATTTGCACCTTCCAAGGCTGCATCTATTCAATGTCGAAATATCAGTCAACTCAGTCAGAACAGTCTTACTGTTTCACAACATTTTTTATGAGAGATGTTTTGATTATGGTTTGTAGTCAAATTAATGAATAGGATCTATTTTTTTTGTCTTGGATTTTAAAAGTTTTTTTGAAATATTTCAAATATATAAGAAAGTATAGAGAATATCATAAAGTCTATTTTAGGTATATTAAATATATAATCTAAAAACTATATATTTAAGAATATAAACATAAAATATATAGTCTGTTGAAGTGACTCTCAACCCTGCTAACAATGTTCACTCATGGAAAATTAATTTGTGCTGACATCTGAAGGTCACCTTCAGTAACGAAAGAGCACTACAAATTGATAACTTTATAGCATTTTGTAGGCATAGGTTGTAGGTTGTTGATCCCCAGTGTAGTGCAGGAAACATAGGGTAGAGGTGCAGGAAGAGGAAAATGGTGACTTCATTATTTGTAGCTAAAGAAGTAAATGTCCTGTCTTGCTTCTTTCTGGTTGCAGGTCCAGCTAGTGTCTGTAGGAACCCATCTCCCTTTGATTCTAGGAAACTGTTTGTCCACTCTTTCCACTACCAGACTTAGGATTCAGTCTAGCTTTCCCCCTTAACAGCATTCAGCTGATTTTTCCTCTCCTGCCTTGTGTTTTCTTTCTGTTTTAAAACACTTGAGTGAGTGCTGATCCCTGTCCTCCTGGGGTTGGCCTTCTGATCTTGCATCTGGCATGTCAATTTCTCTTTTTAAAAGATTTTCCTCCCTTACTCTGTCCTTTCTTTTCCTGCTCATGAATGACTGAAATAAACGGGAAATGCCATTTAATCCAGGTTCCTAGATATTTACCCAGGATACTACACAGGCTGAAAGTATAATAAACAGGATTCTGATTTTTGTAACTTTTAGTTTTGCTATGAATCTAAATTTACATAAAAGTTGCAAGAGTGGCACAAAAAATTCCCATAGAATCTTGACACACGCTCACCCATTGTAGCATGTGAATGTGTAAAGCATAAATTGTAAGTTCATAGCTCACATTGTGAAAGAATTTTTATTTAAAAGATAATTTACTGTAGGATTCTTTTTTCTTTTTCCTTTCTTTCTTTTTCTTCTCCTTTTTTTTTTTTTTTTTTTTTTTGAGACAAGCTCTCACTCTGTTGTCTAGGCTAGAGTGCAATGGCATGATCACGGCTCACTGCAGCCAGAACTTCCCAGGCTCAAGTGAAACTACCACCTCGGCCTCCTGAGTAGCTGGGACCACAGATGAGAACCACCACACCCTGCTAATTGTTTTATTTTTTGTAGAAATGGGGTCTCTGTTGCTCAGGCTGGTCTCAAATTCCTGGGGGGCTCAAGTGATCCTCCTCCCCTGACCTCCCAAAGTGCTAGGATTACACGTGAGAGCCACCGTGCCCAGCCAGGATTCTTATCAATAACAAGCTTCCAAGAGAAAGAGAGAGAAAAGGAGAAAGAGCGGGGGGGTGGAGAGAGGGAGAGGGGGAGAGAGAGAGAGAGAGAGAGAGAGAGAGAGAGAGAGAGAGAGAGGGCAAGGTGTTGCTGGCAGGACTTATGCAGGAGATGGGCAGCATTCTGGATTTCCCCTTTACAGAGTCTTTCGAGAGAGAGAGAGAGAGAGAGAGAGAGAGAGAGAGAGAGAGAGAGGGAGGGAGGGAGAGGGGGAGAGGGAGAGAGGGAGAGAGGGAGAGAGAGTGTGTGTATGTGTGTAATAAAGTGAAGAGTTCCTGTTTTAGCTTGGTTCTGTCTGGAACCTCCACATTTCTTAAACTTTAATGTGGGATACAGGGAGATGGAGCAGCATTCTGGTTCCCTTTGGAAGTCTGCCATTTTAATATCATTTCTTCTTCTGAGAGGGTAGATGTTGTTTCACATAGGTAATTTGCATGGAACTTATAATTGATTATAACAGCTTTAGAATTATACTTAAACATATCCAACTGGCTGTGATACTTGAATTCATTCCTCTAGACATGTGTAATTTACATATGAGAAAAGTATTAAATATATTTCATCGATTAGCAAAGGGGCCGAATAGCTTACATTAAAACAATCTACTCTCTCTTCTTCATTTAGAGCGGTGCTATCCAACAGAACTTTCTGCAAGGATAAAAAGAAATGTTCTCGATCTACACTCTTTGGGATAGTAACCATCAGCTACTTGTGGCCATGGAGCACTTGAAATATCACTACTGTGACTGAGGAAGTGAATTTTAAATTTTCTTTAATTTTAATTAATTTACATTTGAATTTAAATACCCACATCTAGTTAGTGGCTAGTGTACTGAATAGTACAGATTTGGAGAATCATGGCTTGGGTTTTGTTACTGCTACTGACCTTTGAAGTAATATGAGAAGATAGGAGTACAAAACTGGGAAAACTAGGATCATTTAACATTTTGGGATTTTTCAGTTTTCAGTTCAACTATATGTCAAAATGTGAAACAGTCTTTCCATAGACAACTGTAAAGATATGCCCTTCCACACCACTGGGATAATGTGAAGGGTCCTTCTGTTTTATCATGTTAAGGCCCCACCTGGACGGGCTCTTGTTTGAAGAAGGCAGCACAGGGGAGGACACTGGCCTGATGGGAGATGACGTCCCGGCAGCCAAGTTGGGGGACCCAGCTGTGGTCAAAGAGTGGGCTCTTCTGGAAGGGAGGGGGTTTGGCGGGCTAGCGATGGTATTCGCCTCTGTAAGGATGAAAGACAGAAAAGAGACAATGAGTTAGATTATACTTTCCCTCAGAACCAAATGCAAACCAGAGAGGTTTCTGGATATCTGAGCAAATCAACCTATGCAGCTGGTTTCTATACAGCACCAAAATATTTTTATGAATGGGCTAATCTGGTGGGGTCTTAACGGGTTACATGTTAGAACCATCTGGGAAGCTTCAAAAATAAATAGATGTCCAGCTTCCAGCCAGAGAATATCTGAATCAGTTATTCTTGGATGTGGACAGAGGAACCAGATTTTCTTTTTCTTTTTCTTTTTTTTTTTTAGATGGAGTCTCGCTCTGCCACCCAGACTGGAGTGCAGTGGCATGATCTCGGCTCACTGCAACCTCTACCTCCCAGGTCCAAGCAATTCTCTTGCCTCAGCCTCCCAAGTAGCTGGGATTACAGGCGCCCACCACCACGCCCAGCTAATTTTGTGTATTTTTAGTAGAGACGGGGTTTCACTATGTTGGCCAGGCTGGTCTCGAACTCCTGACCTCAGGTGATCCACCAGCTTCGGCCTCCCAAAGTGCTGGGATTACAGGCGTGAGCCACCGCACCCGGCCCCAGATTTTCTTAAAAGCTCTAATACGCAGGCAAGGTTGAGAATCACTGGTCTAATCCATCAAATTATACCATGTATATCTAATATTCCCTGTCAGTAATGGCAAGGTAATTATTGGGGATTTTATTCCAAGTATACTACGCTTGCAGAAGCACCTCTTAGGTTTCATTGTCTGGTTAGGACAAAGAGTTTTGTTAGAAATGCTTGCAATGCTTAAATCACAATTTAAAACCAAATGTATACTTTCTTTCCCATAAAAATTAAAAAACAAAAATCTCAGATGTAATCATGCCGCTTTACCTGATTCTTCTTGTTCATTAATGTCTTGAGGATCAGAACCACTCCGGCTTCGACACTCTTTGTGCATCTTGGCCTTTCGGGTTGCCATCTCATCGTCAGTTGCCTCTCCACTCTCACCCTGGGAACACAAAGTTCACAATGGTTCCACGCCTGTATTTCTCTCCCATCACTGCTTTAGTTCACGTAGGTCTCTATTTTCTGACCTACCCACCTTCAATACTGCCTCCCCCTGGTAAAACCGGTAAAGACCTATGTTAAGGCTGACCGAGTATTCTCATGTCATATTATTTCATTTGTTCTTTACTACACAGCAGTACTCCTCAGGGGAGGGAGGCAGACAAGAGGCGGCACACAACCTCTGGAACCTCTGTGTACAGAAAAAACTGTGAAGCAGATAAAGTTTGACATGAGCATCAAAGCCTCCCATAAGCAGAGAGTGGCACTTTTTCTAGATAGATGATATGGTTTGGATGTTTGTCCCCTTCAAATTTCATGTTGAAATGTAATTTCCAATGTTAGAAGTGGGGCCTAATGGAAGTGTTTGAATCATAGGGGTGGATCCCTCATAAATGGCTGAAGACCATTCCCTTGGTGATGAGTGAGTTCTAGTTTTGACTTCGCACAAGGTCTAGTTATTTAAAAGTGTGTAGGCTGGGTTTGGTGGCTCATGCCTGTAATACCAACACTTTGGGAGGCTGAGACAGTAGGATTACTTAAGGCCTGGAGTTTGAGACCAGCCTGGGCAACATAGTGAGACCTCGTCTCTATAAAAAATAAAAAAATTAGCCAGCCATGGTGGTGCACACCTGTGGTCCCAGATACTTAGGAGGCTGAGGCAGGAGAACAGCATGAGCCCAGGAGTTCGAAGCTGCAGTGAGCCATGATCACACCACTGCACTCCAGCCTGGGTGACAGAGCAAGACCCTGCTTCTAAGAGAAAAAAAAAAGTGTGTGGCACCTCTCCCCTTCTCTCTTGCTCCCGCTCTTGCCATGTCATGCGCTGGCTCCCGCTTCACCTTCTGCCATGACTGTAAGCTTCCTGAGGCTCTCACAGGAAGCAGATGCTGGCACCATGCCTCCTGTACACCTGCAGAACTGTGAGTCAATTAAACTTCTTTCCTTTATAAATTACCCAGCCTCAGGTATTTCTTTATAGCAACACAGACTAACAAATAGCCATGAAGCAACTATATTATCACTTCATAGTGATATTTCATATTATATAGTTCATAATATATAGTGCTAATATACTTTACATTGTGTTCTACAAACAGTATTTGGGGCCTCTGTGATCTCTGTTCTCTTCTAGCCCTTCCTTGCACGCAGAGTGCTCATGCTCTGGCCATCCAGAACAGCATGTGCTTCCTTGAACAAGCTGTCTTTTATGCCTCCATGCTGTCTCCTCTGCTGGGGATACTTTCTCCTATGTTGTTTGCTTGGTAAAATCCTACACGTTCTTCAAGACCTGCGTGTCAGTTGCTCTGTGGAGCCCTCTGTGCCTGCCCCTCAGCTCTCTATTTTCCTTCTCTCTGTCCCCACAGCACTCTGGATGACTTGACAATGTCTCTTTTTAGCTTGCACTGTATTTGTTTACATGTTTATGTTCTTTTGTGGACCTTGTCTTTTCCCTGCTGTTCCTGGCACTAGCATGGCACCAAGGACGTGTGTGTTAATCCCTGGTATCTTTTGTTTTATACCCGACTTTGTCCTCAACCCAAACAACCTAAAGTGGTTTATGGTGATGTTCACCATACAATGGTCCTGGAAGATGGGTTTGATGCTTAATAAACGAACAACACTCTACCCTCATGAGGATTTTCTTCTTTTTCTTGGTAGTGCTTATGCCCAGGGTGTTGTTTCTCTGCATACTGGGCTTCTCAGCATTCTTTGCAGATGTGCCGGGGCTGGGGTTTCGAGCACTCCATCGTCTGCCACCAAACAACTCCACAGCATGAGCCAAAGTTGGGCCTTCATACCGTCCATCCTCCTGTGAAAGAACCACATGGTGAATACAATAGGAAGCACCAAGCAATGGGGAAGTAAATATATTAATGTCTCCCAGAAAATTCTAAGAGGTGGAAGAACACAGATGGCCACAGAAGAATAATGATCTGGCCACCCAAGTGGTCCTGTTTTCTAACTCACAAGATTCTCTGTCAGGAATTTCATCATGTCCCCTGTTGTCTTGGTCACATCCCTGCTGAGTTCCAGTGATATGCTTTAATACATCAACTGGGGAACAAAAACTTCCCATCCCATTTATAGAGGTTAAATTGCAGAACTACCACTGTAGGAAAATTCATTTAGACTTACTTTGCAAATTAGGTCCTTGGAGATCTTGGAAGGGAGGGGGGCAGGGTATCAATCTAAGTAAAATCAAGTTGTATTTGTCCATTATTGCCAGGTAGGTTTTCACCTAGTTTGATGCTTGGGACTGTCTGACTTGAAATACAGGGTGTGTGACATGCATGAAATTCCCTTTGAAGGGCCCCAGGGAGCTCCTAAAATAGCTGGGCTGCCATCCCTTTGAGTGGCTGAAATCCAAAGATAGGGAGCCCATGGGACTCAGAACACCATACATATTAGGATGCTGTGAGCAGCAGCAACACACTCAAGGGGCAGGCAATGGTTCACAGTAGCTACTAAGGCAACTCTGTAACATCCTGTAAGTAACAGCAGGGATCTATTAATTAAACAATTGTCAATGATTCTCCCCATAAGTCAGTTAATAAAACCACAAAAAGTTGCCTATGAGCTAAAGATGATATTGATATTTCATGCATTGTATAAGAGGGCTCTTTAAAAATTAATTTCAATGTACTGTCTTTACTCTTCAAAAACATTTAAGGCTGGCTGTCCTTTGCAGTTCCAAAGAAGTGCTTATAGATAGATTTTGCTTTGTTGCAGAACATATGCAAAGAACAAAGAAGCTTTGTGTGTGTGTGTGTGTGTGTGTGTGTGTGTGTGCGCCCGCGCGCGCTTGCTCCTTCAGCCTAATGTTTAATAACTGATTTTATGACTTGTGCATTCCCACTTCCTGCATCCTATTATGGATCCCAGGATGCTGAATAACTTGGGTACCTGACAAAGAAACCTTTTGGTTACCTCTTATAGAGGAACATTGTGACTTATGCCTGTCCATGATCTGTTTCTCCTCTCTCTAACCATACCCCAATTTTACTTTAACTGTCTCTTCTCCACTGGATATAGTCTCGATAGGTGTGCCAATCAAGCTGAAATATCCTCCTTTGACCAATGATTGGCACATCATCCCAATAAGCCAATCAGAATCCCCTTCCTGGAGCAGGGTTCTTGAATGCAGTGATGGAGAGAATGAAAATGGTTGGAGATCAGTCCACCTGCTGGAGGCCTGCTGAAGACAGTCCCTGCTAACAAGTCACTGGGAGTGACTCCAAGTTGGAATAAACATTTCATGAATGAAACCTAATGGATAGGTTTTAACTACCATTTTGAATAACATACTCTGAATCTGAAAGAAGAGTAACACTTTTATTTATGGATTTTAACCAACACATCTTTAAAAGCTTAATAGGCCCATTATAGTTTACATGTAAAATAATTGGCACCATTAACCTCTACTGCTTTGATTTTTCTCATTTCAGAACATCCCAATATGGGTCAAACTTTACCACTAACAGAAATATGTTTAGGTCAGGAAAAGGAAGGATGCCTTTGTTTAGTTTTTAAAGGAAGCTTTCTGAGAAGTAAAATGTAGTTTTAATCTTTCTTTTGTTTTACACAAAATAATAAACTTGTTTGGGATAGATGAAGGATATACTTTCTTCTTTTTTTTTCTTGGAGGTGGAGTCTCCCTCTGTTGCCCAGGCTGGAGTGCAGTGGCGTGATCTTGGCTCACTGTAACCTCTGCCTCCTGGCCTCTCCTGCCTCAGCTCCCAAGTATCTGGGATTACAGGTACGTACCACCACACCCAGCTAATTTTTGCATTAGTAGAGATGGGGTTTCACCATGTTGGTCAGGCTGGTCTCGAACCCCTGGCCTCAAGTGATCCACCCGCTTCAGCCTCCCAAAGTTCTGGGATTACAGCTCTGAGCCACTGCACCCGGCCTACCTTCTTTTTTTAATGTGGGAGATGGACTACCATAAGTGAATGCACATATTCAATTTTAGAAAACAGTTTTTTTGTTTTTGTTTGTTTCTTTTTTCTTTTTGTTTTTTCTTTTTTTGAGACAGAATTTCGCACTCTTGCCCAGGCTGGAGTGCAGTGGAGAAAACAGTTTATGTGAAAGTTGAAGATTAGAAAATAGATTCTTTAAAATATATCCATGCACTGTTACCTCTTGGCATATCTTTGTGTGTGACATTTTGAAGACCATTAAACTAACCTGTATCCTTTAAATAAATCTTTTTTTTCCTCCCATAAAGATAGCCAGAATCTGTTTTTTGCTTATAACCAAAGATATTTACCTGGTAATCCCATATTTAACTTTCTTAGTCTCCCAGAGCTCCTTCCAAATACCCAGGATTATGGGCCATCAGTTCTGTCCATGACAACCTTGGGCCAAAGCTCAAGATATTGGTCTTTTCTCTACACCCCACATCACATCAACGTCTCTGCACAGTTTACTTTCTTGGATTTTCCTGTATTTTTCCTAGGCTTCTCTACAAATGTTATTACTTCTTCTTGTCTTTTGTGTTATCTCTTGTTACTACTTCCATCAGTAGTACTCAAATACTTGTAGTATTTGAAAGTAACTCCACTTACATTTACCACATAAGGAAATTCTAATGTCAGAAAGATTATTTTCTATATAAGCACTTCCCAAGCTAGGGATTAAAAAATCCCCTTATAGAGCTGTTAACAGAAGTTTGGAAAAACCCAAACAGTGTTTCACAAATTTCTTTAGCTTATAGATAAATTTAAATAGTTTTTTTTTTTTTTTAACTTTAGGGCATCTGAGAGAATTTAATTTTCTAAGAGGTATTATAAATCACCAATACAGTTATTAAACATTAACAAAAGATTTGATCTTTTGTTCTCTAAGTACTAAGTTAGCATCTTCTTGGTGATCCCTGAGTCAATTTGGGAACTGGTTTATATGATGAGAAAATGATCAGTCCATTGGTCTTTCCTACTTTTTTCTTTTGAAAGAAATCTTGAGTATCTGTTTCTAAGGCATGTTGCCCGACTTCGTAAATGGCTCATGTAGAGAGAGCAGTGTCAAGGAATAACATCACCTATATTTCAGAAGTGGTTGAGGAGTATGAGCTGCTTTGCCTCTACACTGCAACACCTTGCTTCTGTGCAGGGGTGGTAGGGGAGGGTGGAGCTGTGTTTGCAGCTGGGTAGGACTGAGTCTTGTCTAGGTCACTTCTGTCTCTGTTCCAGTAGCAGCTCTTACCTCTTAATCTACTGTTCGTGGTCTCAGCTGGTGCCTCCTTCAGTAAAAGCTGAAGAGTGCTAGGGTAAATGAGAAACCAAGTACCTCTTCTGTATTAATTCAGTGACCTATGCTACAAGCTTGAGAAGGAGACAAATGGAACAACTAAACTACACAGACTGTGACAGGAATTGTAATTAAGCTTACACACTGGTCTATGTCCATGTTTGATGAATTTTCCTGATTCTAGAAGGCCAAGGAATAATTGTAATTAAAAATTGATATTCACAGTAGCTCCTGAAGACTTTGTTTTTTCTTCCCCAGCTGAGTGCACTGAAAGCTCCCTGTGGAGTACACAGGAAGCAGGTATTTTGTTTTCTTTCTTTCTTTTTTTTCTTTTTGAGACAGAGTCTTGCTCCGTCACCCAGGCTGGAGTGCAGTGGCATTATCTTGGCTCACTGCAACCTCCACCTCCCAGGCTCAAGTGATTTTTCTGCCTCAGCCTCATTAGTAGCTGGGATTACAGGTGCATGACTAATTTTTTATATTTTTAGTAGAGGTGGGATTTTGCCATGTTGGCCAGGCTGGTCTCGAACTCCTGACCTCAGATGATCTACCTCCTCAGCCTCCCAAAGTGCCGTGATTACAGGCATGAGCCACTACACACGGTCAGGTATTTTGGTTTCCATTTTAGATGAGTTAACTAAAACTGGCTTTGTGCTGTGTAACATTAGGATAATTGTGTACATAGGCCTATCTGCTTATTAATTAATCAAGTTAGTCACTCAGGATATGGTCTCTACTCATAATCACGGCATGGGTGTAGGGAAAGAAGAAAGAAGGGGCATTACATGTGCCTTGTCTAATTTCCTGGGGCAACAAATGTTTTTAATTGTCAGAAATGTATTCGAACTGTGACAAGTACATGAAATCAGCCATTTGAGTAGTTCAAGTGGTAGTTCTATTTGTTCTGTGACAATATAAAATATATTTCTTTTTGCCATGAAGATAGAAAAGCATAGCAAAGAAAAACTGAATACTTTGATACAACTCATTTGAGAATGACACTTCAAGTGTCACCTGCTTGTGGAGTTTAAGACTCAATTTCCAAACAATCTGTACCCTCTTTTCCCCAAAGGATGCTACTCTGGTTATGCCTGTGTCTCTTCTATCTCATTCAGCCCAGCCCTGTTGCCACCCTAAACTATAGTGCTAGAGTACCTGATAACGTAGGGTTAATGAAAGACTAACTCACTCAATGTAAGCAGCTGACTGTGACAAACTGCCCGCTAAGGGCTGCTGCCACTACAAACCTAGTAAAGAAGAACTCCACATAAGAATTATCCCACATTTGGGAAAATTTCTTTCAACCTTAAAGAAATTAACCCCTCACCTCTACAATTAGGCAGCAGTATGCAGTAAGTTAAAGAACTCTCCAAAAGTCACATAGCATGTTAGGAAATGAACCAGAATTTTAATTTTGATAGGGACAGTTTTCAATGTATCAGCTAGTCACTAACTAATAATAAAAGTATTGGCCGGGCGCGGTGGCTCAAGCCTGTAATCCCAGCACTTTGGGAGGCCGAAACGGGTGGATCACGAGGTCAGGAGATCGAGACCATCCTGGCTAACACGGTGAAACCCCGTCTCTACTAAAAAAAATACAAAAAACTAGCCGGATGAGGTGGCGGGCGCCTGTAGTCCCAGCTACTCGGGAGGCTGAGGCAGGAGAATGGCGTGAACCCGGGAGGCGGAGCTTGCAGTGAGTTGAGATCCGGCCACTGCACTCCAGCCTGGGCCACAGAGCAAGACTCCGTCTCAAAAAAAAAAAAAAAATAATAATAATAATAATAAAAGTATTCAGATAACAATGCTTTCCACTGAAACTTGAGTAAGTGAAAATGCTTATATTAACTGGTTTCTTTGCAGATGGGAGAACTACAATGACCCTGGGACTATTTTTATGTAATATAATACAATATATACAAATATAATATAAAATAGAAACAGTGGCCGGGGTCATTGTAGTTCTCCCATCTGCAAAGAAACCAGCTAACATAAGCATTTCACTTACTATAAAATCTAAGTAAAATGTATTTCATACAAAATACAAATAGGACCACCTATGAGTGCAGACACTATTCTTCATACATATGAATTATACTGTGGCTTTACACATATTAACTTTTTTTTTTTTTTCTCTGAGAGAGTCTCGCTCTGTTACCCAGGCTAGAGTGCAGTGGTGCGATCTCGGTTCACCGCAACCTCTGCCTCCTGGGTTCCAGCGATTCTCCTGCCTCAGCCTACTGAGTAGCTGGGATTACAGGCATGTGCCACCATGTCCGGCAAATTTTTCTATTTTTAGTAGAGACGGGGTTTCACCACGTTGGCCAGGCCGGTCTCGAACTCCTGACTTTGGGTGATCTGCCCATCTCGGCCTCCCAAAGTGCTGGGATTACAGGCGTGAGTCACCGCCTCAATTAATTTTCACACCTACCCTGTGAGCAGGTGTTATTATTTTCATTTTATAGAAAAGGGGATTGGGGTACCAAGAGGTTAAGTAAAAACTGCCCAAGGTCACCACAGGTAGTAACCGTCAGAGCTGGGAGCATGAACTTGGTGGTCTGGTCACCAAGTGTGTGCTCTTGAGTATTACGCTAGTGAGGAAAGAGGGATGGCTGCGCCCCTTACCTGATAGAGGCTGACGTACTGTTTCCGCAGCCACTGCTGTCTTTGGTCAGGGAATTTCCTCATCTTTCTCACAGCTCTAGTGAGTTCCAACAATCCGCTGAAGAGCATTTTAGCTGTGTGCTTTGGTGCCACGAAGTGCAATAATCTATTGTCCGTGGTCTGAAGCCCATAGAGCAGTGTCACACCAGTCTCTGACAGGAACATGCTACCCAATTTGTTCTGAACACACACAGTGTGTATATCAATGCCAGGGTGGCCCATGTATACCGCCTTCACTGCAAAAAGATCCAAGACCCCTTCCGTCAGGCCACTTAATCCAGCATTGCCCAGTAGTGGGAATTTTCCAGGCTCAGCTGTGTTATTAAGTACACCAAGTTTTGCTTTAGTGTTGGCTGCGGAGGCAGTTGTGGGCTTTACCCAGGTCAAGGTGCTATTGTCAGGTTGAAGCTGGAGGAAGCAGCGGGCAGAGAGGTGTGTGTCCTGGTCGTAGTGGATGACCGTGGCACCCTGCAGCAGGAACTGGTGCACATCGGCTTGGATGGACAGCACATACCATGGGATGAGCTCCGTTCCATGGTCGAAGGCCTGCTGTGAGTCCTCTGAACCATGAGAGTCATATTCTTTGGATTGCTCAAAGATATCATTGTCTGAATCCAACAAATCTCCAATTATAAACCTGAAGGAAAGAAACAGCAATTTGTTTTGTCCTATAATCAAAAGTGAGAGCAACCCAAAGCCATTTTCACTGACACTAGACTTCATTTTTCATCCCACTATGAATTCAAATTAGCATAGGAAATACAAAATACTAAACAGCACATAGTAACTTTTAATAACCGAGGCTGGGTGTGGTGGCTCATTCCTGTAATCCCAGCACTTTGGGAGGCCAAGGAGGGTGGACCTCTTGAGGCCAGTAGTTCAAGACCAGCCTGGCCAACATGGCGAAACCCTATCTCTACTAAAAATACAAAAATCAGTCAGGCATGGTGGCATATGCCTGTAATCCCAGCTACTTGAGAGGCTGAGGCAGGAGAATTGCTTGAACCTGGGAGGTGGAGCTTGCAGTGAGTTGTGATCGTGCCACTGCACCCCAGCCTGGGTGACAGAGCAAAAAAAAAAAAAAAAAATTTCGAGTAACTTTTTATAACTGTATTCTAATATTCTTTATAACTGTATTCTTATCGTTAGCAAGGTATCTGACCATAAGCATAAGAAAACAACTACTAGATGAGTTACTGTATTTTTATTCTCAACAACAATAATCTTTATTATGTATTAGTTTTCCCTCTTGTGACAGGAACTGTTGTAAATACTTTACGTACATTTTTTGTACTAAATCCAATCTACTTGCAAGGTAAGTTTTATTATTCTTTTTCTACCTATGAGGAAACTGAGGTTCAGAAAGGGAAAGTAATTTGCTGAAGGTAGCCCATCTCAGAAGAGACCAAGCCAAGGTAAGGTTTTGGTCTAACTTCATAGCCTGGGATTTTCATTGTTAGGCTTGTTTGCCTTCGATTAAATCATAAACAAAAGTCATGATCTGAATATACTGGGGCTAAAATAGGTAAAAACAAGACTTAACCGGCTGGCCGAGAAGTACCTCTGTTAAAAATAAAATACAATTAGTTCAAAGATACTCCTTTGAAAGAAAGTAGGCAGATTGCTTGAGCCCAGAAGTTTGAGACCAGGCTGGGTAACGTGGTGAGATCACAGCTCTACAAAAAATACAAACATTGGCTGAGTATGGTGGCATGCCTGTAGTCCCAGCTACTCAAGAGGCTGTGGTGGGAGGATTACTGGAGCCTGGGAGGTGGAGTCTGTAGTGAGCTGTGATGGCACCGTTGCATTCCAGCCTGGGCAATAGAGCAAGACCCTGTCTCAAAAAATAAAAATAAATGAAATTTAAAAAGGACATTCCTTGGGAAATATGATCACGGTGGCCAGATAAGTAAAACAGTTCTCTTGGACTCAACGTTAGATTTCTACTCTCTGTGTGCGTGTGCGTAGGTGTACACAGAAAAGGCTAGTCTGCATAGAAAATTTAGCACGTTCCTTCCACTGAGTCAGGAACCTGGATTATTTGAGCCAAGAGAATCAAGGAGCAGTGAAGGCAAGGGATTGCTTCTTTTTTACCTGGCCACCTTGGCAGGAACCTGCCCAAGAGTCTCATTCTTTTCAAAGCATAGGAAGTTGTTAGTAAGATCAAGGTTTCTGCTGTTTGGTCCACAGACATCACTAGCAAAGTGGTGAGTAAAATTGTGAAGGAGCTGGTACATAGGCTGGTCCATGTGTCTCCGGGAAGGAAGGCTCTCATGCTCAGAAGACACTTGGGCCACCTACTGCCTCTTGATGAGGCAACGACAGTATCATGGGGCTTGTTGACACTCCTCAGTTTAGATTGTTGTCCCTGAACAAGATTACCATTCTTGCTTTCAAACAGCAGGTTCTACCTCCTTGCCCCACACGTGGATATTCTTTTAAAAAAAAGTCTACCGGAAATGTTGAATTTTAGTGTCTCACAAATCTGATGGTGAGAAAATCCATTTCAGAGCCCCATATAAGAAATAACCAAAAGTCCACCAACAATAAAATGTATGCATAGATTTTGGTGTATTCATGCAATGTCATTCTGTACAGCAATGAAAATGAATAAGCAATAGCTAACCACATGGAATAACACAAATTGTAAGCAAGACACACAAGAATGTATATGATATGTATTTGTGATACATAAATACATACATTTATGTAAATGTCAATTACAAAACCAGGTAAAACTATACTATACTATTTAGGAATGCATATTAGTAGAAAAACTACAAAGAAAAACAAGATGTTATTGTAAAACTTATAATAGTTTTTTCTCTAGGGGGAAGCTGGTAATAATTAGGAAGGGAAATAAGTAGTTTAGGGGTGCTGGCAATGTTCTAACCCTGGGTGCTAGTTATACTCAGTCACTTGATAATTATTCAAATACATTGTTTCAATAAACTTTTAATTTTAGGATAGTTTTAGACTTATAGAAAATTCCAAAGAAGTATACCTCACACAAAAATTTCCCTATTAATATCTTATATTAGTCTGGGATATGTGTCATAATTCATGAACAAATCCTAACACTTTATTACTAATTAAGGTCCACATTTTATTCAGATTTTCTTAGTTTTTACCTAGTGTCCCTTTTCTCTTCCAGGATCTCCCATTACATTTACTTGTCAGGTCTCCTTAGGCGATGACAGTCTCTCCTTGTTTTAGGTGCTCTTGACAGTTTGGAGGAGTACTGCTCAGGTATTTTGTGGAAGGTCCCTCAATTAGGACTTGGTTGATATTTTTCCCATAAGTAGATGCAGGTTATGGATTTGGGGAAGGAAGACCATAGAGGTAAAGTGTCATTCTTATCACATCATGTTGAGGGCACCCACTACCAACATGACTTCTCCCTGGTGATACTGACACTGATCACCTGGCTGAGGACCTGTGTGTCATGTGCCACTGTACAGTTACTACTATTATTATTAACTCATTTCCATACTCTACTCTTTGGAAAAAAGTCACCATGCCCAGCTCACTCTTAAGGCGTGGGGAGTTATGTTGCACTTCCTTGAGGGTGAAGAATCTACCTAAGTTATTGGAAATTCTTTTGCACAGAAGATGGATCTCTTCTCCCCATTTGTTAGTTTATTGATCATTTACACATATCATTTACTTATATCGGTATGACCTCATGAATATTAAAACTTTGAGTGATTTATAATGTGATACTACTTTATTTATTTCATTGTTGTGGCCATTGGAAGCTCTTCCTGTTGGCTCTTGCATTCCTTTCACAGCTCTCATCACTGTGTGTTTCTTTTGAGCACTTCCTTACTACAACAAGATTCTCCAGGCTCATCTTGTATATTTTCTGCCCCAGTCCTAGAATCAACCACTCTAGGAGAAACCTTGCCTCACTTTATTGAAGAATGGTATTAGAAACCAAGATCTGGGCTGGGTACAGTGACTCACACCTGTAATCCCAGCACTTTGGGAGGCCAAAACAGGTGACCCTCTTGAGGCCAGGAGTTCAAGACCAGCCTGGCCAACGTGGTGAAACACCACCTCTAATAAAAATACAAAAATTAGCTGGGCGTGGTGGCAGGCACCTGTAGTCCCAGCTACTTGGGAGGCTGAGGCACAAGAATTACTTGAACCCAGGAGGCTGAGCTTGTAGTGAGCAGTGAGCTGGCATTGTGCCACTGCATTCCAGCCTGGGCAACAGAACAAGACTCTGTCAAAACAACAACCACCACCACCAGCACCACCACCAAGATCTGGGGTTACATGATATTTTATACTCTTTTCCTAATGTTACTTCATATTATGAATTAATATTACTTCATTCACTTCATAAAAAGTGAAATAAGAAAAAAATCATTTGTGTCTTATTTAGCTCCATCCCTCTGAAATTGCTCTTGGTAACACTGGAAAACCAATACTTACGTCCTTGTACACAATGGCTTCATATATGCCTGCTCCAGTCATCCTGGGTTTAATATTAAACATCACCACCTGTTTGCTGTGTGACCTCATCAAAACACTCAACCTCTCTGAGCCTCACTATTAGATGGCAAAAAGACAATGCTCATCTCATAGAATAATGGTGAAGATCAAATAAAATAACAGTTGGAAAGCACTTAGCACAGCACCTGTCTTGGTAAAGTATACTCATTAAGTATAGGAAGACCAATTCGTTGCACTTTTCCTTTCTCACTTCCTCTTCTCTAGGCTATCTCAGCCCAGCTGTTCCTCTAGAGGGGCTTTCTTTTTTTTCTTTTTGGAGAAGGAGTCTTGCTCTGTTGCCCAGGCTGGAGTGCAGTGGCATAATCTCAGCTCACTGCAACCTCCGCCTCCTGGGTTCAAGTGATTCTCCTGCCTCAGCCTCCCAAGTAGCTGGGATTACAGGTACCCACAACCACACCCAGCCAAATTTTGTATTTTTAGTAGAGACGGGGTTTCACCGTCTTGGCCAGGCTGGTCTTGAACTCCTGACCTTGTGATCCACCTGCCTCAGCCTCCCAAAGTGCTGGGATTGTAGGGGTGAGCCACCACGCCTGGCCAAGGGGCTTTCTTCTGGGACCATTTCCACATTCTCCATGTCCTACTTCTTCTTCTTGTTTTAAGAGCAAAAAGGATTCAACTGGTGAGTGTTAGTACCCATTAAAATACAACATGTAAATTTGGACATAGAACTTCTGATTTTAATCTAACAAGATAAATGGTGTTTTCCATATTCCATGTAATTTAAGTTCTGAGTTAAGTCAAGCATGTTCCAGTGAACTATTACAAGCATTATAAAAAAATAGTGTCTGGAAAGAAAAATTATAAGGCTTTTCTGGAGCCTGTTTCTGCTGCTCAGAGATGATGTAAGCTGGGAGAGAGGGGACGCTGTCTTTCTTGGAGTCAGTTTTTATTTTAAAATGCAAAAAAGAACTAATGCCAGATGGTAATAATTCCATTAAAAAGCAATCTTCCAGGGACTAATGCTCAAAATAAAATTGACAATTGTTTGTAATGAAATAAGTTCATTTCAAGCAGGAAACTAGTAGCTTTTGTCTCTTAGATGATATAGTGAATGTTATGCAATTTTGTGTCTGATTCTCTTAGAAGATAATTTCCTGTGAGTTTACAAGAAGGGATAAGGTGGAATGTTAAGACTTATTGAGGAATTAAATAATGTTAACTGAAGATCAAAGATGTGGTTTACCAGCAAAGAAAATACCTTATCAAACTCAGGTTGTATGACTTAAGGAGAGGAACAAGGAGTAAAAATAGAAGAAAGGTTTTTATCCTACTCCCAAAAAGCTTCCATGGTATCCTTCAGTTAGAAACCATAGACAAACACTTGTCTAATTTCCCTGATGAAAATTTTACACTGGGTGATCGACAGGTATTTGTTAACCTGGTTAAATATTTTCTTTGTAAGGGTTCATTTGCCTCCTGCAAATTTAACATAATTCCTTGAACATGAATCACCACGGGATAAACAAGCCTAATTTAATTTTTTAAGATAGAAGTAAACCTATGTCCTTTCCAAAGGATCTTGCTACAGTTGTTCTCTCTAATAAAATCTAGTGTTTTTAATGCTCTCTTCTGGAAAATTCTTGCTTTTAATTAACCTAGCACCTTCCTTGACTATAAGCATTCTCTTATTATATCTAAGTAGTTTGTGGGTTTTGGAACCAGCCTGCCTGAATTGAAATCCTGGCCCTGCTACCTATGAGAGTAAAATGGAACTGTCATGAAGATTAAATAATTTAATATGTGGAAAGCATTTAGGGCAGTGTTTGCTTAAACATAGGCTCTCAATAAACATTAGCATCTTAAATATTGCTAATATTGTTGTCTGGCTTGAGTTTACTAAGTTAGTATTATAGAACAAAGCCATCCATACAAATGGAGATTCTCTGTAAAAATAGTGTCCAAGTTTCAAGTTGGGATTTAAGTGAGAAACAAGCCTAAGGTGAAAGTTGTGCAGATAGTGGGAAAATGGCCTTTGTTACAAATCACAGACGCAAGATGGGTCTGAGGTGTTGGCCAGAGAAGTAGAAAGAGAAATACAGAATCCCAGGTATCCCCAGCAAAGCCGGGGAGTGAGACTGTATGAAAGTCTGGGCTGGGCTGAGGCAGCTGGTACAGATAAAGGATGTTGTGAGTTGGGCGTTGGTAAGGCTGAGGCCTGCCTGCATCTTTCCCTGTGGAGAATAACTGATTTCCTATCATTTTATGATTTGGGACATCCACATGCATACTTGTGTGTGTGTGGTTAATCCTGGTAACTATTATCTTTTCTCAGATATTCTGCTTAGCTTTCTTTTTTTCCTATCCCTGTGGGGTTGGATTATCATCCAGGCGTGTCTCTAATGAGGCTATTGCGATAGAAGGACACAGAAAATACCTCTTTGCAGTAAGGGAGAGGAAGATGACTGAGAGTTCTTCTGAAATGCTGACTGCTACCAAGGGTGTCCACACCTAAGTGCTGGAGCCCCCTGTATTAGTCCATTTTCACACTGTTATAAAGAACTGCCCGAGACTGGGTAATTTATGAAGGAAAGAGGTCTAATTAACTCACAGTTCAGCATGGCTGTGGAGGCCTCAGGAAACTTACAATCATGGTGGACGGTGAGGGGAAAGCAAGGCACCTTCTTCACAAGGTGGCAGGAAGGAGAATGAATGCAGGAGGAACAACCACACACTTATAAAACCATCAGATCTCCTGAGAACTCACTATCCTGAGAACACATGGGAGAAACCGCCCCCATGATTCAATTACCTCCACCTGGTCTCTCCCTTGACACGTGGGGATTATAGGGATTACAATGCAAGATGAGATTTTGGCTGGAGGCACAGCCAAACCATATCACCCTCAGAACTTCAGCTTGGCATTTTAAGGATGTGATGCACACATTAATCATGATAGCCACCATTTACATTGGCACTTAGAGTGTGCCATGCATTTTGCTTAATTTATATGCATCTCTCACATAATCCTCACAAAAACCCTATCAAGTAGTATTGTCATTTCCAGTTTACAGATGACAAAACTGGGGCTTCGTAAGATTCAGCTACCTACCTAGGTGACAGAAATAGTAAGAGGTGGTGTCAAAATTCAGTCCCAGGCAATGTGACTGGAAGGTTTGAGTTCTTAATCAGCTCAAGCAGCCTCCATTGTAGGTTTCTGTTATCATCTACTGATATCTCATTTCTCCAAATGTACAAATCCTTCTTAAGGTGCAGCATGCCAAAGAGGGTCAACAATATTGAAAATGACGACAATAAGAACTTGCAGCTCCTATATGACTCTATACTCTTCTCTACACACCTTCATACTCCTCATTTCTATTTCCCAACAATGGTGCCGCATGCTACTCTTAGGTCTCCATGCCTTTGTATGTTTTTAAACATACAAAAGCATAGCTTATTTATTCTTTAGGCTCATAAACAAAAAAGTAATTATTAATGAGCATTATAATTCATATGAAATGTAATTGGAATGCTTTCAGAATTCAGATGTTCCTAATCTTCAGGAGTTAGACATAAAAAGAGGCTGAGGTTAGCCCCTCTACAATAAAAAGAAATGCCTTAAACATTGCAGGACAAAGGATCCTCCCCTGTGACTGAACAAATGGTCAGGCTCATGACCCAGCTCTACTGTTTATTAGTCAGGCAAGTGACTTCAGCTCGCTAGGCACAACTTCTTCATCTGTAAAGAAGTCAGACAAGCCTGCTTGAAGACCCCATTGACATTTCAAGACTTTTTCAGCTCAATTCCCTCCCTGCCGAGACCTTGAAGTGTGTTTTTTGTTGTTGTTGTAGAGAGAGGGTTTCACCATGTTGCCCAGGCTGCTCCTGAATTCCTGGACTCAAGTGATCTACCTGCCTTGGCCTCCCAAAGGGCTGGGATTACAGGCCTAAGCCACTGGGCCCAGCAAAAAGAAATCTTAAACTTTTTATAATCAGTTTTTGAGATTTCTATGAGTGTTTCTAGTGGTTTTCTGGCAGGAGTAGCTGTGAGGTTTGCGAAGAATTATAAGAGCACCCTGTAGGTGGGGTAAACCAAAGGACCATGAGATTGTCCCTTCTTTCTTTGCTGTAGTTTTCTCAGGGCTGATGGTTGCCAAGTGAACAGGGGCTAGAGGTTGCTGTTTGTAGAGTCTGTTTCAGTCAGATCAACAAAGCATAGCTCCTATGGGCTTTTCAATCTGCACGTCTTTGGCAGACATAACCCTGCACTGGACATTTTAACATGGGGCTCTCAATCAGGAATGGATTCCCAAGTCCCGGCAAGTGGCCACAGAAATAGTGCTTGCTGATCTGGTTTTGGTGAATTCCATTAAACAGTCCTACCACCTATCTTGTGTGTTGAGGTTCCTTTCAGAGTAGCAGTCACTTGAGGTAAGGAAGCTATCACTGGCACTTAAGTACACAAGTTTCAAAGTGAGGATTTCAATATGACTTCACAGGTCTTATAAAAGAAATATTTGCATTTTTGTGTTTTTCTCCCCTTCTAAGAGTGCTCACAGCAGGGTTTGGAAAATGGGCAGTGGAAGAGAAATGTTCTTAGGATGTAGAAGATAAAATGATTAGGAAGAAGACAAGAGACTGTGGAGAAGATTAGAGACAACAATTTCATAACAGGTGAAAATGATGCAAGAAAGTTACCACTTGAAGGAACTCCAAGGGAAAGGAAAGGATAGTCTAGGGGTCTGACACTCAGTAAAAGTGGCAGTCCTGAAGGTATTTTAGAAAGGTCAAATGACATACACACACGCACAAACACACACACAGCCCCAGATGAAGGTTATTGTAAAAAAAAGGCATATGAAATTCATTATTTTATCTATTTCTATCTGATAGGATTTAAGGAAGGAATTTCAGCCAGATACAGTACGAGGAAAAGGCATTTTTCTCCCAAACATCTGTTTAATTTTTCTTACAAATATTGTGAAACTTATAAAGAATTGTGATTTCCTCTTTCCTGTGACTGCTAGGAATCTCAGAACAAAATGTAGTCACTCTATAGACTACATAACATACATTTTTGTATGTTTTATTTTCTCCTATTCTTATTTTTCTTTAATACCCTCAATTATTCATATTTATTCTTAAAAGCATCTACAAAATCTTTTGTTGGAAGAAATAGATATATACATAGATGCTGAGAGAGAGAGAGAGAGAGAGAGAGATTAAGAACTTAAACGGCTCTGAGAGGCTTTCTGTGCAGATGTGCTTATTTGTAGAGGTCTTCTCTCTATACATAGATTGCCACTAATGTTAACAACCTGTTAAGTGAAAAATCTTTGAAACAATCTCTGAACAACTGGAATTACTGAACAATTAAAAAACCTGCAGATGCTTTGTGTGTGTAGGGTTAATTTTAACACAACTTACAGAGCAGCGTTTCTCAAAGTGAGATCATTAACCCTCGACTTAGAATCACCCAGAGGTTGGGAGAGGTAAAAATACTGATTTCTAGATATCACCCAGACCTAACTAAGTCAGTAGATTTGATTTAAAAATATCTTAATACCCACACCAGTACCCCACCCAAGAATTAAAAAAACCACTGTTACAAAAACTAGGAAATAAAAGATCACAGCTCTCCTCCTGAAATTTAATGTGTTGAATTCTTAGAAATGGCAGGATAGCTCTAGGTTTGTTTGCTTGTTTTTTTTTTTTTCTTTTTAAAGGGGTAATAGATGGTAAGAAGTTAAATTATGAGCAGTAATTTTAGAACAAAGCAGCAAAATGAGAGAAGTAAATTTGAATTTGGAATTGGTAAAGTTTGAAGATAAAGAAGTGTGACTTAATGATAAAAGTGGCAGGTTTTGATGAGGTGTCCATCTGAAACTAAGCTGAAGTAGGAAAGAACTCATCAACAGGAAAAAAGAAGACATGAGCATTCCTCACTTTTAACGTGTAAAACTTACTGCCATCGGCTTTTATCCTTCAAGGAACTTTTCCTGGAGCTGTTCCCTTCACTGGGGCTGTCCTCCTCGTCTGTCTCCAGACTTCGACTGCAGCTCCGGATGACCTGAAAGATGCTGTTGACAGTGGACTCCTTCTCCGAATTCTTTAAGCCATTTTGTCCCACTCGTTGTAAGAAATTATCTTGTCCACTGTAATCTGCTACAAACTACAGAAAAATATATCGAGAATTTGCTATTGCAACTTAATGTGCCTGGATAACCTACTTGGCTAGGGAAAAGAAATCATAACGTAATAAATAATGGCATTTGTGCCTATTTTATGGGAAAGAAAACAAGAGCCTCCAGGAAAAACATTTTTTCGTTTCACCACATGAAATATCAAAATTCACCCTTGTTTCCATTGAGACAACTTTAATCCCTCTAGGAATCGACACTCCACTTCAAATTTAAAACACAAAAAACAATATTATTTCAGGGCTCCCTAAGGAGAAGGTTAGCCAATTTGCAGAGGAAGGGCATGGTTATTTTATCCTTATAGTGAGAATTGAGAAAAACCATGAGTAAAGTATGCTATTCTACAGAACCAGATAAAATGACTGGGCCCAAGCAAAACACTGAGAAGAGGTGATGTTTTGCTTTATTTCTCACATGTTGTATAATAACACAGCGGCTTCTTCCTAGTTTTTAAGCTCTTTAAGCTCTTATTGCTTGTACAGTTGATCAGGAAGCTTCTCCCATCAGAGGTGAGAGCTATGTCTGGGATAAGAGATGTGGAGTTCCCTCTTCTTAAGACGTGAGGAAGCTGGAGGGATGTGGCCTGGGAGGCTTCCTTTAAGCGTTCTCCTCCATTTCTTGCCCTTTTATCCTAGCTCATAACCCAGAGAGATGCGGTGGTGTTGCCTGTACCTGTCAGGGGTTCTTAAGTCTTCCTGATATCAGGTGATGCCTTTGCTCCCAGGTGACACAGAAGAGGCTGAAGGTTGAAGAGAGTCTTCCCACTCCATGGAGAAGGCGTGTACATGACTGTGTGTGTGTGTGTGTGAGAAACGTCAGTAGTAGGTTCTGTTATCGTGGCAGGAATAATCCTAGATTTGGGTTTGGTCCCAGGTAAGGGACTTCTCAAAATCTCCATAAACTTCTTTCCATTTTAGTCACTTCTTTCATTTTAAACACCTTAGAGAGAGGTTTCCTTATCTTTTCCCTCCAGTTTCTCAATTCCCCGTCTCTCCAATGCCCAATGCCTTGGGTCAAAGCTCACACTATCCCTTCTGCTCTGGGAATCAGGAACAGGAGGCAATGAACCTGGGAGGAATGAGGCTCTGGAGATCAGGAGCCTGGAACTTGTCCCTACATGCATCTTCAGGCTCCCCAGCATCTTCCCACAAAGGATGAAAAGAAAGCAGTTTTTTCTTCCACTGATGTGGAAAACTTAATACTCTCGTTTGACTTTCTTTATCTCCTGCATCCAGACATTCCCACCCAATAAGAAGAACCTGTCAATCTTTAAAAACCACCAGAAAACAACACCCTTTTTGACTTGTACTTACACATTAAACCTAATACATTAAAACGAATTTCACAATACTATGTCCTATACAGTGCTAGTTCCACACATTCTTTTCCACAGAACTTCCAAGGATCTATGTGCTACCCAGAAACAATATAACAATTATTAACCTTGTGTTCAATCAGTGATCATTTCTTTGGTGAGTACAGACAGGGCCTGATGAGACAGCCAGCAATGGTGGCTCTTCAGGCCAGGATGATTGTGAAAGGCCTTACCTCTAAAGTTTCTTCTTGGGAATTGTACCGCGGGCATATCTTCATGAGGCCAGAGGCGCCGTCAAGCACTTCACAGAGCTCCTTCAGAAACACTCCACAGAATGGAACCACCTTACAGCCAGGGATGTGCAGGGCACGTGTCACCACCTTTCTGTACTCACAAGAGGACTCATGCTGGGCCATAGCATCCTTCAGGCTCCTCATGGTCTCAATATCAGACTGGTCCATAAACTGCCACATTTTTAAAACTTTTCTTGACCTATTGCGAGTAAATGACGTTTTTTAGACTCAAGAAGAAATAATATAGTTTACAGCAAGGAGCCTAAATTCCATACAAATTCATTCTCTTTACCAAGTTGTTGTTTTTTTTTTTTTTTTTTTTTTTTTGGTGGAGTCTCATTGTGTCGGCCCAGGCTGGAGTGTAGTGGCGCGATCTCGGCTCACTGCAACCTCTGCCTCCTGGGGTTCAAGCAATTCTCCTGCCTCTGCCTCCCTAGTAGCTGGGATTACAGGCATGTACCACCATGCCTGGCTAATTTTTGTATTTTTAGTAGAGATGGGGTGTTACCATGTTGGCCAGGCTGGTCTCGAACTCCTGACCTCAGGCTACCCAAGTGCCTCAGCTTCTCAAAGTGCTGGGATTACAGGCCACCATGGCCCGCCAAGTGTTCTTTACTTGTTAATATTTATGTAGGGTTCCTATCCCCACCTACTTCCCCAGATAATATGAATAATACTTTTGTAAATTGAAACTAAAAATTAAATAGGACAGATACAAACACAAATAGGGATATGGGACATGTTAGTTATGGAAGCTGGGCACTGAATGTAGGTTTGCGTTTTTCTGGCAGCTATGGCCAAAGAGGGAAAGTAGAGGGTAATATGGTTTGTACAGATATTGGTGGAGGAGGACTGCCTGGGGAAACCTGGCCCATCTGGTCCTCTTGATCTTTTAAATATTACTCTTGGATTAATCCAGTCCTTAGTGATCAACATGAAGCCTATTGTTTTCACCTCTTCCGTAGAAGTGATTTTTACTGAATCAAGTTTTGACATGAAGCCACCAGCCCATTTTTGGGGACCTTGTTGTAAAGTATTATTTGCATAACAGGATGTTAAGTGGGACTTTCCCTATTCTGAAACTCCTGCTGAGACCCACAGGTGACAGTGCACCACATCTTCTAAAGAGAGGCCCCCTAACAAGGTGTTACCTGAACTGCTTTGCCCAGAGTGGTCTCCCACTCTCCTTTGGCCCATGCAGAGAAAGTGGATCTGAGCAGATAGCTTGGGAATATTTCTCTGGGGACAATTGTGGGAGGGCTCACCCTTCTGTAAGAGGACAAGGTCACCCCAAGTGAATTCCATGGGGACACCGACCTGTGTCCTGGGCAGTCTGTGGATCACAAGAACTGGTGCATGACTCTTGCCTAAAGATTTGAGGCTAGCTGGAGCTGCCTGATGGCAAAGGGAGAGAAAAGATTCCAGTAGACATGTCCTGTGCTTGCAGAGTTGGGAGGGCAATGTGCTATTTCCTGTGAGTCAGGAGGGGATACCGTGCAAAGAGGTGGGGCTGGAGCTGTCTTGAAGGGTCTGCCTGCCAAAAGGTGAGACCCTAGCAGAAAGGGCCTGTGAGGACAGGACCTGGGGGGGCGGTGAGGAATAAGAGGTTGACCAGAGGGTACACTGCATTTTGCTAGGTAATGCTGCAGTGGGGAGGTGGAAAAAATTAGAGAGAGTAACTAGTAAGAAAACCTAAAAGCACCCCCCATTGGTCTCTGTGAGGGCACCAAGGCCAGCACAACTGCCCCATCAAGTAAGACTCTGTGCTCCCTCTATCCCCATCCTCTCCCCTCTCCTCTCCTGTCCACTTTTTTTCTGCAGACATCCAGTTGCAGGGAAAAGTAAGAAAAAAAGACAAATTATATCTTCCCCACTACTACAAGTCTCTGAGACTGGTTGTGTTGTGAAACACAGAGAAAGGAAGAAGATATATATTGAATGAGATATTAAAATTTTGATTTAGATTAACTGGATTACAAAATCACTGTGTAATATAGAAGACATCCAAAGACATAAAGAAGTACAACATGACAAACACCCACGTGCCAATCTCCCAGTTTAAAAAATCAAACATCAACAATGTGGTTGAGGCCCTAGTGTATTCCTCCAAGAGCACATACTCTATTCTTCCCTCACCAGACAGGACCACCACTGGGACTTTGGGGTTCTCCTTTCCTTAAAATTCTTCGTACTTTTTCAACATATGCATCTATCACCAAGCAAGTTACAGAATTGTGTATTTTTAAACTTTATGTAAATAGTATCACATAGTAGATACTCTTAGACCAGGGGTCCCCAGCCCCTGGGCCGCAGACCAGTACTGGTTCATGGCCTGTTAGGAACTGGGCCACACAGCAGGAGATGAGCAGCGGGTGAGCAAGCATTACAGCTTGAGCTCTGCCTGCTATCAGGTCAGCAGCGGCATTAGATTCTCATAGGAGTGTAAACCCTACTGTGAACTGTGCATGTAAGGGATCTAGGCTGCATGCTCCTCATGAGAATCTAATGCCTGATGATCTGAGGGGGAACGGTTTCATCCAGAAACCATTTCCCCCTACCCTTACATCCCCAGTCTGCGGAAAAATTGTCTTTCATGAAACTGGTCTCTGGTGCTAAAAAGGCTGGGGATCCCTGTCTTAAACAACTTGTTTTTTTTTTTTTTTTTTTTTTTTTTTAAACAGCCTTAAGTTTGCAAGACTCATTCATGTTCAAGAGCACAGGGGAATGAGATTGTGTGTTAATTGGGAAAGTGACTGGAAAAGCTACAGGATCTCTCAATGTAGCATCATCCAGGGTTGTGGGAGGGAGAGCCGGTTGGAAGCTTTGAAAGGCAATCAGATCAGAAAAGTAAAAGCATATTATGATTTCATCCTACTAAATCCAGCTTCTCCTATAACTGGATTCTTATAAGAGAGTGAGAATTCTTTTTTGGGGAATGAAGTGGGGGTAAAAACAAATGAAGTGAATGAATGAGACATGGTTCTCACTGGTTTCTTATTGTGTGAGTAATGGAGTAGTTATGGTTCACTTGGGGGCAAAGGGCAAACTTCAGCAAAGATCAATTCTTCATTGTTGAATTGAGAATTGACACTATTTTAAAAACTTTTATTCATCTTTATGATTATAAAGATTCTAGATACTCATTGTAGAAAATCTAGAAAATATCAAAAATATAGCAAACCCACTTACAATTCTACCATACACAGACATTCCTTCCAGTATTTATCTTATTCTTATCTATATGGGTATATAAATATTGCTGAGGTTATTAGGGATAGAGAGCTTTGTTCCCAGATAGATTCATGTATTATGTGTCACCTGCTTTCCAATGATATAAAAACTTTTCAGGCCAGGTGCAGTGGCTCATGCCTATAATCTCAGCACTTTGGGAGGCTGAAGCAGGGGAGATCACTTGAAGCCAGGAGCTCCAGACCAGCCTAGGAAATGCAAAAAGACTCCATTTCTTAAAAAATTAAAAAAAATAGCTATTGTGCTTGTACACTCCTTGTAGACCTAGCTACTTGGAAGCCAAAGTGGGAAGATTGCTTAAGCCCAGGGTAAGAGGTTACAGTGAGCTATGATCCTGCCCCTGCACTCCAGCCTGGGTGATACAGTAAGATCTTATCTCTTAAAAATTTATTTTTTTACCTCATGCCTGTAATCCTAGCACTTTGGGAGGCTGAGGCATGTGGATCACTTGAGGTCAGGAGTTCAAGATCAGTCTGGCCAACATGTTGAAATTCCGTCTCTAGTAAAAATACAAAAAAATTAGCAGGATGTGGTGGCAGGTGCCTGTAATCCCAGCTACTTGGGAGGGTGAGGCAGAGGAATTGCTCAAACCTGGGAGGTGGAGGTTGTAGTGAGCCAAGATTGCACCATTGCACTCCAGCCTGGGCAACAGAGTGAGACTCTGTTTCAAAAAAAAATGTTTTTTTACAAACATCATTTTTGATGGCTATTTAATATTCCATTATCTGGATGCAACATATTGTTTCCTTTAGCTATTTTCCTATGTTGTTCATTTGGGTTATTTTAAACTGACACAATAACTAAGTAAATATTCTTGATTGTAAATCTTTGTACTTCTTACTAGTGGCTTAAAAGAGCTAAGAATTTAGAGGAGGCAAAATGTACAACGTCTATAAAAAACCAAAGTCACTTAACAACAAGTATGCTTTATCTTCCCATTTAATTTCTTAATAAAAAAAAAATCAGCCAGGCGTGGTGGCTCACACCTGTAATCCCAGCACTTTGGGTGGCCGAGGTGGGCGGATCACTTGAGGTTGGGAGTTCGAGAGCAGCCTGACCAATAGGGAGAAACCCCATCTCTACTAAAAAAACAAAAAACAAAAAACAAAAAACAAAAAACAAAATTAGCCAGGCGTGGTGGTGCATGCCTGTAATCCCAGCTACTTGGGAGGCTGAGGCAGGAGAATTGCTTGAACCTGGGAGGCAGAGGTTGCAGTGAGCCGAGATCATGCCATTGCACTCCAGCCTGGGCAACAAGAGCAAAACTGTCTCAAAAAATAAAATAAAATAAAATAAAATAAAATAAAATAAAATAAAATAAAAAAATCTCTATTATGTTGATAATAGTTAATCGCTTGGAACCTAAACACTTTCAAGCCTAAAAATGCACACATAAGCTCTGCCTTCATAATCATTGCAACGTAACAGTATCTGGCCACTTATCTCCTGTGTACAGAATAGCTGTCAACAAAAAACCTATTATACCTGGTACTTTCACCTATTTATCTGTAAAGATCAGTTTAGTTTTAAGCCAAACACAGGAGCATGAAACTAGGCAGCAGTGGATCCGGGGTATGAGCCAAAATGCATTGGGATCAGTGTTGAGGTCTGTCCTGGTTCGAGATTATTCCTCATTTAGGGAAATCACCAGACTTTACGGTCTTCTTGAATTTTGGATTTAAACTCAGCTGAATCTTACAGTCCCATTCACTCTAGGCCTCCATAGGTCATTCTGAGGCCATTCTTGTAATAAGAGAATCTAGAACATGGTATGTGGTAGCCGGCCTCCAAGATGGCCTCCCATGGTCCACACCTCCTGATTTTGTGGCTTTGTGCAGTCCCCACCCACAAGGAATCCATGCTGGTCCTACGTGATCAGTACAATATGGCAGGAGTGACTGTGTGTGATTCCTGAGGCTCGCATATAAAAGGCATCGCAGCCTCTGCCTCCCTCTCTTGGATCGTTCACTTCGGAAGGAGCCAGTCACCGTGCTGTAATGACAGTCATGTTGTGGGGTCAGGAAGCGAGGTCCCTGGCCAACAGCCAGCACCAACTTGCCAGACACAGAATGATAAGCATCATTAAAATAAAATAACTTTATCAAAATATGATAATTATTTTCTTAAAAGAAATGTAATACACATTTTCTTTTTTCTTTCTTTCTTTTTTGTTTTCTGAGATGGAGTTTCCCTCTTATTGCCCAGACTGGAGTGCAATGGCACGATCTCCGCTCACTGCGACCTCTGCCTCCTGGGTTCAGGTGATTCTCCTGCCTCAGCCTCCTGAGCAGCTGGGATTATAGGTGCCTGCTACCACGCCCAGCTAATTTTTGTATTTTTAGTAGAGATGGTGTTTTACCATGTTGGCCAGGTTGGTCTTGAACTCCTGACCTCAGGTGATCTACCCACCTTGGCCTCCCAAAGTGCTGGGATTACAGGCGTGAGCCACCGTGCCCAGGCTACATGTTTTCTTTATAGAAAATTGATCACAAAGAGAATCGAAATCATCCGGATATAGCCTTCTATTCTCCAAGGCTTTTTTTTTTTTTCCCCCAATTTTTCCTTCTTTTGAGCCATGCCTTATGCATTTGTATGACTATTTTAAATGTCAAGGACATGATCATTTGGGTTTACTCTTAGTTAAGAAAGTTGAAAAGGACTAAAAAAAAAAAAAAAAAAAAAAAAAAAATTAGAACTCTGGGAGCTGTCATCTCCTCCCCCAACCCAGAATCCCTACATAGGGACCTGGAGAATCAAAGAAAAATCTCAGTAATGTTATGAAGTAAAATTCATTTGTAGTGAGAACCCTCATGAGGATGGTGAATCTCAGGAAGCAATAACAATAATAATAACAATAGCTTCTCTTTATGAGGCCTTACCATACACCAGGCACATGTGTCAAATACTTTATTTCACTGAATTCTACCTAAACATGTAGGTGCTTTTTAGTATTATCCCCATTTTGCAGACAAAATAACTGAGGCTCAATGAAGTCAAGTACCTTGCCCAGATCACACAGCTATTCCTTGGGGGAACCAGGATTTGATTCCCTGTGATTCTGACTTAAGAACTCATGCTCTTCTTCCTCACATACCATGCTGCCTCACATAGGAGTAAGAATAGTTACTTTCTGCCAGGTAACTAAGGCTAAAAGGGGATAAAGCAGGCGACTTGAGGAACAGAATGGTGATTTTGTTACTAGCTTGATGGAAAAGGCATAAGAGCAGGATATCATAGTGGTCAAGACCATAGGCTCCGAAATCAAGGTTGCCTGCATTCCCAGCAATGCCAGGTGACCTTGGGTGAATGACTTAATTTCTCTTAACCTTAGCTTCCTCTTTCATATAATGTGGGAATAATAATAGTATCTACCTGATAAACCTGTTTTGAGAATTAAAAGATACAATATAGGGAATGTGCATAGCCCATACTTGACATAAAGTGTTTGATAATAATGAGAGCTAGCATTATTGGAGGCCTGTTGTCAATGCTAGCCACTGTAATTACTAAGGGCAGTTGGTCTATAGCATACAGCCCTGGAACACTACATAAGGCAGGCCTGAAAAGAGGCAGATAACAGTGGGGTTTATAGGACAGGAAGGGGAATAGTCAATGGTGGGGTTGATGGGTTATGCAACCAAGTAATTTCACTTGGCTTGGCCAAGAACACAGAATCATAGCAGACCCAGTGAAGCAGGATTGTGACTGGCCCACAGGGGCTGAATTCTGCAGCATCTTTGAGGGACAGGGCCTGTGGTGCTGAAAGAAGATAATATATTTCCCAAGATAACAATTTCCAATTACCTGGCTTGGGAAAAGGTGACTCCATGGACAATTAACTCGGAGCCATTTAGGTGATGAGAAGCAACTGTGCCAAGATAACCGTATTCCCCACTGACTATACCTGAGGCCAGCCAAGAACTCCATGACAGCGTTGTAATTGCCCATGTTCCAGCAGCATTTGGCCACATGCACCAAATATGAAAAGACTTCTCGCTTCTCCTCCATGGAGCCTGCCGTGAGGATCAGCCATGTCACCCAGGAGCTCACCTACAAAACACACAGAGACATTCACGGGAATTATGTCCTAGAAGTTTGGCATTTTTTTTCCAAAAGTATTCTTTGTTTTTCTAAAAATACCAATTTGGTATTAGGAAATGAAAGACCTATAGGTCCTTAATCTCTTATAACTCTCTCTTTATTTTCTTTAAAACAAGAAGGCTGAAAAAGGCAATTCATAAAATCCTTTGATCAAAAAAATGTCTTGAGACTATAAGAAAATAAGGCCTAAGGATAATTTTGATTGAAAGATATTTGACTGATGGACATTAAAATGAAATGTACTTAACCTATCAATTAAAGACATTTACTAAGTATTAAAATACATAATATCAAATGAAAAATAAAAACATTTTTAAACAATCTTTTACAAATGCCTTATCTATTATGCTCCTCAAATGACAAAATAATAAGAACAAATATTTATAGAGCACTTATTATGTGCCAGGAACCATTCTAAGCACTTTACCTATATTGCCTCACTTATCTCTCACAACAATTCTAAGAGTCAGGGACTGTTATTGTCCTCAGGGATGTATGTAAGGTCTTCAGCCATACTGACAGTAGCAAAGCCTAGGTTTGAACTTAGGGTATCTGCTCCAGAGGTTGCACTATCAACCACTCACAAATGCCTGATGTGTTTACACAAACTCTAATGTTCTCCAGTTCTGGGCTTAAAGTTCTTCTAATGCGATTTGTTTTTCCTGCTACACAGACTGGAGGATAATATTTTTAAATGATCCATGTCTACACCTTCCCCTTATGATATGCAGCCTCTAAATCATCTGCTTCTGATCTAAGATTTTTTTGCTGCCACCTTTTCTTTTGTGCTTGGATGCTGGTGTCCACCTAAGTTACCTTCTTTATCCTGACTAGCATGTGGGTTGATAAACTTGATTGTTAACAGAACCAAAGTCTTGGTCTCACATGGCCCTACTAGCTCCACTTGGTTCAGCATCAGCGCTGAAGCCTGAGCAGCGACACTTTTCTCTGGCCTAAGTGAGAGAGGCCAGAACAGAGAGTTTATGGTGCCCATGACAACTGCAGGAAATAGGAGCTCAAGGTCAATAGCATACTGCGTATAAGTGGATAAAATGATAAGAATTAATGGCATTGAGTGCTGGCAGCAACCACAGAGGGCAGTGCAACCCCATTTTTCCAGATCGAGAATCCACGGCTCATGGGAGAAGTGACTTTTCAAGGTCACAATTCTCATTGGTATCAAAAGTAGAACTCCCAGCTCAGTGCTCTTTCATCTGATGAAAGTTGACAGTTTCTTTCTTTTTTTTTTTTTCTTTTTTTTTAGACGGAGTGTTGCTCTGTCGCCCAAGCTGGAGTGCAATGGCATGATCTTGGCTCACTGCAACCTCGAGTAACTGGGATTACAGGGCCCGCCACCACGCCTGGCTAGTTTTTATATTTTTAGTAGAGATGGGGTTCATCATGTTGGCCAGGCTGGTCTCGAACTCCTGACCTCAAGATATCCACCCACCTCAGTCTCCCAAAGTGCTGGGATTATGGTGTGAGCCACCGTGCCCGGCCAAAAGGTGAGTTTTTTTGGACTTGGCTCTGGGCAGGTCCTCCTAAGCACTCAGTTTGGAGCTGCACATGTGAAGGCAGAGCAGGAATAAAAGGAGAAAATACTGAGAAGAGTCCAAAATAAGCGCAAAGAGATGAAAAAACAAAATGAATGGTTGCTCACACCTCTTTCCTATCCCTACATAGAAACAAACAGGAAAATCAGACCAACAGGGAGTTTTAGTGATAAAACAGGTCTATTCTCTGGTATGAGCCAGAGGCACTGGAGTAATTAATAATCTTCCTCTTCCCTTCTGAAACAGACTGAAGTAAAACATGCTGGGCTACCTGCCACCCCCAAGCCCAGTCCTGAGCCTGGTGGGCTCCCAGCATGTGCCTCTGCCCTCCATCTGTTCTGGACTTCACTGGGCCCTCGGGTGGCATCAGGAGAACAGGTCTGGAATCAGACCCTTGGGACAGACCCTGGTCCACATCATTCCAGGAACTGTCTGGGATTCCTAGTGCTGACCCCTCTCCCGCAGCTACGAGTAACCCCTTGCTCACAGTCTCCATGCCTGTCCTCTCACTTGGTTCCTTGGTTACAAGTCACCTTTGTGAAACCCGGCTCACTAGAGCAAGAAATTATTTTGCTAACGGAGACTGAGTCATTGGTGATTCCATCTAATTCTTCCTTTAGTCTGACTGGCTTTTGATGAGCCCTATCCTACAATGGGAAACCATCAGCAAACACTTAGCATCATAACCCTACTGACTCTGAGTTAGAAATTCAAACACGTCTCACAAATAAAAATGAGGTCCTGAAAATGAAAAAAACAGTTTCTCAAAGCCACCCAACTCATTAGTTGTTGAGGCCTCTGGCCACATTGTCTCCATGGCTTTAGCTCCTTTCTGGTTGAAATTGATGGCAAATCAGGGTCTCTGGAAAGTCGTCATTCTTTCAGGCTGTTCTGATACCATGCATTGACTTACTAGTCCAGCGGCTGGAAATGGTTAACTCACCTCCCCCTGGAGAGGTCTGCTTCACAGAGCAGGTGGAGACCACCACTTGGTTTGTGTCACAATCCTGATCACTCATCCAGATTTATTTCCTATCAGTCAAATCATTTTCCATATACTTTCCCACAACGCGAGGAAAAAAATAGCGATACCATATTTCACATGGAAACCTAATTTAAACCAACTGTTCCATTGCCGAGTATGAGTCCCCAGGGCCCTCGTTGTTGAGATTATGTAAGCACTGTTATCATAAACATACACACACAGACACACACACACACACACACCCAACATCTGCTTACAAGCCTCATGGACAATTCTTATTATGGTCTGATGTATTCATAACTTTATAAGCATTAAGTGGTGAGAGGGTCACCACTAATTATAAAATAATAAATGACAAAAAAAGGAAATGAAGATTCAGTGACAAATGTCAAAATGTTAACCAAAGCATAAAAGATGGTCACATTTACTAGATGGAAAATGGGATGTGTTGTCAATTCAGAAAGAATTTCAGGACACTGCAATCACATAGAAAAACAAAAAAAAAATTATATAAATATAAAGTACTATGGTTTAGGCATAGGGAGTGCTACTAGAGCAGAAAGGTGCTATCGGTAGCAGATTATTTTGCTTATTTCAACAGCAAGCACAGAATGAGGAAAGAATCTGGCCCCCAGCCCAATTCTTTAAGCACCTCTCCCAGAAGGTGCTGGGCTAATCCTGACATCATAACCCCCTGGACCATGCCCACAACTCCTCCACAACTGACCCTCCCAAAATATCTTTTTTTCCTTCCTTTTGCTTTTCTCAGTACTCTTAGGCTTAGCCAAACAGAACAGTTTGCTCCCGCTCCTCACATCAAATACCTTATTGGTGTCACACACACTCAGTTTGGAAGGAATGTTCTTGCATCATTCAAAATGACCTTTCCCTGGTCCACCATGTCTTACTTGTGTCCTCTGTAAAGCCAAATCTTTACTTTGGCCCACCAGGCCCCTGTCCATTCTCCAACCACCTCACTTCTCCCCTACATCCCTCCTTTTAGGGAGGTAAACTAGGCTTTTTAACATCTCAGGAATCTTGAACTGGTTGTTCCTTCTGCAGGAAGGCTTCCCCATCAGCCCAGATTCATTTTTTCTAAATTTTAAAAATTTATTTATTTATTTATTTATTTTGTAGAGATGGAGTATCACTATATTACCCAGGCTGATCTTGAACTCCTGGCCTCAAGTGATCCTCCCACTTCCGCTTCCATAGCATTGGGATTACAGATGAGCCACCACACATGGCCTGTCATTTTACTCATCTAACCCTACTCATCCTTTAGGCAGCACTGTCCTGAGACCACGCCATCAGGATCCTGCCCTGGACCCCAGGCTTCAGAAGGCTCCACACTGGCTGTCGTCCAGCTGTGCCCTCCCCATAGAGTAAGAAGTCTATGGGGTGGAGGGGACGTGCCTGTCCACAGGCTGCACACTCACTTCTAGATAATGTATCCCTTGTAAACCCAGGCCTCCCAAATTCCCTGTCCAAACAGCACCAAGCCCACTGCTGGTCTGCAAGGGCTGTTGATTTGGATCAGTCCTTCAGAGGGTAGATTGTAACCCCTAGGCCTAAAGCCAGGCCAGAGGGCAGTGGGGGTGGGGGTGATGTGTGGACAGGGTTTGAACACGAGGCCTGAGGTATCCACACTCTGCCACACAAGCCAGGATGGGAAGAGAAGGTGGGAAGGCCAACATGCTGGGGCCTCCCTTGTACTCGCGCCCTGGTCCCCTAAAGGAAAGGGTAAGGCTGCCTTCAGGAGTCTGATAAAAACATCGTTTTCTTGAGCAGAACTTCCTTGACTTCCCACCTGGAGTGTGTCCACTCACTGTGTGCTCTGTGGTGCCCCCACACCACCCTGACCCTGGCGCACATTTAGTGCTATGATCCTCATGAAGGCAGATGCTGGATCTGCTATGCTCACAGGTAAGCAGCAGTGTCGGTGACCTGTCAGGATCTGCCCTCAGTAAGTTTAAACAAGAGTCGACGAAGGAGTGAACATATGAATGAATGAATGAATGAATGAATGAATGAATGAATGAAACTTAGCTTCTCTAGGGAGGCTTTTCTTATGGTTCACACCTTCCATTCCATTTCTTCCTATTTCTCTTTGACTTAACGTAGGACCTTGAGTCCAAAGTTTCACTTGGATTCTCACCACTGCACGGTTTTGCCTCTGGTTTATTTTTGTTATATTTGTGTGCCTGACTCTTTCACATGGGTCTGTTCTGTCTCCCCCAGCAGACCCTTAGACCTCCAGGACAGGGACCATCTTTCCCACATTTCCAGCATGGAGTTGCTCAGTGTCTCTGGCAGATAGGCAGGCCATCCAGAGTCCCAGGAGGCCGTGGGCAGGGAGGATTCTCAGCTTCCAAACGCTCAGGGATTATATTTGGGAAAAGGCCTGAATA